AAAGTCCGGCCCGAGAATTGTAAGAAAAGGGGTGTATTTGACTTTTCACCCGGAGATTTCTTTAAAAAGGGGGTGTTTTTCTTTTTTTCTCTCATCTCTTTGGACTCCTGAGAAATTATTCCGAATTTAGGGGGGTACATTGAGCATTTTTTCTGATTTAGGGGGGTCTCCAATGCAAAAAAAGCCCGCGAAAAGCCCGCGAAAGGGGGGGGTTCGGAAATGTTGGCAGTCCTCAGATAGGGGGTGCTTTCAAAAAGAGGGTACGAGCATATGCGTACCCTAAATAACACTGAGTGGGGGGGGGGGGGGGGGGGGGGCCGGGAAATTAGTATGGTATAGCTAGCAATCACATGTATAGATTCATGAGATTTAACGACACAACATGGGCCAGAGCACGTGTGTAGATTAGACATGCATAATGATTGCAAAATATTACACAGTTGACTTTAGTCCAGTTTAGTTTTCACTTCCTAAGTTCTAGTTTATTTATAAGCAAACATATACAAATAACACTAAATTGTGAATAAATATCATCACTAGGTCGGAAAACATAGTTGTAATGATCAATGTAATTCTAAATGATTTGACAGTGGAGAGACCAAAAAGAAGAGGCTACGTTGGTAAAACCTCGGCCCTGTAATACTTATATACAATTTAATATATAACATCTATAACAAAAGGTCAGGAAATGAAATTAGAGAAAAAGAGCAAGTGAACACAAAATTGAGCAACGTAGAGAGAGAGAGAGAGAGAGAAGGAGAGAGAGAGAGAGAGAGAGAGAGAGAAAGAGAGAGAGAGAGATAGAGAGAGAGGTGGGGTGGATATAGACAGAAATTGAGAATACAAGAGATATTCACATCATGAACCCTAGCTACCACTCCTTTGGTCGGATAGAGAGAAATTTAGCGGTAACATGGTAAGAAAAGGGAGAAAGAGAATAGAGGAAGAGGTTGAGAATGAAAAAATAGAGAGACAAACGCCGGATAGAGAGTAAATTAGAGAAATGTAAGAAGTAAGAAAGAAAGAGAGAGGGGAGAAGATGAGAAAGAGAAAGATAACCTTTCGGATTCAGGACTTAATACAGAAATGTCTGTGAGCGCTTTACAGATAGAGAGAAAGAGAAAGAGATAGATAGACAGAGAGAGTGAGTGAGAGAGAGAGAGAGAGACAGAGATAAACAGAGAGACAGTGAGACAGAGAGAGAAGGGAGAGGGGGAGGGTGGATGAAATACGGAAAACGACCACGGACGTGCAAAATAAGCAAAAGAAAAGAAACAAAGGGGCGATACACAAGGCAATAACTGATGGCAAGGCTTGCACAAATTTTGACTCAATAGATGGCGCCATTCAACTAAGTGTTTTTACATCATTGCATCTTCTAATTAAACTTTGATAACCCTTTCCAAACATTTTAAAAACTAAAATGAGTATTGTTCTTAATGGGTAGAAGATTCAAATCGACCACCTTCGTATCTTTACATTTCAATTTATCTGCGCTTGTAAAAGACCAATGTGGTTTTACGTGGCCTAATTAGTACAATCATTTAACATTCAATTGGTGTATCACTGTAACAATATAATTTACACTTATTCGAGGTAAGAAAACATAGTGTAAAAAACAAAGGAAAAGCATGAAATATTACACTAGGTGTTTGTGGTCTTGCTAATCCTAAAATTCTGCACTTATTTTTAAAACTAAATTGACACGCAATGGTTCATGCGATATATGTATATATATATATGTATACATTAACAATGACTACTAATTGACAATTTATCACATATTCAATCACAACATACACTGCAAGAAAAACTAGTAAATTCGGCCCTGTGACATAATTATTAAAGAGATTAAACCTAACGTTTCTCCCTCAAATTTAGTGTATCTCCTTCAATCTATACTACCTTATATATCATGCATGGTTGGTTGGTTGGTTCTTCGTTTAGATGGCGCTCTTCAATCTCAAAGATTATTTGCGCCAGTCAATTTCGTGTATAGCTTTGGCGTGGGCTTCGGAAATCAAGCCCACGAGCGACTTTCCTTGGTGAAATGAAATTAATAGTGATATGGTTTTATAAAAATAAAAAAAAAAAAAAAAAAAAAAAAAAAAAAAAAAAAAAAAAAAAAAAAAAGCTGCAATATTAAAATTGCATAAAATGCACATAAAAGGCGAGATGGGAGTTAGTTGCAATTGTTCATGGAAAAACCGCAAATACTTCATTTTATATATTATTACAGGATCGACATAAGTTAAGGGGATCCCTGATAGCTTTAAAAGCTATCTAAAACGATTAGTATCGTATATGTAACCCAATAATTCACGAGTAAAAATTGGGTTAGACATCAATAATTGTTTCAGATTGGGGTTGTTCAATTTAATCCTTTCTTTTAAGAGACGTCTATCTTGGTCGTATTTTGTACAATAGAAAATAAAATGTTTAATTGTTTCATCTTCTTGACAAACTTCACAAAGACCAGTATCGTGTTGGTTAATTTGAAAAAGGTAATAATTTAAACTACAGTTACCTACTCTTAGTTGTTGTATCAAGCATTCTTCTCTGCGAGATAGGCCTTGTCTATGTATGGGCTTTGAAACGTCGCTATGCAAAGCATATAAAAATCTACCGTGTTCTGCATTATCCCATTCTGCTTGCCATAAGTTGTTATAATGGATCAAACGAGAGGCTGCCAATTCACTTCTTGTATTTGGTATAACTATGTCTATACACCTTTTCATGGCTCCTTTTTTGGCAGCCCGATCTACGATCTCATTGCCCCTAATATCGCAATGTGACGGAATCCATTCAAAAGCAACACAAACATCCTTAAACTGCAAAATATTAATTATGGATAAAATTTCATTTACAATAGCACATCTAATAAAGTATGAATCGATCATTTGTAAAGCTGACAAAGCGTCGCTAAAAATTACCACCGAAGAGGATTCAATAAATGTATTAATCCACTCTAGTGCCATTAGTATGGCCACTAGTTCTGCTCTCATAATACAGACATGGGATAATCTAAAAAATTTCACCACATTATAATGAGACACATAAAATGCGGCTCCTGTCTTCCCATCCTCGAGTTTAGAACCATCTGTATATATATGTAAAAACCCATTCCATGAATTTCCAATGCTATCTAGAACAATCGATTTTATTTCAAATGGAGGCATTTCCTTTTTTTGCACTTTGCCATGGTGTTCGAAAGACACTTGTGGTCGTGCTAACCGCCATTCTGGGATTTTCGGCAATAAGTTGGTTTGCCCTTCCACCACTACTTCGTCTCTAAAGGATCGCAGTTTAAAAGGTCCTTCTCCTATCTTCCATTCTAAGTTATTTAAATCATAGTCATCACCCAATACTTCTTTTGTTGGGTGGTTTAAAGTACTAGACAGTAAATAAACTCGAAAGTTATCATTTAACAACCTTCTACGATATCTCAGAGGCAGCTCCCCGGTCAAAACTTGTAAAGCCTCCAAGGACACATTGTGTATTGTGCCTGTAATAATTTTTAAGGCTCTGTATTGGATAGAGTCAAGTTTTTTTGTTAAAGATATACAAGCAGAATCATACATTTCACTCCCATAGTCCAAAATGGATAGGATAAGTCCTTTATAAATCATCATCAAAATCTCATACTTACTTCCCCAGGGGGTGCCGGAGACACAACGTAGCAAGTTTATTCTTTTCTTACATTTATCAATGATAGAATCTATATGGACAGACCAAGTTAAATTGGAGTCAAACCTCACACCAAGGAACTTATACTGCTCGCATATAGGCAGATTATGTCCTTTTATTTGTAGAAGAATATCTTTCTTTTGTTTGTTGGTAAAGACTAATACTGCAGATTTGGTAGGGGAAACGTTTAACTTCCACGTCCAACACCATATCTCAAGCTCATGCAGGGCCTCTTGTAATTTCCTGCGGGCCAGCTCTAAATCCTTATTTGAACACCAGATTGCAATGTCATCAGCATAGCAAGATAATTTAACATCACTTACATTTATCTTGAGATCATTTAACATTAAAGTAAATAATAAAGGACTTAATGAACTTCCTTGCGGGATTCCATTTTCTAACGTGTAGTGGCGAGACATATAGTTATTTATCCTCACATTAGAAATCCTACTCAATAGAAATGCTTTTATAAAAAGTAACATTTTTCCACCAATGCCTAAGATAGATAATTTTCTTAGTAGACCTGTTTTCCATAGCGAATCATATGCTTTTTCTAAATCAAGAAAGACCGCTACGGTATATTTTTTACTTTTCAAGGATATATGTATGTCCGTCTCCAATCTCACTAAGTGATCTTTGACATTCCTATATTTGCGGAAGCCAGATTGAATAGGATTTAATAGTCTGTTTTTTTCTAGAAACCACGTCAGGCGATTTTTTTATCATTTTTTCCATAATTTTAGAGAATGTTGATATCAACGAAATCGGCCTATAAGAGGTCACTTGAGTCGGATCTTTTCCGGATTTCAAGATTGGTATTTGAATAACCTCATACCACTGATGTGGAAAAAGTGAGATTTTCCAAATGTCATTATACAAGTTTAATAAATACACGAGTGCCTTGTTCGGCAAATTCTTAATCATAATTAAATAAATATCATCCTTACCGGATGAGGAGTTTTTCATCTCCTATTAACGTAATTAATATCTTGACCTTGAGAGGGAGCTATACAACATAAAGACTTTATTATTTACAATTTCATAACTATAGACTCGATTTCAACCGCGACGACGATCAATGAATATTGTAGGATCGCATTTGCTTCCAATATGCTCCTTTGAACCAGATTCATGACCCCATACCAAAACTTTGTATTACCTTTAATGATAACATATTTATGATAATAGTAATAATAATAATAACGATAACAATGATATTATTTAAACATAATTTGTGGCTTACACCCAGTTTATAAGATCGATTGATCGATCTGTATTGAAAAGCAAGTCAGAACAAATCTTGGAACCAGCGGGACTTGAAAAAAAAAACAATGATATTGATAATAATCATTACTAAAATAATAGTTATAATAACATAATATAAGAACATAACAATAACATTAAGTAAAAGTCTTCATGCTGGAAAACTTCTTTCTATTCAGCTTTGCCAAGAACTTCATATCTCATGGCCGGGAGTCCCTCCCACGTCACTGGATGTATTCTGACGTATCGAGCAGTGATTGGTCGGGGAAACAGTATGGTCTCGGGAGTGTCGTTGTCGTAGTTTGCTGCATAGACCTGCAGATCATTAGGAAGAAATTATCATGTTTAGGGCATTGCATGGAATCGTCGGTTCAATAAAAATTGGTTTATAACAACAAATCGCAGCATAAGCTGAGTTGCACACCTGTACTCAAAGGTAAAATAAAATTTGAAATACAAGTACATGAATTGCTATCCAATAGACATTATAGAATTGGGTACAAACAATGTCTAATAAACACATGTAAGCTGGGTATGAGTATCGGTTATGATTATAGTTATTAAAAAACATGTACAACGGCATACTTGCGTATAGGAACAACTTCTTCAGGGGGAGGGTGACCTCTCTCGCCAAAATATTCACTTTACCGTGAACTTTATGAATATACAAAATGATCAGGCAAAATTTCGGCTACGATTTGGAAGACCGAAGACCCAGCTTCTTCTTTTGTCCGTCCAAATGTATCTCCTCGATTTTCTTTTTCTCATCCAGATATTTATTTACTTGCCTTCTTTAATTTATTTTTCATTATTGCAATTGTGTTTATTGAAAGCTGGGTAATTTATGGACATCGCTACAACTGATGAAAGTTTTTTTTTAATCGCGCCATCATTCGGTTATGACGTGTATAGAGGGACTTCTGGTTCCTGTACCCAATCAGTTGGTGATGCATTGTGGGACATGGCTGTCAACACATCGGGACATTGTGAGCAGCAGATGGCAGTATACGTATAATTGAAGTAGTGTAAGTAGAATACGCTGCATTTAAATGTCTCAGGAGCTGTCTGTCTAGGGGACATTTAAGAAATTTGGGTCTCGTGGAAGCCATTTAACTGAGATGTCCTCAAAAAAAATTGTACAGTCCGACACAACATTGGAAGACCGAGCACAGGAAAATAGACCGAAAAGGGCTGATAATGTACGATGAATATAGAACTAGCAATTCACAGTTCAATGCGAGGCAATCTGCACAAAAGGCATGGGAAAAATTTGCTAAGTTTACCTGCTCTTCATTTATTTTTTTTCTTCAAAAAAGAATGCTGCGGGTCCATTATATTCTTGAAAGTCCTTGAATGGTTCGTCATATAAAGAAAATATATTTCAATAACTGGATTTTTTAAAACTCCTTAACTGATTCGTCACACAATTGACAAACGTTTGGACAAAATATATACACAGCGTGTTTTTTTCTTCAAATGTAGACCAATAACAGGTCGACAATCAAAATATCCCCATGCCTTTTGTACATACTGCATCACATTAAACGATAAAGGCTCTATATTCATCGTGCGTTATACGCCGTTTTCGGCGTATTTACCTGTGCTCGGTTTTCCGTTTGTGTCTGAAAAAATAGTTGCTTACTTTTTGTTCACCACATTTTGGTTCCAAAGCATATGTCCACGTCACGTTATCCAGCGAATAGGACACCTTGACAGACGTAACCCAATGTGTCCACCCGTATCTGCCTTGTACAATAACACCAGTGACGGTAACGGTCTTTCCAAGATCTATCTGACTCGTCAGTGCGTTAATAGGAGTAACAATTATCAACAAGTAACTAATAAACAAATGGATATGAATATATATATTAAAAGAATTTTAACAGATGCAAACAATTGTCAAACAGCGAACTATATTATAAATAATATCCATATTCCTTTGGAAGCCCATAAAGACGTTGATACGCGCTTTAGTACAACGACTTTGTGATTATTATTGATAGTAAATACACAATTTTGAATAATGAAAGTTCGAAAGTAATGGGGCAAAGCTCTATCAAAGTTTCCAATTCCTGCCCTCCCCTTTTTGACTGGGTTAGAACGCCAATGCCATAAATACTAGACCACGGAGATGGGTTAGTAGTTTTCGCGAAAACAGATTCATTTGACTGACGGTTTGAAAAAAAAAGAATCAAACTTCTTTGTCGGTTGAGGGGGCAGGTGAGTTTGTAATAATGACAGACCCTGTGCCTCAGTTGGATCCTAGCTTTGAGCATGAATGCTAACTCGCTTTATATATATATATATATATATATATATATACGTATATTTATATATATATATATATGTCACGTTCGATCTCAATAGCAAAGAACACAAACCATTTTCGAAGCCTGGCAATCCGTAGCTGTACGTCCATGTAGAATCCAACCACCCGCCAACCGTCACCACGAAGATTCCGCACTCCATACATACCCGCCTATCCACGATCTACAGCAGCGCAGAGGTATTCAACGACGCGAAACCAGAGTATGAAAAAGCACTCCGTGATGCCGGCCACAACACCAACTTAACCTACACACCCAAGGCCAGTGACATCAACAACAAGAAGCAGCGCCAACGGAAACGCAACACATAACCTGGCTCAACTCCCCATATAGCATAGCAAGCACGCGAAGACGAATATTGGTAGAAGGTTCCTTGCTCTCGTAGACCAGCACTTCCCAAAGGGACACCAACTACAAAAAATCTGCGATAGAAACACACTGAAGATCAGCTACAGCTGCATGGATAATATATATAGCAACCATAACCAAGGCCCACAACATCAACCACAACCCCAACCGAAACCCAGAAACCTGCAACTGCAGAAAGAAAGACGACTGCCCCCTCCCAGGAAAATGCACAACAAAAAATATCGTCTATGAAGCCAAGGTTGTGACCCCCAACGATGAGAAACTCTACATTGGACTCACATCCACCTCCTTCAAAGCCAGATATGCAACTCACAAAAAAAGCTTCACCCACCAAGAAAAGAGATACCAGACCGGATGCTGAAAAACGACGGGATACCCTACACACTATCATGGAGAATCATCCGGCACGCCCAACCACACTCACCCAGAACAAATCGCTGCAACCTCTGCCTATGGGAAAAGTACCAAATCATCACTGCTGAGAAATCCACAATCCTGAACTCTAGAACCGAACTCATTTCCACATGTAAACATAAGAGAAAGTTTCTACTCTCTGAATATGGCTAAACCCCTCCCTCACCCCCCCCCCCCCCCGTACCACCATGACCTTTCCCCTTACCCTTAAACCACTTAATTCCACTATTGTATTATTGCGTTCACCCTTACTTGGGTATTATTTGTGTCACTTCGGTATTCTTGCCTGACTGCACATGAGTGTTTTTAACATTGCCTTGTATAAAATGTATTTAGTTGCTGATGAGCCTTCGGGTGAAACAGACTGTACTACTCTTACCAATAAAGTTTAACCTTTCCAACTTCTATATCTACATTTGCTACTACAGTTGAGCACTGTCAGAAATTGCAGTTTTACTAAACTTGCTTTTATATATATATATATATATATATATATATATATGTGTGTGTGCGTGTGCGTGTGTGCGTGTGTGTGTGTGTGTGTGTGTGTGTATGTGTCAAATAAATAAAAAGGATATGAAGAAGAGAGGTGTCATGCTTTAAATCCAACAGTTTTCATTAGGTCACACACTTTAGACGTCTTTAATAAGTAACCAAGACCAAAATTAGAATAGAAATCCCTAAAGCGTTTCCAACTCTCCAGGGCAATGCGAAACTAGTTTATAAGTAAGTAAATAATACCCATGGAAACGTTTTACAGCTCAAAGAAATATCTTGGCAAAAAGTGTGATCACGTCACAAATACGTATAGTTACAAGCAAATACTTGCTTTCAAAGCAGTAGGGGAATTAATCATCAATGATCATATACTATCTTAGGGTTAGGGTGAGGGTTTCATTTGACTTTACGTTAGGGTTCAGATTATGATTATAAAGTGCTACGTCTGCTTTTAGAGTTAGGAATTCGTTAAGTGTACGAACTTCAGGGAGAAAGACTGATGTGGCTTTCCTGGGCAAACAAACTCGTTATTATAATTAGTGATATCGGACTCACCTTGACCCATTTATCTATGTCATCATTCCTGGCCATCCATGCTGCCTTTACACCGAATGACACTCCGCCGTTCAATCTTCCATCTGATGCAGTGTAACGCCAAGCATCATAACTCGATGAGGAGGTGAGACTAGAGTCTGGAATTCGTCCATCTTCGACTCCCATTCCTTCCCCTCGAATAGGGCGCGAACAACAAACCTCTTCCTGGTTCATCGCAGCTGAAGACAACAAAAGTTTTAAAAAACTATTTCAGTGTATACAAGAGACCTATTAGGTCTTTTATGGTTTAGAACTTAGTTTCGATTAAAAGAGTTTTCAGAAAACCAAAACTCCATATAGTTCAACCATTACGAGAACACCACAGGCGTCCATCATAGGCATCACAACTCACCTCGTGCTAACTATACATGGACACAAGTGACGTTTGAGAATACCGCCCCTAATGAGCAACAGCAGAACGAACAAGAGGTTACGACTGGCCCAAAGTGATTCTGTTTTTAGTCGATATGGCGATTTGACTGAGGTATTAGCGTCGTAAGTGCCGTCTTTTCTATCGAATATGCGATTTTCGCATCTCCAGTCGATAGTTTAACCCGTTCGATTACGACAACTATATAGTTAATACGTGTTTTGGACTAGTGGATAAGCCACGGGACTGAAGATCACAGGGTCCGCAGTTCTATTCTCTGCCCGACGCAAAAGTTGTCCAGTAGCAAAACATGAATCTATACTTTCCCAGGTGTGAATGTGTACCTGATATGTTTCAGCGCTAGTTACTTTGGTGGCTGCTATGGTCACATTACCCAAAAGTAGCCTGCTCGGCGGCCGAGCGGCGAGTTTTTAACCAATTCTGCCCGGCGGCTGCCCGGCCACCGAGCGGCGGCCGCCCAGGCACCGCTCGTTTTTAGGGCATCGCTCGGTCGCCGCTGAAGTTTTAGCGCGGAGTTAAAATTTGGGCGGCGCCTGCTTACTTTTCACTCGCCGCCCAAAATACGCTGGGTGCCTGGGCGGTCGCCGCCCGGGCACCGACCTAATCGCTGGGCGATGCCTAAATTCCAGCAGCGACCGAGCAGGCTACTGATCGGTCGGTCGCTGCTCTGATTTGTGACCATAGCACTAGCTATAAGCAGGGTAATGATGTCTAACGCCGTGAGCGTTACAGCATGACGTGACAGATATGAGCGCTTTTTAAAAGTGATATGTCCTTGTTTGAGTGGCCCAAACATGTGGATCAATTTGTGCAGCGCTTTATAACTGCAAGGAAAGGCGCTTCATGGAATACCATTTCGAATTGACTTGAATATAATAATATTATTCCAATCCTTCTTTTTTTCTGTGTTTTTAAAGAATGCAGCCGTACCCACCTAACAAGTCATTGAGAGGTCCGTAGCCAGTGAGCTCTAGCCTGAGGGCCAGTTTTACAGTTCCAAAACGGGCTGTCCTGGGATGGATACGAAAGAAACGGCATTTGACCAGCGTAAAGAGGGTGTGCAAAACATAACTATTTTGGTCGTAGTTTCCTGTGTAGACCTGAAAGAGATAATACAACCATTTCACAATGAGATTAACTTGGGTTTGAAGTGTAGAATTTCCAATATCTGATAATCAACCGGCCAATTAACCCATGCAATGAGGTCACTTTTGTAATACCTTTGTCCTTCTTGTCTATTATTAATTTGCAATACCTCTGTGAAAAATGTCCATATATACCTTCATCATCACTACTTCACATTTTTACATAATAATATATACAAATCTTCATTTCCACATTTATTGCTCCTTTTGTATTAACATATTGATGTCATTCGATTACCAGCATCCTGGGGGGTGTTTCACAAAGATCCTAAGTAGAACTTAACTCTAAGTTGGACTTAAAAAATTATGGACAGCCATTAGCATCTTTGAAAATATTTGGTAAAAATATTTTTGAAAGGCATAAAATGTTTATTCAAATCATTCATATTTTCTATCATTAAGGAGATTTCATATTCTTGTTGTGGAATTTATAAAATGTCTAAAATACTTGAATTTCTGCTTTTGAGTATATTTCATTTTAAGGCTCCAATGGCTGTCCATAATTTTTAAGTCAAACTTAGTGTTAAGTTCTACTTAGGATCTTTGTGAAACACCCCCCAGGACCCTTATAATACCCTCGTATTCTAACTTCAAAAGAAATAGCATTATGATCCCATCGTATAACTTTCCGTGTGTCGGTTAAAGGTAATACAAAGTTTTGGGAAATTTTGAAAAATGGGTGGATAGTGATTCTTTACAATTTTGATATACTTGGATGCCCCTGTGGATGTATTAAAAGCACTAGAAAATTTAGACCCTAAAACATTTTCGAGAAAAACTGAATATAAACATTTACCGGTGCTCCCGGTAAATTTTGATAACTTTCAAAAAGCGCCTACGGCCGTACAATGGTAGCTGCGACCATTAAAATCTCAGAATATGTAGTTGTGATATATAAATCCTAAACGGCAACAGCTATTCAGTAGGTTTTAGTCAAGAAACATTGTGTTGTAGCTGTATTAATATCTTGACCTTAAGAGGGAGCTATACAACATAAAGAGTTTATTGTTTACAATTTCATAACTTTAGACTCGATTTCAACCTCGACAACGATCTCTGAATATTGTAGGATCGCATATGCTTCCAATATGTTCATTTGAACCAAATTCATGACCCCATACCAAAATTGTATTACCTTTAACACAATTCTTGATAATAAAGTGTCATTTTAAAGGGATCATTGAGTTTTGTTGCAGAGGGCGCTACACAAAATATTTTTTGTGAGATAATGAAAAACTTAGTGTCAAATTTGAAAGAATTTACAACTTAAATGACAAAATCATCTTTGTTTGATCAAAATCGGTTCAGAGATGGCTGAAATATCTATAAAAAATAAACATTTGTAAAATTTGTGGTGCCCCACAAATATTCGGTAATTTTGAACCAGCCGTTGAAAAAACGAAATAGCACCTTATAAGTATTATTACAGCCAATGCCAATATTGGCTTTTTGTCGGCTTTTTCGGGTTGGTTTATAATATGCACAACCAACGGTAGTGTTACCATTAATTAATTAATTAATTAAAGGTCACCGTATTTTGTTGAAATTAGAGCTGAATTGGCATGATCGTATTCGATCTAAATTCACACATTTTGGGGTCTAAAATTACCTTCAAAGCAATTTTAGGTTCTAGGCAAAAGAAATGTCATAAAAAGAATAAGAGCAATAACCATGCACTTTGAAGGCATTTGCGCTCTTAAAGAAGAACTCAACTATCCATTTAAGTCAACGAATGATCAAACTTTGATGCATTCTTAAAGCTTAATAGGGATAAGTTTTTAACAGTTTGCTTTCTTTTATTCTAGATTCCCATCACGGCAAACGGTTTCTCTATTTCGCCATACTATTCGGCGGTTACGTAACTATACTAAAACGTGAACACAGCAATTTTTGAACAGGAAACATTAAAGGTTTTCCAAAAGATTTAAACCAAAAAAATTGTTTTGGTAAGTTTGATTTTAATGGAGATCGCAAATTTCTAACTACTTCCGCCGTACATAGCCTTCATTCTATCTTTCATGTCTCCCTCTCCCTCTAATATTATAAGTTGATAATTATGAGGGTGGCACTATAAACATCAAATTAGAGGGGATTCTAGTCTAGGGGATTTCATTACGACTGTATCAGAACAAGAACCACTCTGCCAAGGCGCGGATCCACGGGAAGGGGGAGGGGCGGCGGCCCCTCCCCCTGGCCAAGAAACAGGTAAAAATACGTTAATTTTACATTAAAAAGGGTTTTAACAAATCCCCCCCCCCACTTATTTGCCTGCTTGCTAATTTGCCGCTAAATATTTTCTACCGATTTTTGCCCCCCCCCCCCCCCCCCGTTTGCTGCCGGCTGGATCCACCCCTAGAATATTTTAAAGTGAAAAGAAGACAAATCTTATATTATACTCAGTGGCGTAGCTATATTGATGCACACGGGGTAGGCACGTGCCCCCTTGTTTGAATTACGAAGACAAAAGGAAAAGAGGCACATTATAGACAGAGGGGGAAAAGGGCAAAAAGAGAAATAGGAAAAGGATGTGGAAGGAAGACAATAGAACCGCCTACCACACCCTCACCCAAATCAGTAGCCTTGTAAATCATCATATCATTTCCCAAGTGAGATCCGTGCCCCCCCCCCCCCCCCCCCCAATGATGCCAGTGCCCCTCAAATATCCGGGCTCACACTACGCAACTGATTATAATGATTTATTTTATTGAGATTAACTCTTTACTTGCCACACAAATAATCTTCCTGTGTCACATTATATTTATTTAATTGTTCTCTGGGCAAGATTAGTCTATACCGGTGTTAAAAGGGTTGTTATTGGAGCTATCAATATCGGACGAGGGTATCAATATCGTATTGCAGGCCTCAAGAGAATCTTTCATTAATAAGTACATATTATTTTGTACAAAATGGACACGTATGACTAAGAAGCGACCGTGCAAAGAGGCAATGAAAGCAAACTATATAAAGTGTTCATACCTTGACTGTATTGGTGTTGATATCCTGGTAGTCGGTCCAAGATGCTCCGTCCATACTGGAAGAAACTGTGTACGATGTTACCCACTGATCTAAATTTGCCCTGCCTTGCGTCATGATGGCGGTGATGACAAAGGTGGAATTGAATTCGATCTGAAGCCAGGGGTCCTCGTCATTCTCAGCAGGGGCCCATGCAAGAGGACTGTTAAGACGTGCGTTTAGTTTACTCCAATTAGGATCCCACTCACTCGAGACTGTAATATCGCTGTCGGGAACCTTACCGCTTTCTAGACCGACCGGAATACCTCGCTGTGTGCCGCACAGGTTCACTGTTGAACAATAATCACAGAATTGCAATTTTAGGTCTTTAAAACTCAGAGAGTGTTTTAATTGAACCACGCAACTAAAACATAATTAGTTCGGCTAAATCAGCATTTACCTTGCTCTTGTTTAGGACGGCACATAACCCAACCCTAGCACTGAACCCCAACATAACCTAAAACCATTTACAACCCTATGGCCCGCATTTCACCAAAGTTTAGGCCCGATGCAGGACCTAAGTTTGTCTTTGAAATCTTGTTTAACGAATGAGGTAATAGAGTGGGGTCATTATAGACCCAGGGTCAGGTTTTCGTAGAATAAGGACCCAAATATATGACAATTTGAAGCCGTGAACAATTGTTCCCGAAGCAAATGTCTGAGCACCGTCCATGTAGGTGTTTAGAATCCCTGTAATTTCTATTACGAACCCAATTTAAACAGTAGGTGCAGAATATCGAGGATGTTCGGGGTGGAGAGTCTCAACTACCGATAATTAGTGCTAACACGTAGAAAATTATAAAGCATGTACACGGAAATTGATTTAGTGTCTTGATTCTACGATGTCTGATGTTTCCATCGTAAACAAGAGATTTTATTACATTAGAGACTAGAGAACTTAAAAAGGGGTTTATGATGCCCAGTTTCTTCCATTAACTCTTATCATGCCACAGGGCTAATCCACATTGTGCCAAGCCCCAAATCCCCCGTGCCAGGTTTATTCTGAGATAATCTGATTAACGCAATGGTTCTATGAATAGCGCATGCGGAACACACATCACAGTCCAATGAGCATAATAACTGCTATTACGAATGCGTGCAATCATGCACAAGGCAGTGAAGCGATGGTTTGCTTGCATGTACAAAGCACTATAACAATAGCGTGCATGCGGCCTTATGGCAGGCTATAAGTTAATTAACGAACTAAGAAAAATGTGTAGTATTGTTGATAATACCCAGGTCATTTTGATTTGTCATGGCTTCAACGTGGAGAATTCGTGATAGCTTTGACGGTTTCCCCCACAAAAATTATTTTTAAGGACAATATCTACACCTTTTAGAATCTTAACTAGAAGTTTTAAATTTCATATATAATTATCGTAAAGGATGTCTCCATGAGATTAAACCCACCAAATTTATTTGGCACACGTGGGTAGTCATTATCATCGCGATTCTTGTATAGCTGGCACCAAGGGTTTCGATTTGTATCCTCGGTTGGGGGGGATGATAGGTGCCAAAATATTTTCGGCAATGGATCAAAGCAACCAAGAGGTAGAGGCGTTTGGCAGGTTGCACCCCCTCCCTTCCAAGTTTTTTACTTTTTCAAGTCACCCTCAATAAAGATAACATTTTAGAGAATATGGGACCCATGTGTCTTCCACAAGCTTGCTACCTGGGTTATTATCCTCTCAAGCATATAGACAGGATTTTATTTTAGGGGGCGGTAGTGAGCACCTCCTAGGGGGTGGGTGCAGGGAAGGGGGTTTTCCCCTCCCGCGCGAAGCGCGGAAGCTCTGACGTTTCATTAAATTATTAAAGAAAGAAGACGACTCGTTGTACCTTTCTCGACTCTTAATCCTTGCTGAATTCAGTTTCTCCCCCTCCCCCTTCCCGCGCGAAGCGCCGAAGCTTTGACGTTTCATTAAATTATGAGAAAAAGAAGCCGATTCGTTGTACCATTCTCGACTCTTAATCCTTGTCTAAATTCAGTTCCCCTCTTCCCGCGCGAAGCGCGGAAGCTTTGACGTTTCATTTAATTATTAAAGAAAGAAGACGATTCGTTGTACCATTCTCGACCCTTAATCCTTGCTGAATTCAATTTCTCCCCCTCCCCCTTCTCGCGCGAAGCGCCGAAGCTTTGACGTTTCATTAAATTATGATAAAAAGAAGACGATTCGTTGTACCATTCTCGACTCTTAATCCTTGTCTAAATTCAGTTCCCCTCTTCCCGCGCGAAGCGCGGAAGCTTTGACGTTTCATTAAATTATTAAAGAAAGAAGACGATTCGTTGTACCATTCTCGACTCTTAATCCTTGCTGAATTCAGTTTCTCCCCCTCCCCCTTCCCGCGCGAAGCGCCGAAACTTTGACGTTTTATTAAATTATGAGAAAAAGAAGACGATTCGTTGTATTATTCTCGACTCTTAATCCTTGTCTAAATTCAGTCCCCCTCTTCCCGCGCGAAGCGCGGAAGCTTTGACGTTTCATTAAATTATCAGAGAAAGAAGACGATTCGTTGTACCATTCACGACTCTTATACCTTGCTGAATTCAGTTCCCCTCTTCCCGCGCAAAGCGCGGAAGCTTTGACGTTTCATTAAATTATAAGAGAAAGAAGACGATTCGTTGTACCGTTCTCGACTCTAAATCCTTTTTCTTAATACGTCCTCTTCCTTTCTTCTTTCTCTCTCTTTTTTTTTTTGGGGGGGGGGGGTGGGGGGGGTCGGCTTTTTTTTTGGGGGGGGGCGACCACCCCCACCACCCCCTGGCTAGGCGCCTGTATCCTCTCTGTCTCTCATTATCTCTCTCTCCCACTCTCTTCTTCTTTTTTGCACTTGTGCGCTTCGCGCTTAACATTTACTAAGCTCGTTGCTTTTTAACGCTGCGGCTTTGCATTTAGCGCACTGCATTTATATGATGCTGTTGATTGAATAAATTGAATAAATTCATCAATTCCTGATGAAGCCGTATGAGCGAGAATTCAATTTATTCTTGTCTCATATACGGTCGTCTCATTTACTTCGTATCCTATTTATATATGTATGTATTATGAAAATTAGATAGCAAAATGTGTATATTGATGGTCATCTTGCGAATAATAACCATTAACTACTCTCATCGGGCTCTCATCATTAATTTTTCTCTTTTTTTTGTTTTTTTGATGGTGAATTATTGGGGGGAGGATGATTGTACAGGCCATCCCCCCCCCACCTGAAATATTGGGGGGATAAATATGTACAATGGATAGTTTAATATAAAGTACATGTGAACAAATTAGGGTGTCGATCCCGGGGGATATATCCCCCCCCCCCCCATCCCCCCCGGGATCGACACCCTAATTTGTTCACATGTACTTTATATTAAACTATCCATTGTACATATCCCAAAAGAGAATTTGATTATTTCCTTGTTTGGATTTCTTAAAAGACGTTATCAGAGAGCGTTTGTATTGGCGGCAACGAACATACTTCAAAGACAAGCTGTTGTGACTGTATCTTTTTGAAGCCTCCTAGTCAATACATTTCGATTTTTCTGAAACACTCACATGTACAGCAAACAACAGCTACACTCCCCTCCCTACGGTTCATCGCCGCCGTCTCCTCATACCAGCAGTTAGTAATGTTAGTCACGTTGGCAGGACATCTCACAGTCACAGCCTCAGAACGATTGTCTAAGGACGACATCTCGTAGAGATCTCCTCCTACTGTCGCATATACGCCTTTTAACAGATGATCAGAAAGAAAATGAAAATAAAAAATAAATAAAAACAAAATAAGTATTTACACCAGTGATTCTAATCATGAATATTAGTATATTTAATGTTTTATGCTGTGTTTGTCTTAATTCCACAAATGGGGCCTGTCACCACGAAATGAGTCCAGTGTCGCAAAAAAATTATTCCTGTTTTTAAGTATTATATGAATCTACATTAAGTAAGCTTTAAATTAAGGGGTCACACATTAAAATTGATAAATTATATCCAGAAATATAAACAAAAACCTAATTGGACTTTATAACAATGGGATTACCCAGTTTTTAGATAATTAGGTGTAAAGTTAATGATGCGTAACATATTATAGTCTGGTCAACAACAACATAGCAACAACACACTTCCCATCATTCGATTTCAATGAAACTTTCAACAAACAAAGAAATAATAAGTCGATTTTTGGAAAAATCTTAAATGTGGTAGGTGGGTCAATTTTCAGTACATACACACTATACATCGCTATTACTACGATTGAGCTAATGCGACACTGGACTCATTTCGTGGTGACTGGCCCCAAATATCGATGAGTTTGGGTCATGGGATTACATTGTTAAAAAACTGTCAATTAGGATTATATAGTACACATAAATTGATGAACACCGAAACGTTTTTTGTCCTGACTAGTTGTGTATCTGGACAGTTAATTAAAATTAAATTTGAAAATGTTTACAAGCGATATGTCATGACTCTTATATTAGACTTTTTTGTCAATATTATAAAGGACACATAACATGAATGAAAGTTGGTCCAAACTTTTCAGCAATTCCTATTTTGAATAGGAAGGTATGTAATAGAGCAATCCATTTCCGAGGACATTTCTATCATGAAATTCATCCAAACTATCATTGCAAAGCAAAACAAAAATGCTCACAAATTATTATATACCTTTTAAAGAACTCAACCTTCTGTCTATCAGTCGACGAAAATAATATATTTTGTGCTCTCGTGCGCTTTGTTATTTCTCTTGCTTTCTCACGACCCTCTTTCAAATAGCATTGATAGCTAACAAATGAACGCGTGTTAAATATTCTCTGGTACAATGGACTGCATGGATAATTTTCGATGGTGAACTTTAAAAAAACGACAGTAAATACCTCAGTCACACAGCCAAACTGAATCCAAATCAGTTCCAAACCTACCGAATCTTGGACATTTGGAGGGAATGTTTCATTTTGTCCAGTCGGTTGTTGGTCATATGGCATCGATCGTTTCACGAAGCCGTCTTAAGTAAAACTCACCGACATCCCATTGAAACGCGTGTTAAGTTTAATAGAAGCGTTTCATAGGTTATCGGTGAACATGTACTTGACGTACGTGAACATGACGTTTTCGTGAACAGCTGCACCTGACAGCCGTCACATTGGTTTGACTGGGATATAACTGACGAAGATAAGTGAACACAATACAGGACTGTAAACTTCATAAAGAATTTACCTTCATATCCTAGATACCTGCAGAATAACCGGGAAGCGTTCCTGGACCAGTTTACTTGATGGATTAACATGTAAGTTGTAGGGCGAGAACGAGATGTGATAACTATTCTTCCTTCACTTTCACTTCCACCGACTAGTCTCAAGGTATGGATGAAGGAATCTATATTCAATGAATTGAGCAAAATTACCAAACATTAATGTTCCTGTAAGCCAATCATTACGTTTGAAGAAAAAGAAAACGATACATGCCCAAACAAGTATTAGCATCAAGCAAGGATCGATCCCAGGACCATTCCTATGAGGGTTATTAAAAAGAGCCTCCACCAATATACCAAGTATCCATCGTACAACATTGCTCCCCAAAATAATTTGTTATTGAAGTTATGAAAACATTGATTTTTATAAATATGGAGTTTGATTTTTATACAATTCAGAGATTGTTGTTATGGAGTTAGCTCACCCCTCTCTCTCTCGCTGTTATATTCTAGCTATCTGTTACTTTACTCTATGTCTCTCTTCCTCTTTATCTCTCTCTCCCTGTGCATGTGTCTCTAAGAGTCATATGTCTCTGTCTCTCTCGCTCTCTCTTTCTCTTGTAATTAATTTGTTTCCTCTTACCGTACTCGCACCTCTCTCCATAGTAGCCATCCAGACAGGTGCAGTTAAAGCCCTCATCTGTTTCCTCACAGGTTCCTCCTGGTTGACAGGGGTTCGACAAACAAGCTGAAATGACAGCACACAATATGCACGTAATGATTTAGAAACCGGACGCCATTAACTGAAAATTTGAAACTGACACTTAAATATTTTAAACTTTAACACATTGTTCGGAGTAAGTTTTCATGTTTACATTTCCTATAATAACATAAATAAATTAAAGCATTTATATAGTGCTTTATGATATTTCTAGGCACGAAATACATGCATATTTAAATGACGAGTGGCCTTTAGGAATGACAGTAAAGTGCAAAATAAATAAAACATAATACACACCATCAAACGAATTACAAATTTCTGTCGACGGTCTCTCCATGTAATGTAACATTTAATTTTCTTTTATTTTGTATATAAAAATAAATGGAAGCTCTGAGAAATCTGGAAGCTCAATTACGTCATTCCTTGAAATCATGAATGTATCTTATAACCTACACAAGAACGACATATTTAACTTATAGGTACACCCCCTCCATAAAAAAAAGAGGAAAAGAAAAGAGAAAACTTCAAAAGGCATTGATTTTTAAAAATTTAATCTTCGCTCCTCTTCAAAAGGCAATGCCATAAAATCTTCGTGTGTTTGGAATTAATTCAAAGCATAACAACACATCTACCAATGGGTAAATATGCCATTCACAACAAGTTATTCTATATCAATCTATTCCACCTTTTGGTCACTAAGCTGCGAGCATCCAGACCATGCCCTCAAGAGAGGCGGAAGTGTATTTTCTTTTCAAAGAATAAGTAGAATTGTTAGCGTTTCTAAGAGCAACTTTTCAATTATTGACTTACCGAACTATCATCTAGATTTCTAAAAGGAGTTGCATTCGTCAAAAGTCAAACCAATCTTATTCTAAAGAAGGTACCAATTTTTGTATTTATTTTTAATCAAAGTATTTATTGAAAACAAATCTCATTAATGATATTAATAGTACATGATAATACTAACAGTAATAATAACATGTTCGTATAGACATAGAATAGGTATAGTACCAATATAGTGTAATAGTTAACTCATCAGCAATATAAAAAAAGTTAACAAAATATCTTCCTTTCTTATTATGTCGATCGAGACGATTTTTCTTGAAAACATTATACGTTCCATATTTTCAAAATGTTTGAGAGCTCGTTGAAAAGAAGGAAATAGTGGAATAACGTTTTGCATTTTACGAGTGAATATATATTTTGCAGAAATAATTACTGTGAACAAAACATATCGTATGATCTTTTCTTTGAACCATACAAATATAACATTCCAGAAAGATCGTATTTTTTCACAATTTACAAATAAATGAGACGTCTTTTCATGATTTTCACAGAAAGTACACATTGAAGAAGTACTTATACCTATCTTATAAAGAAAACTTTGTGTAGCAATTTTTCTATGAATAAGTTTAAATCGGAAATTTCTCATTTTATTATCCATGGATGACCTATAAAGTAATGTTAAACGGGATTTCCAAATTAGTGAATCATTTAAATTATTTTATAGACCCCTTTGCCATTTATCCTGTTGATTTGTTTCTGAGATATTTGCTGAAAATTTTTTTCAGAAAATATTTAACGTAAGTTTTGATATCTTTTCAGGTTTACGAAATTTGTTCAACAACGTATCAACACAGTTTAGAGAAGACCTTTCTTTTTCAAAATTTTCCTGTTTTATAATAATTTTCCAGCTACTAGGTAATGCGGAAAGAACTGAATAATAAAACATAAATGAACCAGACAGAAAATTCATTTGGCTTTTGATTTGATCAAAAGACATAATGCGCAAAATATCCTTAACATATATCATATCAGAATTAAAACGTATATTAATATTGAGAGGTTTTCCGCCTACCAGTATATGAGAATTCAGGCAAAGGGGTTGGGAAATAATTTCTTTGAATTTAACTGGGTTGTAGTACTTGTAGTGACTCCATGCAATCAATATATAATTCCAGAAAGGATCTGCGTATTTATTGAACATTAAATGATCAGAGCGGAGATTGCCGCTAAAAAAATGTCACCTCCCATACGTCTCAGAGAATGTGCAAAAACATATTCCATTTACTTTTGTTTTCTTTATCAAAATATCTCTTTATCCAAGTAACTTTTATTGCACGGTTAAAAGATAATAAATGAGGCATTTTAAGCAAAGAGCGTCTAATTTTGTCCTTCTTATTACTCCATACAAATTTAAAGAGTACTCTCTGAAGTTCTTAAAAGAATGATAAAGGGGGATCAGGAAGAATACAAAGTAAATAAATCAATTTTGGTATAACAAGAGATTTAATAATGGTCACTTTTCCATACAATTTCAAAGACCTACGATTCCATATATTCAACGTTGTCTTAATTTCCTCAAATTTTGATTTGAAATTAAGATCATGAACACTCAAATTACCATTCAAAGGAATTTTAATACCTATATATGTAAAATAATCTGAAGACCAAATAAATGGAATGTCTTGACACAAAGGCACAGTAACTTTACATTTTCCCAGTCTAATCATATTACATTTTTCAAAATTAATTTTCAAACCAGAAGCTTCTTTGAAATCATTCAAGACTTTAACGCATCTACTAATATTCGATTCATCAGGTTCAAGAAAAATAACCGTGTCATCTGCATAATTATTGACTAATCTTTACCTCCTCATTTAATACTTTTAACCCACGAATATCTTTATTTTGTCTCACGAAATAGCCAACTACTTCAACTGCAATAATAACAATATATGGAGACAAAGGACGTCCCTGTCTCACACCACGCTTTATCTCAAAATAATCTGACGCGAACCCATTATTAATAACTCGTCCTTGTATATCTGTATACAGTAATTTCACCCAATTAATAAAATACTGATCAAATCAAAAAACATGAAGAGCGTCGTACATAAAATTCCAGTCAATCATATCAAAAGCTTTTTCAAAGTCAATACTCACAGCTAAACCGTCAATATTGTCTATTTACAAATGCTTCGTATATCAATAAATAATCGTATGTTCTCTCCAATTTTTGTTTAAGTGATCTTCTCATCAATCGTTATTTGTTAAAAGGCAAAATAAAATTCAGACCCCCAACCAATATTTTCTATAAATAATAATGATTTATTAAAATAATGATGGAGAACAAAAATCGAGAACACATAAATACAATAATAATAGTTAGTATTATTGATTAAAAACTATACGATTATAGTACACAATGTAGCAATAAACAAACCCGCCAGATTGCTCAAAATAATTTTACTATGGAAGGAATATCACAAAAATATAATAACTAATAACGTATTCACAAATAGTTTAATAGAAGCACGAATATACCAGTCAGCTTTTGAGCGGGAAAGAGTGTCCTGGTTTATGTTTGTCTGCAAGACCTACTAGTAACCAAGGTTACTTTGTTATTGACACGCATCCAGCATCAGTGAAATCAACTTAACATATATTATTTGTTACTATGCCTTGCGAACTCTAGAGTGGTCAAGACTAGCTTTTGTTCAAGTATTATACATACAAATAAGCAGACTGCTGTTTGCGATATTTGTAAACTGAAAATTTAAAACTGACATACATAAATAAATGCAAATTGAGATAGAAGCGGGGATTTGAAAGTTCTTGTATCATATTCAAATAAAAAAAATCCTGTAACAGTGTTGATGTTCAGACACTTTCCTCAGACGCAAATTAGCAGACTGAAGTAAGCCAACAATTTTCCGATCGCCAATGGTTGTCGTTTTTGGCGATTACTGCGTCGTATATGTTAAAGAGCTGATATGCGCCCCCCCCCCCCCCTCACCCTCCCCGTCCCGGTTCAGTTCATGTTATCGGGCGATCGTTTGATCCAGATAGCTTCCCGCATCCTCGTGGCCCAATCTTGGTTCTCTCTCGTGCGCTACGAGCTGCATGGCATCCGGTCTCATCTTTTGGCAGCTTAATTCAGTTCGCAATTCGCGTTAGAGGAAGATGACTGTACTCCAGACCTCGAAACTGTTAAATGTATTTTCTTTTCTTTTGGATGATATACAAGAACCTCAGATCATTATTACAACCCTCTTGAATGAACTATGTCATCAGATAAAAGCAGTGTTAACAAGCCCCGTGATAATGGGTTTTCCCACATAACATACAATTATGATTTGTGGATAGTTATGCATTTTGCTTTTAGTACCACTTGTTTTCGTTGTGCTTTAATATCGTTTATAACCATGTAGCTCCAGTAACTGTAGTATCAGAATTATGGTAATAAATAGTCAGATATGATAATTTTCTGTATTATTGCGTTTTCTAGTTTAGAAAAACAACGAAATATCAGCGACTCATTTCCCCCGTATATGATAAAAGCCTATTTTTAATTGAAATAGCGTTTCGTTACAAAAATTCAACTAGGTCTTGCTTATGTCATGAGGTGCAGTTGTACTTTTATTCGTCAGAGTATCTCAACCGATATTGCACAAAAGTAATTTTTTAACAACTAAGAAGATTTGATCAAATATCCCTGGAATAGATGAGGTAATGAAGTGCTGTTCAAGTGCTGGTGTGCTGTTAAAAAAAATATCATTGCAATTCTTACCTGATATTGAACAGAAGCAAACTTTTGATATTAAACGCGTATGGAAAATGAAATATACATGGTATGGATGAAGTAATGAAGTGCTGTTGGAGTGATGCTGTACTGAACCTACGGCTTACCTGGTATGGAACAGTGGTACCAGCTTGATAACTCCGAGGATAGACCAAATACACTTGGTATGCCTGAATTTATGACCTCCTTTAAGACTAATTGTACAACATCCCCACTTTCTAACGTCTTCGATGGGCACATAATCTTCATAGAATTGGGCTGTTCAGCGGCAAAAGCTGTAAGATATTTAATCAAATTGTATATATAAAGAAGGCACCAGCCACATAATTCAGAATAATCAATTTAAAAAAGAGCAGGGAATAGAAGTCAATAGAGGAAGAAATGCTCTCTTAAAAATAAAAAAAATGATATGAATTGGGTTTGACATGTTAGAACAATTCAGTTTCAATAAAATGAATCAGGAAAGTAAATAATCATAATTACATGGAATGAAAAAGAGAAATACGGCAAATTATTTCGGTGTATTCTCCCCGGTATCATCACATTACATTTCATTACATTTCTACTTATTCATCAATACAGGAAATAAACCAATTTGCTTCAAACCAAGCACAGTTTTTACTAATAAAACTAAATCTGTATTCCTCGTTTCGTTAGGATCACATGTAAATACATTAAATATACGGTTCCTACCTGTTCCCTGAAGTAGGATCATGGCTAACATGAACATTAACACAAACATGACGAAACCAGTCACCGTGCGACGCTATGTAAATACAAAAATTCAACGAGAAATTTAACATGTATATAGTTATTTGCAATTGAATCCCCCTTTTTCTTCTTATTTTCCTTACATTTCAGAATATAATAGAAGCAACATTCAGGGTTTGTGGGGGCACATGCACCCCAATTTGTACCCCTATTTGTAATTAAAGGGCAATCGAATCCTTGGTAATCAGTTCATTTGTATGAAAGCAGGAAAATAGCGTAACTGAATGGCGGAGGTTTTAAATAAATCGGACCAAGAAAATTATGAATGTTAGAAGTATGAAATCACTTAAAGTCTATGCAAATATCAAATTGGCATCTTGTTTAGTGGATTGTATCAGTGGATCATAGTATACAAATATCATGGAGCTCTGTTTTTCCTTAAGTGCCTTTTCCCTTTGGTGACTACTCAAAATATATATCATGGGTAGCATATCATTATAGGTCCCCTAAAGAAAAAAGACCCTCCTAAATCTGAATTTTGAGAAATTGAATTTGTTTCCTTCCTTCTTAATTGTATGTGTTGGAACAAATGAGAAAGCGGTCCGCCACTACATTACAGAGACATTACCGATTCAGCCAATTTAAAGAGCCCATACCTACAAACAGTTATGATTTATTTATAATACATAGTACACTTAATTAATTTAAGCTAAATATATTTGGGGGAAAAAACCTCTACTCGGTTACGCTTTTCTACATCTTCACATCGCAATACATGTAAATGCCACACAATAGTCACTCAGTGGAAGGCGGTATATCACATTATATATATATATATATATATATATATATATATATATATAGGCGTGAAGAGGCCTTCTTCGGGTTCTGAGGTGCAAACACATACAAAAACAAATACATTGTATGAACAAATATACATGGCATACAAACTTAATATCACTCAATCATAGTCAAGCATCATGAACATATAGCAAAAATTAGTACGAGAAATACTTTCAGAGTTGAGAGAATTCTCGCACTTTTATATATATTTATATATATATATACACATGTTTATATATAAATTATACATTATCACCCGATCCTTGTATTAGACACACTTCACCTCCATTATTATGCGTCAGTCGGTATTCACTCACAATGTGGACTATTTTTTCTCTAATTAATACAAGTCTAGAAGTATTGATACCAGTTTGCGACTCACATTGAAGTCTAGATACACACCAGAAAAAAATACTAATACCAAAAACAACGACAAAAAGCAAACATATACCGCAATTAAAAAAAAATTTGTATTATAAAACATCTTTATCTATTTATTCAATGCAATAACATAATGCCATTAATCGTGTATGTTTTATAAGTTTAATAAGAGCACATGGGTGTGTAATTATAAAAAAAGAATACATAATCAATTAGTGAAAAATAATAATTTAATAAGATATGGCAATACATGACATTGGGGAACATTCAATTCTTTCTTGCCACTCATTTGTGTGTTGAATTATTTTGCCATGAAGTATTTAAAAGTGTTAAGGAGACAGAAATTCAGATTTTCACCATTATGGTGAAAAGCATGTTCGAATTTCATTTATTCTATGCAATTACAAAGTTTCCAAGCATCAAACTAATCTAAAATTGGTATTTTAGCCAGTGTATTTACACCGTACTTTGTTTGTGTGATATTGAATTCAGGCAAAAGTTTTATTTCTTAACAACCCTGGCCAAATGTCGAAAATCGATCTCCCATAACTTTACAACTGAGTAAGCTGTTGCTTTGAATCCTGAAATTCTTGTTGAAACTGTAAATTCGGAACTTGAGAATATTGCACAGTAGATTTTTGCGAATAGACTGTCATTGAACTTGGACAAAACTAATTTCAAATTATATAGCAATTCAATCTCCGATTTACCTGGAGATATCTATTTCAACAATGTTAATTGGATTAGGAACATCTGATTTGTGACGAAATACATGTATAGTGTTAAAGCTGGGAATATACTTGTTTACAATCAGACTCAACTAAGAAGTCATTTCTGGAAATGTGTTGGTAATTTTGTGGTGCCATTTAAAACATGTCAAACTATGTTTCCTAAAGAATTGTGTATTCTCTTTTTTCTGAACAGGTTCATCGATTTTTAAAATGTGATATCTGCGCAAGGCTGGAGACTCACATTTAGAAAACCACTGACAAGATAGCTTGGCAGACTCTGATTCAGCAACGAGGAATACACCTCACACAACAGAAGTAAAGTCAATGCACTAGATCATAATTTTCAACAACAAAAATAGACTACAGATTTGAAACACCTTTTTTGACAAAGTGAATGTTATCTACCCGGACTTGACAAAGATATTATTATCTACATTGAGTTGACAGAGATAATATAATCTGCCTTGACTTAACAACTATTCTATTTTTTTACCCGGATTTGACAAATAAAATATTATCTGCCTTGAATTTGCAAAGAAAATAAGATCTACAATGACAAAAATAATGAGATCTGCCCCGACTTGACAAAGATAATGTTATCTACACTGACTCGATATAGATAATAATATCTGCCATTACTTGGCATTGGCAATATCAACTGCCTTGACTTAACAAAGATTCTATTTTTACTCGGATTTTACTAATATAATATTATCTGCCTTGAATTTGCAAAGAAAATATGATCTACTTTGACAAAAATAATGAGATCTGCCCCGACTTGACAAAGATAATGTTATCTACACTGACTCGATATAGATAATAATATCTGCCATTACTTGGCATTGGCAATATCAACTGCCTTGACATGATAACGACAATATAATCTGCCTTGACTTAACAAAGATTCTATTTTTTACTCGGATTTTACAAATATAATATTATCTGCCTTGAATTTGCAAAAGATAATATGATCTACAATGACAAAAATAATGAGATCTGCCCCGACTTGACAAAGATAATATCATCTATCTCAACTTAACAAAGAAAACATTATCTGCCTCGACTTGACAAAGATAATGTGATCTGCCCTGACTTGACAAAGATTACATAATACAAAGAATATATTAACGCTGTAACTTAAGGCATTCTATGATTTGATTTAAATGTACAGTACATTATATTACTTTTTTTCAAACGCACTACTGATACAGCATTAAAAAATGACGCATATATATATATATTGTTTGCTTTTGTTGCATTGTGTATCTTTTTCAGTAATTTTTCTTGTGTGTATGCAGAGTTAACAGTGAGTAAAGCGTTGGTCACATCCCACCGTGCGTGTTTTCAGTCCGTACGGTTTTGGGGGAGGCCACGGCCGCCACGTTTTTCTGAAAACGTAGGGAGGGAGTGGCAAAGGCAGGGAGGGAGTACCGGCAACGCGCGTCACACGCACGGTGTAAGTACGTGGCCCGCACGCCACGCCTGGCCGTGAACGGTTGCGTGCATCGTACGTTGCGCACGTGGTAAGTGCGTTGTACGTGCTTACAACGTGCTTACAACGTACGGTATCCGTGCGGTTGCCCCGTTATCGTACGGTGGCCGTACTTACAAGTGCTGCTCACGTACGGTGTCCTTACTCACTCGCATGGTGTGTGTGCGTGCAAGTGCGATGATATCGGTGTTTATATAGGACGACATTCCGATGTTCTCCAGAAGTCCCAGCTGTTGCTGCCTCAAGATGCCGCCCATTCCACCGAAGAGACTATATACTGCATAAATCAGTGCCAACAACGTGCGTTGTAAGTGCTTACTCGGTACGGTCCATGTGAGTTCTGCGTGCTCATTGGATAGCTGAACTGGGGAAGTGGTGAGTAAGCACGGACCACGCACTTATCACGTGCGCCTTTAAAAGACGCACGGAGTCGGTGCGTTGTGCGCTCGTTGGCAGTACCGGGCACGCACGTCACACGCACTGGGGTGAATCGGTAACCCGAACGCAGCCCGAACGCAGCGAAAGTTCCTCGTGCACTAAAAGTGCTACGGTGTGTCTGCGTGCTCCCAAATCCGTACGGAGGCGGTACTCATCACCAGGGGCGTACGCAGGGGGGGGGGGGGGGGGGGGGGAAGGTATTTTTATGTGTGTAAACCCCCCTAAAAAACTAACCCCCCCCCCCCCCCCAACGAAATTTTTTTTCTTCAAATTTTCAAATTTCGAGACCACTGAGCGACTTTTCGGCCGGCGCGATTTTCAAATTTTCGGGAGCAAAATATTTTGGGCCAGATTTTAAATCCCCCCCCCCCTTGAAAAAAACCTGGGTACGCCCCTGCTCATCACGTACGGATACCCGAATTTTGCCCACGTTTTTGCACGTAGACAGCACGCACTTGCAAGTACGGCGGGATGTGACCGCCGCATAAATGAGAGAAAAAACACGAGTCCAAATAAAATTGTGAGTGAGAGAATACTAGTAGGAGACCAGCCTGTAGGTCCCTTGACCAATCTCTGGGAACAAAGGTTTGAAAGTGTTTTTGTGTTCCCTGATGAATACCGAACCATTTTGACTTGGGCTGCCCCCTTGAAAATTCCGGGCATTTTCGTGAGGGGTCAACAAACGTCATACAGGGTAGAAATTCAAATATATTTCAATCGTGTTGATATACAAATCAAATTACTCGTCTGGTCATGAGGATTCCAAAAATGTATAGTTTGCTATACCTCCGACCTTAAATAAGGGCGATATGGTCAAAAACGTTGAAAGGTCAACACACTTTTGACCGGTGGTCAAATTCACCAACACAGTGAACTTGATTTAATTGCATATCAAATTACTCGTCTGGTCATAAGGATTCCAAAAATGTATAGGTTGTTATACCTCCGACCTTAAATGAGGGCGCTATGGTCAAAATGGTCAATGCACTTTAGAAATTCACTTACATAGTTAACATTGTCCGATTCTAATGATTTAAGCGTCTAATAATATGTTTTCTGACATGGCAAAGTCAACTATACAACTTTAAAAAGTAAAAGTGCTTACCTTGACCATTTACATTCAAAATGGCTGCCGTTTCGGTGCAAACATCTAACAACTTCTTATTCGTGGGTTTGAAGAAAATTTCAAGGTTATGGCAACCACTTTTGATTTTAAGAGTTGCTTAGTTGAATTTGTTATGTCAGAAAACTTATTATTAGACACTAAAATCATTAGAATCGGACGATGTTAACTATGTAAGTGAATTTCTAAAGTGCATTGACCTTTTTTACCATAGCGCCCTCATTTAAGGTCGGAGGTATAACAACCTATACATTTTTGGGATCCTTATGACCAGACGAGTAATTTGATATGCAATTTAATCAAGTTCACTGTGTTGGTGAATTTGACCACCGGTCAAAAGTGTGTTGACCTTTCAACGTTTTTGACCATAGCGCCCTTATTTAAGGTCGGAGGTATAGCAAACTATACATTTTTGGAATCCTCATGACCAGACGAGTAATTTGATTTGTATATCGACACGATTGAAATATATTTGAATTTCTACCCTGTATGACCTTTGTTGACCCCTCACGAAAATGCCCGGGATTTTCAAGGGGGCAGCCCAACTCAAAATGGTTCGGTATTCATCAGGGAACACAAAAACACTTTCAAACCTTTGTTCCCAGAGATTGGTCACGGGACCTACAGGCTAGTCTCCTACTATACCGACTGATAATCGTGCGTAACATTGTGTCTCATACAATGATTGGATAATAAGGTTAATATAAAAGCTCGTAATAAAAGTGTAAAGTACAGTTACTTCTCTCGTGCCTAGAATTTTCTTCACGCCTATATATATATATATATATATATATATATTTATATATACAGTGTTTATGTATCTATTTATTATTGTGATATACCGCGTTCTATGGAGCGACTGTTGTGTTGCTTGTTATTTGATAACGTGTAATAAGGGTAGTGAATTTTATCTTATTTTGGGGGCAAATGTGACATTTCCCCCCGTTTTTTAAAACTAAATATTGAACAAAAATTTGTTCATTTTGAAAATATTTCACTTTGTATCAAAATGAGTTGAATTGAATTGCATGATAGACATTTGATAACAAATCTGCTTATCAGGAAGAAATTCTTATCACTAAAGAATTTCATTCCCTTGGTAATTAAGTAAAAATGATGTTTCCTGTATATTTAAGCTATTTTGGAATTCAGGACGAGGTTAAAATGGATATGAAGTTTTTTTTTAAAGCGTAAAGAAAACCTTGTAAAAGACGTGGCCACAAAATATTTTCCTTTGATAAAATCTCCAATAGTGAGTTATTGTACATACCTGTCTTATTTTGAGATACAAAGCGGACACATCTTCCAATATGTATTCATGGACAGAGATCCTTCTATTGCAGCGAAAGTGTGAACCCCTCGATTTCCACACTGAGCCTTAGATGTTGAATCACAGTTTAAATGTCAGGAAAATTCCACTTTTCAAAAGGTATGCCGGATTTGTCAACAAGTAGGGCATATGCATTACACATGCCCCTCCACAGCTGGGAACGAGGTAGCTAGGTTACCGAGCACGCCGAGTGAACCAGCTGTACGACGCAAAGAGAGGAATATGGACTTTTAGATTTGCACGAAGACAATGTGGATTGCTACGGTCGACGTCCTTTTAATGCACTGCCTTGAATGGACGTCACACGTATCAGTCTACGCAAATCTAAAAGTCTCTATTGTCACAGCTTAATCACATGGTTCAGGAAAAAAAAACGAGCTATGTCATGCGAATCGCGGTTCAGTAAAAGCGAGCAATTTGAGGACGAATTTCATACACCTTACGAAGCATCCACACCCGACACGCCCACCCTACAAGCGCCTAGTAAAAGTATAACAGACAATTGTCACAAAGCACCCGACATAGAGCAGCCTGAGCAGGCCTAGCCTATATCAGAGCTTAAACCACATCGCAATAAAAAAAAATCACGGGTTTCTTCGAGAAAAGCGCCAACTCGGAGAAAGAGGATACATCAGAAGGAGTAGAGGAAGATTGTTCAGAAGAGATAGATACCAGCGATGGCGAATCAGACGTAATGCCGGAATCTCCGGAAATCGCGAAAACCTCAACTAACAAAAGAGAAAGCAGAAAAAGGAAACAAAAGGCCAAAAGCAAACATGAAAAGAAAAAGTGAAAGAAACGAAGATACTTTGGACTGGATGTTGTTGAACTTTACCTTTATACATGACGAGGAACATTCGATTATTAAGCTTAAATGTACGTGGAATTTATAGAGAGTATACAAAAAGGCAAAAGATTTACAAGTTTGTATACGATAAAAATGTCGAGATAACATATTTGCAAGAAACACATAGTACGGTAGATAAAGAAGTTTTTTGGAAGCACCAAATAAAAGGTAATGTTTATTTTAGTCACGGAACGAATAATAGCCGTGGGGTCATCATTTGTTTTAGGGAAGGGTTAGATTATACGATTCAAAATACAATCATAGATAAAGAAGGGAGATATATTATGATGAAGGTAGAAATAATGGGAAAGATGTTCTTGTTAACGAATATTTATGCTCCAAACAATTAACAGGAGCAGGTGAAGTTTTGGTCTGAATTAAGACATATATGGGAAAATATTGAAAAGCCCCATGATATCATATTTTTAACAGGAGGAGATTTCAATGTGGCTATGGATCCAAAGGTAGTGGAATGAATAGTTTAAGCAGTACGTCCTACTCACATGTTAGTAGAGATACCCTTGTTATCTTACTGAATGATTTTAACCTATGTGATATATGGTGTTTTCTTAACCCTCAAAAGAAACAATATTCTTGGACAAAACCGGATTGTTCTATTCAAAGTAGACTAGACTACTGGTTTATTCCTTATAATTATCAAGGTAATTTATCAAATATATAACTTATGTACCTTCTGTTGCAACTTATCATTCAGCGTTGATATTACATTTGAAATTTAGACACTTAATTCCAGGGAAAGGATACTGGACATTCAATACATTCTTTATGTCAAGATGATAACTATTGTACAAGTCTCCGTAAAGAATTCTTATTATGGTTGAAACAAACAAATAATATTTTTCCCTGAGTCAGGTGGGATTACCTGAAATACCAAATCCTAAGATACACACAGAAGTATAGTAAACATAAGGCTCGGAAGCTAAAAGCAGAAAGAATAAAATAAGAAAAAGAGGTAAAAACCTTGGAATCAAAGTTACATATGAATTCTGAACTAATTAGAAACTACCAAGAAGCTAAAAAAAAGCTCTTGAAAAATATTATGATCATGTTACGGAAGGCCTTATCGTTCGATCCAAGGCAAACTGGATTGAATATGAGGAAAATGTAATAAATAATTTCTTACACTGGAAAAACAGCGAAAAGAAAATTCTACTATCCGAAAGCTTTCGAAAGAAAGTAATATCATTGAAGATGAACAAAAAAAATTACAAAATATTAAGAATTTCTATACAGAGCTTTATACAAAACAAATGGTAAACACAACAGATGAAAATGCAAATTTGTTTTTGAAAACAAGACGGAGGAAACTCTCCGAAACATCGTCCATTTCATGCGAAGGGCTTCTCACTGAACATGAATGTAAGAAAGTAATATTGGAAATGCATTCCGGAAAGTCACCGGGGAACCACGGACTGTCGAAAGAATTCTATATTACCTTCTGGGATATTGTAAGGGAACCTTTACTTATTTCGTTGAATTATTCTTACCAGGAGGCCGAGCTGTCTACTAGTCAAAAACAAAGTGCTATCTCTTTAATTTGTAAGCCGAACAAAGATAAACGTCTTTTGGAGAGCTATAGGCCAATATCTTTAATTAATGTGGACGCAAACATTATGTTCAAACGTGTTGGCGAATAGAATAATACCAGTTTTAGACAAAATAATTGACACCGATCAATATGCTTTTTTACGTGGGAGGGCAATAGGGGAAGCTATCCTAAATGTACATGATGTTTTCCATTTTCTCTGTACTGAACAAAAAACAGGATTCATTGTTTCAGTAGATTTTAAGAAAGCGTTTGATTCTGAAGACCATGCATGATTTCATGTTTCAATGTTTACATTCGTTTGGTTTTGGAGCATCTTTCATTAAATGGGTAAAAGCTTTGTATACAAATGTAGAAGGTTGTGTTTTAAATAATGGTAAATCTACAGGATATTTCCCGATTACAAGAGGAGTAAGACAGGGAGACCCCCTCTCTCCCTATATGTTTATAATTTGTCTAAAAACACTTGAATTACGCATCAGAAATTCAGTAGATATAAGAGGAATATTATTGTAGTAGGTACGAATGAATTAAAGCTGTCTATGTATGCAGACGATTTTTGCTCTTTTTTATTCAGATGTGAAGTTGCTTAAAGGGCATATGACATCGAAATACAAGTGTATTCCTGTTGGTGTGCAGTCATGCATACATCTCATATTTTGATATGTAAGCTTCTGAATTTGTTTCATAGGTTTTTTAATATTTTTTGAAATATTTGTTTTTCAAACTTGCTAAGCTCCACCCCAAAAACCTCCAGATCTCATTCCCCTTGTGACATCATCTGTCAGTCATCAATGAGCTAACGTGAGAAAGTGGTATCTTTGCCGAAGTCGACCACCTGTTACAATACGTAATACAATAGCAACATACAACTTCCTATGTCAGACATGCTTGTAGCATCACCAGGAAGACAAAGGCAATGATGATGTATTGTACATATGTATGAGAGCATGCAATTCTATTATGAACGTGTGCTAAGCTGGGGAAAATTACATACCATTGTCTATTCTAGAATATTAGTTTAGTCTGACATGTCTGACATAATAACTAAAATGTTGCTATTGTTTGTGTATTTGGTAGATGTTCAGTCATCTGCCAGCGCACAACAATTATATTGGATTCAAAGAATAAAAGAAGCCGATAAACAAGGAGGGTTACAAATGTTTAAATATTATCTTAAAAAGAACGGTGGTTAGTTCCTGTTTAATTGTAACTATAGCCATAAAATGTTAGACAAAAACATTCTTAAAGGGGAAGTCCACCCTGAAATTAAGTTAGTTTTAATAGGAGTAGAAAAATGAGAGAAACAAGTCAGTGAAAGTTTGAGCAAATTCCGATTAGAAATAAGGAAGTTAGGATTTTTGAAGTTGTGATCAATCAAACACAAATTGGCAACTCTATGACGTATCATGCGAGCTCAACATCCATTTGCTCAGTACTAAAAAAATCTAAAATTTTCATTTTCCCTCAAGAAAAATTTCAACCATACATGCACCCTAAATATAATAATTGCAAATATGTTTCTATACTCCCCCTGCAAGGAACAAATAATATATTCCGTCATCAATAACGAAGAAAACATGATTTTATGGAATATTATGCACAAAGCAAATGAAGGAGAGCTCGTATAATAAGTCACAGAGTTGCCAATTTGTATTTGATTGATCACAACTTCAATAATTCATAACTTTCTTATTTTCATTCAGAATTTGCTCAAACTTTCACTCACCTGATTTTCTTATTTTTGGGGGTGGACTTTCCCTTTAAAGGTAATACAAAGTTTTGGGAAATTTTGAAAATTGGGTGGATAGTGAATCTTTACAATTTTGATATATTTGGATGCCCCTATGGATGTATTATAAGCACTAACAAAATTAACCCCTAAAACACTTCTGTTTTCGAGAAAAATTGAATATAAAAATTTACCGGTGCTCCCGGTAAATTTTGGTAAATTTCAAATAGCGCCTACGGCCGTACAATGGAAGCTGCGACCATGAAAATCTCAGAATATGTAGTTGTGATATAAAACTTCCAAACGGGAATAGCTCATCGGTCGATTTTTGTCAAGAAACATTGTTTCATAGCTAAATTGATATATTGACCTTGAGAGGGAGCTATACAACATGAAGAGTTAATTATTTATAATTTCATAACTTTAGACTCGATTTTAACCGGGACAACGATCACAGAATATTGTAGGAACGCATATGCTTCCAATATGTTAATTTGAACCAAATTCATGGCCCCCATACCAAAACTTTGTAATACCTTTAAGCTCTATCGAGCCATTTTAGAAAGATGGAATTCTTTCAATGTGAGAAATAGAGAGGATAGTACGAAATTCCAGATTATTTGGAACAATAGACAATTACAAGTCAATTCAGATATGATTTTGTTTCGAAAACTGTTCATATAAAGAATGGTGTTTTTTAGGGACATCCTCATAGAAGGGGGCAATTTAAAGCAACAAGATGACATGAAAAGGTTATTTGAACTAGATGCAAATGATTACTTTAGGATACAGGGAGTGTACTCTTCGTTATCAAAAATAAATATTCCTAAAAATAGTTTATACAAAACCATTCAAAAATGATATTACTTCCAATATTATTTTACCCCCCGAGTTGATATTTTTGGACAGAATAAAAAGCAAACAAGTTTATGATCTGTTGGTCGCAGAGAAATATAAATGCCCAGTCAGTACGTTTAGACTAAAGAATAGATATGATGTTTCAGATAAAGAATTGTTATTTGCTCGTTCAGGTATCATTTCAACTACATTTGATGTAATTTACAGAGAATTTTAGTTCAAGGTGTTAAATAATATTCTGAATTTGAATTATAAACTGTATAAAATGAAAGTCATTAGTTCCCCATTATGTTCTTTTTGTGATCTAGAAAATGAAACGATTGAACATTTTTTTGGGGAAATGTACAATAGTACAAGATTTTTGGAATCAGCTCGGAAAAGAGCTGACTATGTTTGATTTCTCGATGTTAACCGAGAAAACGGTAATTCTTGGTATATTGTCGAAGGATTATATTCTTTTTAATCATATATTAATAATTGCAAAGAAAACAATTTACCTAAATAGATGCAAATTAGCTAAACCAAATTTTTCGAACTTCATTTCCTTATTAATAAAAATGGAGAGATACATTGCTATACGTAATGAGAAAAAAGCTGCCCACGACAGCAGGTGGCAGGGCATGGCCCAATGGATATCCATTTAAGAAAAGAAAGATTTTTGATATGTTAATACGCTGTATAATGTTCAATGCATTATGTAATCAAATGTTTATTTTCACTAATGTGTGAATCATTTGTCAAATATATCAATATACCTCGAAGTGACCAAAAATTAAAAAAGACAATTTCAATACAACAAAAAGATCCTGTGGATGAGTTTGTGTGTGGAGGGAGGAGGGGTGTTCGCGCGCGCACGCCTGTGTGCGTGTGTGTTGAGCGCATCTATAATTCTGCATCTATCAGCCAGCCGGTGAATAAGCGGGGGGGGGGGGGTGGGGGTGGGGTAAGAGCACTTTTTTCCTTGTTTTTGGTCCAATTTTTGAGGACATATTTAGCAGCGAATCATCCAGCCGGTGAATAAGCGGGGGTGGGGGGGGGGGAGATAGAAGAAAAACTTCTTCTTTTTTTTTGGCTAGGGGGGCCGGGCCGGGCCCGTCGATCCCTCTCCCCCGTGGATCCGCGCCTGAACCTAACCCTGCATAGAGCCTAAATGCGGAAAAAACAGGTTACATCAGCTAATGCCCTAATACTTACCCATGTTTTTTGTTATATGATAGCCCACGAGACCGACGGCCCACGAGACCGCACTTGTAAATAATAAGCCGCAAGCTATCTATCTAGGCTGAATTTCGGCTGCGTATGGTTGACAAATATATTATCTTTTATTTTCCGTTAACAAGACAATTCATGAATAATTATAAAGACCCTAGTGCACATACATTCATCATGCATCTTCTTTATCTTATAAACCATTGTAGCTGTGGAAGTGTATTAATTAATTTGCCTGATGTTAAAGGTGCCCTGTACAAGAATGCTCTTGGCGATAAAGGTTTGTATCTTGTATAATTATGTCTCAATGATCGACAAATTAATTGAAGTACTATGACATTGGCCTGTTTTCTAAAGTCGTGTCTAACTCCTGTTTAACTAAACAGTTGTCTAAGTCCTGTCTAAGTCCCCGTTTAACTTTAGACACGAAGTCGTGTCTAACTTTTTTCGTATTCTGAAGTCGTGTTTAAATAAAGTTAAACACGAAGTCCTGTCTAAGTCCTGTTTAACTTTAGACAACTGCGAGGGGTTGTTAAGTCGTGATAAAGGGCGCGATTCTGCTGCTTTTCAACGTCGAAGGTTCACTCTACTTGCTGACCCCGAACTTGCGGGGGAGAACGATGGTACGTGCATCCTCTAAAATTTGAAATACGTTTTGCAGGATTTTTTTTCGTGTAGCCTAATTTTTTTTCTCGATAATATTAACTATTCTTATCTACTGGTGACATCTTGGAAATTCCATAATCTATAATAAACTAACCATTCTGTTGTTTTCTGCTTCTGCAACGTATCCTCTGTCTCACTATTAAACAATGTTTTTGAGATATTAATATTTTATCAACACTATAAGATATCTGACATCTGATAGAAAACCAACTTCCTCACTTTGAGGCATGGAAATGGAAATGAGTTGGATTGTAATGGGAACAAATCTTGCAATCTTTGTCAGTTATCAAACTAATATGGGTTCTCCTAATAATCAGCCCCCTACCAATATTTTACGGGCTACATAAGAAAGCAATCTGCGTGATTTTGCGTTGTCTTGACTTTTCTGCAATCGACGTCTGAATTGGGGCAGATGAATTTAAGCATGATACAAAATTGTATTTTAATATCAATCTTTTTGCTAAGTTAAAGACGAATTCTTTCTGCATTTAAAGTAGCCAATATCCCCGAGAAAAGAAAAATTATTCGAAGAGGTTTGTTCGCATTTTTTCTTAAATTCTGCTGGGTACATTTAAAAATTCAATTTATCAAGTCTTCGTCACAATAAAATTACCTAATTAATGATTTTATGACTTTTCCAGAATAATGAAAAGAAATTAATTCATTATAAGATTTCATATTTTGTTTTAATCCCAAGTTTTCATTTATGTATAACCGAGTAATGTGGTCGTATAGTATACCTGTGGTAGTTTTACCAGACTTTGCAGGCCTGAGAATTGTGAGATCATGATAAAACATGTTGGATTTTATAACTTTCCTTTTGAAATAAGCCTAGTTTCGACTCACAAATTTCAGCTAAAACTAGAACTTTCAAAACAGATTTGTAGCACCTGAAAAAGATTACTTGTATGGAAAAATATGTTGGAACTATAGATAATCTTAATTATTTTACTCGTGCGTGATTATTATAAGATACATTGAGCCGATTTACCTTTTTCCTCAATATTTTGAAATATGATTTCTGAATCATCAGAATAGATTTTGACTGAAAATGAAATGTTCACAATTGGTTTTTAAATAATTTAATCGATATTTCAGAGAGAGTGGGGTGTTCGTTTAACTTCATTTACGGAGCTATACCCGAGGGAACCTATCATTTGACGATTTAAACATAAAATTAGCAAGGTCTTTCTTTACTTTTACATTCAAACAATCATACAGGGTGAGTCTGAAAAAATGTCCAACTTTTTAAAAGTTGTATTGTTTGAAGCATGAATATTTAATCATGGGTTTCATGATTTGTCTTGATAGAGTTATCCTCCTATACATTTAGGTACCATTTTCATTTGAATCTCTGCATGCATAACTGAACATCGGACAATCTTTATAAGACTGCCAGATCTCACTTTATGTACACTTCTAATGCAACAATCTTACGATATTATATCAACTAGCATTTGTTTTGTATTTAACAATTAGCGCAGTGTAAGTTAATCGGTTTAGGGAGAGCCTTAATCTTCGTTAATAATAATACGAATAATATTTAGCTTTTATATAGCGCTTAATACAAATGTCTCTAAGCGCCTTACTATAATTATCAGGCGCGGATCTACGGGGGGGGTTTAGGGGGTTTAAACCCCCCCCCCCCCCCCTTGGGCGGCCCAGAAAAAAAAAAAAAAAAAAAAAAAAGGGAAAAAAAAGAAAAAAAGAAAGAAAAAAAGAAAGAAAAAAGAACGCACGCTGGAGAGAAACCCTTTCAAGTGCAAATATTGTGAGAAGATATTCAACTCATCTGGTAACTTAACCAAACACATGATAACTCTGGATATAACTGTGTATTAAACTGTTACTTGATTTAAAAAGACGTTATCATGCACTGCTTTTTATGGTCTCCATTGTGTTAATAGATGCCAGGAAAACATCACTTACGGGGTTCAAATAAACACCCCCAAAAAAATCGGCTCGCCGCTTCGCGGCTCGTGGACGATGCTCTGCATCGTCATTATTTTGGTCAAACCCCCCCCTTAGCAAAAAGCTAGATCCGCCCCTGATTATACCCCGGTCATTGGATACAGCTAGTGCATGCTTGCCCGCACACAATGTGTGCACAATCTCCACTCCCTATAATCATATAGTTGCATTTGTTTGTGGTCCTTTGATGAAGCAAGCAAGTATCGCCAGCATAAAGTGACAGTTTACAATGTCTAATTACTTTAGATACCCCCCCCCCCCCCAAAAAAAAAGGGGGGGCGGGAGCAACGCCTACTTGGCTAGATCTGTCGCTTATTATCTTTTTATTTTTAATGAAAAGGTATTAAGCCATTTCCTTAAACTATGCTTATCATGATAATAATATCAGCGCCTTGGTAATTATGACAGGTGCATGATGCAAATTCACATGATAGGGCTGTAATCATCTAAACATGACATTGCCCATGCATTGAGCAATCTAGTGTGTACAGTATTATACGGCGATCGAAGCTCAATATTTATTGTGCGACGTGTAATTTTTGAGCCCGCGAGATTTCATTCATTCCCAATCACCATTCTGCTACGCGTAATTCTGAAAATGGCTGATCAAGAAATGATGGAGAAAGGTGCCAGTGCACCCTTTTCTGTGGTTATAATAACGTTATCTCTCGGAGCTGTAATCCTCCTTTTAATGATCGTCTGTGGAGCAGGCAGGGGCAAACCAGAAGAAGAAGAAGAAACCGGTGAGTAGAACATTTTCATTCACTTCAGCCCCACCTATTATGAATGATGTAAGTCGATGATTCTACATCTACATTTTTTAATGAAGACATTCTTGATTCATTCATCATGTTTATGCTACCATGCCAGTCATGCCAGCCGTCTCTAGATTCTTGAACCATGTTTTGTACTAAATGCAACCAAATAGTATTCAACTAGAATAGTATTGTGAACATTGAGGTTAAAAAGATGCAAAACTTAGGAATAGGTCTAGATCTAGATCTAGAAAAGATGAAGACAAAAAAGTGATTTGTAATATTTTTGTTCACCCTAGATCTAGGCCTAGCTTAGACCGAATTTTACCGTCTCTTTCGTTCGTTAAGCCTCTTATTTGGGTAGGGTCGGCTCTAGAGAGCTGACCCTACGAGAGCCGACCCTACCCAAATAGGAGGCTTAACGAACAAAAGAGATGGAAAATTCGGTCTAGCCTCTAGGCCTAGCTAGACCGAATTTTCCGTCTCTTTCGTTCGTTAGCCTCTTATTGGGGTAGGGTCGGCCGGCTCTCTCTTTAGAGACGGAAACCGTCTATAACATTCCCTTGATAACGCCACGGCCATTTCAGGTCGTAGCGTTTTGCCCCCAAAATCCCCCAAAATGTCATTTTACCTCGTGCATTTTATATTGTAAATTAGGCCTAGGCTATAATAAATCAGTTCCACTTACCAACTTGACTGAAATAATCAGTTTAATAGTCCCTTTTTAGGAATTTATGGGTCAAAATCGAAATCCATGTTGAAAAAGATTTTCAAAATGGATTTCGATTTTGACCCATAAATTCCTAAAAAGGGACTATTAAACTGATTATTTCAGTCAAGTTGGTAAGTGGAACTGATTTATTATAGCCTAGGCCTAATTTACAATATAAAATGCACGAGGTAAAATGACATTTTGGGGGATTTTGGGGGCAAAACGCTACGACCTGAAATGGCCGTGGCGTTATCAAGGGAATGTGTATAGACGGTTTCCGTCTCTAAAGAGAGAGCCGACCCTACCCCAATAAGAGGCTAACGAACGAAAGAGACGGAAAATTCGGTCTAAGGCCTAGCTAGCCTATAGTATAATCGTCTGGTTAAAGGAGAGAGGAAGACCACCCCGGGTTAATTTTACTTTCATTAAAGCAGAAAATTTGAGATTAATGGTTTGGTGAAAGTATTCTAGACATAGACTAGCTCTATGAGTAGACCCTATGATATGCAGATTTAAAAATTAGAAAGTTGTAAATCAAAAGATTGATTCTAAGTTGCAATCCATCAAAAACATAATTGCAACAATGATTTACTGTACATGCACCTCTCCCATTTGCTAATATTTGATATGCATTAAAAATATTGTTAATTTCTCTGAACAAATAATGTAATTTCCCTGTACTTGATATGATTATTGCACTTATGGTTTTACAGAACCCCTTTCGATATATAGACTTCTAGTTCTAGGTCTATTCTTTTATCAACAACAAAGAAAATCCAAATTTATTAAATTATCATTCCTAAGCAAATGGAAGAGGCATTGAAATGGTAAGTTTCATAGAATTAAAACTTGCCAATTTGCATTTAATTTTAATTGATTACATTACAATTTTAGATTTTACCATAGGATTTCCCTTGAGCTTTGACTGACCATATTTCCTGTTTTAATCATTACCAAGCATCACTTGAGTTAAAGGTAAAGATCAGTTCTGGTCATGCGATTGAAAGAAACGTGGAATCGATCAGAAAAGATTGATTATATAGCATATAAGTATTGGTGTGTACTGCAAGGTTCTGGAATCATCAAAATGATAAGACATTTGGCCCAGTCTTGATAAAATTACAAGCATTGTACACATAAAGATGTATATGGGACTAAGGAACACGTGCATGATATCTATCAGGTCCAAATAGATATAATAATTTACCAAATATATCAATCAGTAGGCGGTTTCCCGGCAAAATTTGTATCATCACGTATTAGTCAAAACATATTTGTTCATATGACTGGTAATAAGAGCTTCCATTTCATTTTTTGAGGGGGGGGGGGGCATTTCCAAAACTGGCCTTTACCTTTAAATCTAATGAGAAGGTGTCCAGATATTTTATCCCCAGAGACTTTTGGGAGTGAAGAAAAGCACCTAGAATGTGAAACACATGTACATGTACCGGTAATGCAATGCAATAGAAATGACATGCCAGATCCTCCTCATGTATTCTTTTCTCCAGAGACAAACGACAAGAAAACCAAAGAGAAGAAATCCAACCAAGCGAACAAAAAACAAACCAAGTCTGTGACCCATGGCAACAAGAAGTCCTCTCAGAAGGCCTTCACCCATCCTCTCTTGGCCTCCTCACTCAAGGAGCACAGCCACAATGTACTGGATCTGGATTTCAGTATCAATGGAAAATATGTTGCGTCTTGCTCAGAAGGTATGCTATCTACATGCTAAGGCCTAAAAAAAGAAAATGTTGTATCTTGTATTGCCCTTTGTGATTGACCTAAAAAAATCTTGAAATCTATGGTCGGTTTAAAAAGAAAAAAAAAAATCTGTTTTTTAGAGAACAAAAAGTATTAAGCATTTAAATATCTGCCTTAAGAGGGAGGGAGAAAAAAAAAATTAAAGTAAAAATAAAAAAGAAATAAAAGATTTCCGATCGAGCGTCCCATGTTTTGGCACCTAAAGGGTGATACAACATCTTTTTGTTTTTAGACCTAATGTAACCAAAACATTTTAGGTGTTTGAAACTATTACAGATTTCAAGAGAGGTCTTGATGCGAGAAAATTTTATGCCTTCAATACTAAGGAATCACAGCCCTAGTTGTGTGCAAATTGTGAAGTGTTTGTACTCCAAAGACAGCCTTCGTCAAAACTTTGCTATATTTTTCGAGATTTGAGAATCCCAAAATTTGCATGTAGAAGTCTTTTTTCAGGGAGTCCTTTGTGTCCATTTCTGGTGATGGGAATTTGCACCTCATAAGAGTTGTAATAAGATTTTTTTAAAGTAGTATTTGATAACTACAGCGTGAGATTGTGAGAAGTGAGATTTTGTCTCTGGGCCTAAATCACAGGTGTTGATGTACAGTATACATGTACATGCACATAAGTTGGGTGCACATTGGAATAGTTTTGAGGATTAGAGCTTTAAACCAAATCGCAGTGTTTGGATTTCTACCCCCCCCCCCCCCACACCCACATACACGTCATACTTTTCTAACCCACACCCTCACTGACTCCCACTTGATGCCTTCCCCAGCTCAATTTCAGAAACTTTACAACCATTTCACATGATGTTATTGCTAAACACGTTTTGACACTATTAGCCATTCGACTGATTTGGGCAATGTAATTTCTTTTCTCAAAATCTGCGTACTGTTGTACTAATTTTAATGATTCTTATTTATTCACATTCAACAGATCGGACTGTGCGTGTCTGGAGTGTGAAAGAATTCAAAGAGAAAGAACACAAGTGAGTTAAATGTGACATAATGTATGTAACCAAAAATAAAAAGTACCTTAAACATAATTGAGTTATCAACGCTACATATTTGCACGTTATTGTATTATGATTTGTAACCTCATGACCCTGTTAGACAATGAGTGTATCTTTACAATCAATTTAGTAAATTTGTCTGGTAAAGAAAAACGGAATTTATTGAATGAAACAATCAGTTGTAGCAAGATTGGGGATACAAACAAATTTTGCAGTTGATTTCTGCAGTCAATTTGCATTATATTGCAGGGCCGAGTATTATTTCACCCCTCAGGGCCCTTACTGTGAAAACAATAGAAAATTAATCAGTAATTTTTGTCAAACAGCACAAGTATCTATAATTCACATGTCTCTTCTTTTGCAGATGTGTACGAGGGAATGTGGAGTACGATCATGCGACAAACATCAAATTCAGCCCGGATTGCAAGTGAGTAAATCTCTTTAATTTATGGCATTTCTTCCAGCAACAACACTTCTTTCATGTTTTAATTTTCGGATGAAAGTCAATTTTCTATCTTCAACCCGTGAACCCAACAGTATACATGTAGCTGATCTTCAACCTAACTTAAAGTCCAGTTGCAACTCAAACCCTCACTCTATATCTTTCATAAAATAAATCCCAGAGCAAGTATACCGCTGGAGCTAGTGTCAAATCATACAATCCATACATGCGAGGTCAGAAAATGCAATATTGTAAGCCACAATAATAATGATCTCACCGACAAATAGCCCCACCTAATCCATGTCATCAAAGTGCCAATAGAGGTATTTATAGTTTTATTTTTAATCTTTTTTTTTTAGAGAAAAAAATGTATAAAAGCAAACCAAACTGAGAAATATCAGCCCAAAGAGGGAGAGAAAAAAAGGGAAAAAACACAGATTTCTGACTGACCGACCCATGTATTGGCACCCAAAGAGCATTACAACATCTTTTTTTAGGCCTTATTGGGAAGTGAAAGTGAAAGATTCCTAAGTGTAGATCCTTGCTGCTTCTTAATGTATATAACAAGGACTAAAGAATATCAGTTTGATTGATTTAAATGGACTTTTAAAAACATTGTAGAAAATTTATTCACTAAATGTGATGAAGTCTATAAATATTCTAACACTTTCGTGAGTTACAATAGTGTATGACATCTTTATGGACCCTAGTTTTTGGCAGAAGGAGGGCAGGTACTCACAGTCTTCAAACCCTATTCTTTGTTTATTCTTTCTCAGGTCTTTCATCACAAGCACCGCCAATGGTAACTGCATCCGGGTTTTCAAACTCGGTAAAAGAGAAGACAGCTCAGCGGTACAGGTCACTCCCGTTCTGGATTTTCCTAAGGTAAAACATAGGACCTAAAATTGGCAAAGATCTTCCATCATCTTGTGACTGGATTCCTAAAATATTTTTTTAATTTATTTTAAATACTTAATCAAGGAGTGAAATTTACTTCATTTAAAAATGTTTGTTGGCAAATATGACACCTTTCAAACCTTGAGAAGAATGCATAAGAAACAAACTTTATTTTTTTAAGACATTACACACATATTGACTTGTAGGATGTGTAATATATCATTCTTCGGACTGGTGAATGGAGTTAAAATTCCAAGAAATGCGATCCGCTGAGGGGAAATATGATATAGAGGGGAAATATAAACTCCCTTGCCAACCAAAAAATGTATGTTACACCCCATCCAGTGAATATCTATTATATTAGATAGCCTTGATTGCTCTTTGTTATACCAAATTAAGGGTAATTGCGAACTGATGCCTCATTTTCTTTTCGAGCCTCTAGGTTTGCGCATCAAATGTGCACAGCTATGACATTGCAAGCAATGAGTACACCCTACAGCGCTCAGGATTGCTTGGAAACAGTATTACACAAATGTTAACGCATTAAACAAGGTGGTCAATATAACATCAAAAAATGACCTGGAGTGAAATATGCCCATTGCTATCCTTGCTATCTATATCATGTTACGAGTTTGACCTATCGCAACTTTGTATCTGTAAGGGCTATCTAATACTTCTTATTACTTGAATGGATATATGGTGGTCAGGTTTAGTTAAAAATCTCCACAGAATTTGATTAGAATAGATATTTGTAAAGCTAGCTCAGCCACAGGATGAAAATTTTAAATTAATTTTATCTTTAATAAAGTACATGTTCCTTTCATGTTTTGGTTTAGAATCAACTTCGATTCCACCACATTCTCCTAATATGTCCATTCTGATAACAATTTTTAACAAAGTAAGTTTGTTTGATTATTCCTCTGAAATCTCCTGTGTTCTATTGTTCTCTCTCCAGTGATCAGGTCTCAAATTTTCAATATTATGAACAAATTGTGTGTACATGTAATTTTACTCTTCTGTTGCTATAACAATTTTTAACAAAGTAATTTTGTTTGATTATTATGCTGAATTCTCCTGTGGTCTATCGTTCTCTCTCCAGTGATCAGGTTTCAAATTTTCAATTTTATGAACAAATGAGTGTACATGTAATTTTACTCTTTGCCTCACAGAGTCGTGATCAAGATATCTTGAGCATTGGAGTAGGGTCTAATGCATCAGGTAGCTTCATCATGGTAGCTTACACAGATACCACCATACAGATCTGGAATACCAAAGGTAATATTATACACAACACAGCAGTATATAGAGCATTTAAAGCCCATCTGCTCTAGTTTGGCCAGAGGGATTAGACCTCCCTGCAAGGTCACTGACAAGTGGTTATCTCATCAAATAAGCTCTCAATTAACATAAGAAAAAGAGGATTGTGGGGGACCTACATGTATGGCCATCGCTGAGGCATTGTTTGCTATATAGAGGGCGCAAGTAGCTGTAAGTAGTGCAGCGGGGCTTTAAACCAAACAGAGCTCCATTTTTTTTCTTTGTTTGCCTTATTACCCTACCATGAAACCCTACTACTTATTGTAGCAACATATCCAGTAATTTTTTTTAATACTGTTGTCTGCATAGTGGCATCTTGGAAATTCTCTGATTAAGCTAGCAGGAAACGGGTCGATTATGACGATACTTGTATGAAGCTTCAGGGAATGAGAGAATTCAAAAGTCAACTGATTAAAGGTAATGCAAAGTTTTGGGAAATTTTGAAAATTGGATGGATAATAATTCTTAAAAATGTTGATATATTTGGATGTCCCTGTGGATGTATTATAAATGCTAGAAAATTTAGCCCCTAAAACACTTCTGTTTTCGAGAAATTGAATAATCAAAAGTTTACCGGTACTCCCGGTAAATTTCAAATATTTCGAATAGCGCCTATAAGGCCATTCCATGGTAGCTGCGACCGTGAAACTCTCAGAATATGTAGTTCCGATATATAATTTCCAAACAGGATAAGCAAATCAGTAGATTGTAGTCAAGAAACATTGTTTTAAAGCTAAAGTAATATCAGTCTTGAGAAGGCGCTATACAACATAAAGAGTTTATTATTAAACAATTTCATCACTTTAGACTCGATTCCAACCGCGACAACGATCATTGAATATCGTAAAATGGCATATGCTTCCAATATGTTCATTTGAACCAAATTCATGACCCCATACCAAAACTTTGTATTAACTTTAAATATAATAGTTGGAGCAAATCATTTCTACATTCTCTTTCTTCAGAAAATCAGCAAATTGTATCTATAATAAAAGTTATCCATAATAAAATTTGCAGACGAAGACAGAGAGCTGACCAAGTGAAAGTGCTGCTAGACCGACTCACATTATAAAGTCATAAAAATCAACCAATTATATCTTTATTTGCTCAATAGCTGTAATATCTGCAATATTTTGTTTCATTACGTTCAGGTGAAGTGCTGGCGTCTGTGGATACCCATCATATGAACAACAACTATGCAGCTGTCTCTCCGTGTGGCCGATTTGTTGCATCATGTGGTAAGTTCTGTTTAAGAATCAAAACAGAAAGTAAGATTCCATGTGAACATTCTATCAGTGCTATTTTTAATCTAGACTTGCTGAGGTGGGGGGGGGGGGGGATTAACAGAGAGAGAGAGAGAGAGAGTACTTTAATAGATAGTACAGAGAAAGGGGCAGAAATTAAAAAGAGGGAGAGAGAGAGAGCAAGGGAAAGGATGATAAAATAAATGATCATACATCATTGTCAATTTCCCTTTGTGATTTTCATTCAGTTCATTGCTTCATTTTAAGAAAAATGGTTTTATAAATTGTAATTTTTGTTCTGGTTGTTTTATATGACAACGAATTAGTACATGAATTGATTTGGATGTAAGTGCAGGTACCAGTAAGTTTTAAGTTAATAGTGAAATACTGGTTTATCAATAAAGATATATATATATATATATGTATAATCATGAACCTTATCCACAGTACAAAATGTATAGAACTTGACCATGCACTCATGCAGTTTTGCTTGAAATTAATCTTTCATCTTGCTCTTCCTTTCAGGCTTCACACCTGACGTCAAGGTCTGGGAGGTGGTGTTTTCCAAGGCGGGTGAGTTCGGTGAGGTCAGGAGGGCAATGGAGTTGAAAGGTCACAAGGCAAGCGTCTACAGTTTTTCCTTTAACCTCGACTCGTCAAGGTGAGATTTTGGGTCTTTTTTTAATGTTTTGTGAGACCATTGTAATGTCATGAGATACAAACAGTGCTTAGTAGAGAAGGCAGATAAATTGGTGTTCAACACTGGTGGGGGGGGGGGGGGGGGGGGGGGGGGGGGGGGGGGGGAGGGGGGGGGGGTGAGTTCAGTGAGGTCAGAAGGGCAAGGGAGTTAAAAGGTCACAAGGCAAGCGTCTACTGCTCTTCCTCTAACCACGATTCGTTAAGGTGAGAACCATGTATTTATTAAGGCAAGACAGAAATGCTTAAGAATCAAAATGGCATAATGTGTTTGGTACTATTAGTGGATGTGTAATTTGGGGGCAGGGTCTTTATTTCAATGTTTAGTGAAATGATTGTAATGTCTCCATGTACTGGCAATATTTAGGGCATTTGGGAATTGATAGAAGTACTTGTTTTCAGTATTTTTAACAGCATTTCTTTTATACGAAATTTGATAAGTTTCATATTGCATTACTGGTATTTAGATCCTGTATCAGGTATTATTTGTGAAGTTCCCATTCCCTCAGTTGATTTCCAGCCCTTATAATACTAAATTGTTTCAGTGAACGTTGGCAGCTATATCATCATAACCTAGCTATCCTGGAAATCATGAAAAACCTGGAATATAATTTCCCTTTAATATGCAGTCAGGAAAAAAAATCAGAAGATTCCATAAGTCCAAAAGAATGCCGTCAGTCTCTTATACATGTTTGCTTATCCCAACAGTGTATCTGACTTAAAAGCCCCACTGCACTACTTATAGCTACTTTGGCCCTCTATATAGCAAACAATGCCTAATCGGTGCGTATTGATCCCCCATGATCCCCTTTTTCTTATGTTAATTGAGAGCTGATTTGATGAGATAACCACCTGTCAGTGACCTTGCAGGGAGGTCTAATCCCCCTGGCCAAACTAGTGCAGACGGGCTTTAAACTGGAAGTACGGTAGATTGAAATAATGCCAATCTAGGAATTTTGAAACTTCATCAGGGTAAAATAATCATGGATTATATTTTCATGAACCCCATCTCAAGTTTCACCTAAATTTGTGTTGTTTTATTTGTGTGATTATCTTTCATCCAGGATGGCCACAGTGTCTAAGGATGGGACATGGAAACTATGGGATACGGATGGTAAGATTCAATAGATTCTTCCTTAAAAGGATTGGGTAACTTTGTCTCAGTTTCTGAAACAAAATCCTGGATTTAGCTCATGCTGCAATGATAATTATAAATCTTTAGGTCAGTCAGGAACCCAATGACTTTTACAAGCCGATTGCCTGTCTGAATATCAAGATGTTTATGATTGGAAATCAAAATAAATCAAAATCAAAACGGTTTTCATAATACTATTGGGAAAAATGAGTATGGTAAAATCGGTCAATCAAAATTTTGTACTCTTTTGAGGCACTTCATGATCATTTTGAAGGGCAATTTTGTTCGGGCTTCAATATTACACCATATCACAGACGCTGGTAACACGTAGGGCCATGCATCTCAGGTTAAACATTATTAAACGATGCCTTTAATGGATGGAACACGTTTTTTTTTACATTGTCACAGTTGAATTATGTAAGCAATGTAGGCAACATAATAGGAGAATTATAACAAACCAAAACAAAGAATGTGTAATTTTATGGCTCTGTTGATGGCCCTGTAGTTGGGTACTAAATGTATGCCTCATAGAGGGAGTAAACGAATTACCATGCTTTATTTTCTCTCATTGCATTTGTATCTTTTTGTTTCTCATGCAAGATTGTTGTTGTCTCTTTTTTCTCTTAATCATTCTTAAATACCGTACACAACTATCATGTTTGTTATCCTTCAAATTTCCATTTTCCTTTTTTAATATATATGCATGTAAATATACATATTCTTTTTTGTTGTATTCTTCCTCCTAAATTCCTCTGTCCTCTCTTTCTCCTCCACCGTTTCATTGTTCTGCTGTTTTGTTCGCCTTCCTCATCATCTTTTATTTCTCTTCACTCTTTCATTTGTTCTTTCTATTTCTTTCTCTCCCTCCTCCATCCTTCCCCCTCTCTCTCTCCCTGCTCCATCCCTCCCCCTCTCTCTCTCCCTTTTCCTATCTCTCTCACTCTCTTTATCATTCATTTCCCTATCCCATCTCCTTCCTGTCTCCTATCTCCTTCTCGAATCTAGTCGAGTATGCCAAGCAGCAGGACCCGTACCTGCTACTGACCGGTCAGTACCCCCACTCCGGCCCCTGTCTCATCGCTCTGTCCCCTGATGCTTACAGCGTAGCCATCGCACAGGGCACGGAGATCTGGCTGTACAGCGCCAACGCCAAACAGGAGGAGGAACACTTCCAAGATGTGCACTCACGTGAGTCCATTATTTCATTAATTCATTGTATTGTATTTATTTATTTATTCACAGTAAAAAAAATCACATTCGGTCAAAACAGACTGCTTTTCAGCGAGTTCATGCACATTGTAAAAAAAAAAGAAAAGAATTTTAATCTACACAATAACATTGAGAAACAAATAAAGAACAAATTCAAATATATCTACAAGCTTCATCTTTACATCAAAAAGGAAATCCAAACTTGATAGCAAGTTACAATTTTTAGGAAAGTAGAAAATATGGTAAGATAGTTTGAAGTTCAATATAGTATGAGTGATGTCATTTGAGTGATATATTTTGCTTGAGAAAATAAGGACAGAATTGCTTTGTGTGAAACATTTTGATGTTGTTGTTGTTGCATTTTTTTGGGGGGGAGGGAGTTCTAATCTCATTTTATATGTACCGGGTAATCATATAGTGATATCTGTATTAGCATCTTGTCTACCCATGGTATTGAACATTTTATGGATTTATGAGGTAATTGTGGCAACTAAGGAGTTAATTGTAGCATCAAATGTTATCATTACAAAATTCTGTTGGTAATACTCTTTGCATGGAAAAATAGAATAACTTTTTGCTTATTTTTTAAAGGCCTTTTAACTTTGAAGAATTGTCAAATGTTCATCCATGACTTAACCGATTTAGGAAATCAAACCCTATTTTATAATAATAATAATATTGGATATTTATATAGTGCATATATCCAACATGCAAGGTACTCAAGGCGCTCCAATATTATCCAGCTCTGCTAGGCAGCCGATTTCGGCGCTCACAGCATTCAAGGAATTCCTTCCTACTGGTGCCCATTTAACACCTGGGTGGCACATGTAGATTAATGTCTTGCCAAAGGACGTTAGTGCTGCGGTGGGACTTGAACCGTGGACCCTGTGATCCACAGTCTGACAAATTATCCACAAGACCACAACTCCTCCATTTTATCAGCCGAATGGTCTCATCAATTTTTTTTACATTTATGCATTCAATCAATGACTTCTCATCCCACATATGATCAATACAAGGACCATTTAGTTCCCACAAGCAAAGGGTCAAACGAAAAGGGAAAAAAAATTCCCATTCAATCCATTATTCCTTCCTTCCCTAATGAAAACACAGAGAGGATATGCAAGCTAGGCTTCGACCCCAGCGGGAAGTACCTGGTGTCAACCGGAGACCGCTTCATCAGGATCTTCCACAACATCATCGGCCTGAGGGCGCTTGTCAGCGATCTAGAAGCAAAACTGAAGAAGACGTCATCGGGAGCCATGAAGGAGAGACTGAACTACCAGATTAAGTCTACCAGGTACGTGATAGTTATTCTGATATGTATGTTTGATAAGGCAGTTCAAAAATACAACCAGTTGCAAACCTGACAAAGAAGCAAACGGATGATTTCTCTAGATAATAATAATAATAATAATAATACTCAGCTTTTATATAGCGCGGATTACAATAAAGTCTCTAAGCGCTTCTAACTTGAAGATTATTACCCCGGCTTTAGCTGTGCTGCCATTTCAAGGAGTTAATTCCTGCCAGGTACCCATTTACATCACCTGGGTGGAGAGTGGCAAATGTATATCAATGTCTTGGCAAAGGACATTACTGCCGCGGCAGGACTTCAACCGCGGACCTCGTGATCCACAGTCCAGTGAGATATCCACTCGACCATGACACCTCTGTTGTGATCTATATCTTGAAGGGCAATCCAACCCTTGTAATAAGTTCATTTATATGAAAGCAGAAAAATAATGTTACCAGAATGGCGGAAGTTTGAAATAAATTGGACCAACAATAGGAAAGTTATGAATGTTTGAAATACGAGATCACTAAGTCAATGCGTATCTCATATTAGCAGTTTGGTCAGTGGATTATGGCGTAAGCCTGGATGACTCTCCCATTTGTCATGTACAAAAATATAAATAATTTCTGTTTTCTCTTAAATGCCTTCACCCTTGGGGCACTACTCAGAATATATTATGAATAGCGTATTAGTATAGGTACTCTAAAGAGAAAAGACCCTCCTCAGTCATACATTTTTGATAAAACGAAAATGTTGTCATTTTGTGTGTTCAAACAAATGGGAAAGTGGTCTGCCACTATGACATAGAGACACTAACGATACTATATTGAATACATTTTTCAAAAATTTTCTCATATTGTGTCCGATTTTACTCAAATTTTCACCAGTCTACCTCTCTGGTTTTTCTGATCTCCTCTGAAGTAGTTTGCTATCAATATTTGGATTTCCCTTAGTATTGTTTTTGTAAATGTAAATTTTGTAAAAGTCTGTGATGGTCAAAGTATGCATGTAATTCACTGTTTGATTTTGCTGAATAAAAGGCATGGGTTTCACCATCTCAATGTAAGAAAAAATATCAGTTGTACCTATTATCAGCTACTTTGAATGTCTTGAAAGAATAAAAGTGCAACAGTTGCTCATGATCACTATTGGGTTCATATTTTTAAGTTTACGAAGTTAGATAAATTTTTTACACCAATACAAATTATGAATACATACTTTTTTTTGTAATAACTTTTCTGTAAACATTGCTGTAACACACATTATAATATTGACAACATTCTCTCTTCCTTATTCCATGACTATGATTGTTCTCAAGATTTATGTTAAATGATACATTGTTTTCCTTTATCACCCAAATGGTTTTTCCATATTTACATTCTAAATGTATCCCCTTATTTATGTGTGTTTTTCTTCAAACAGTGAGGACATTGATGCCATACTGAATGTATCACCAACCCCTACTCCGCCTGCAACGTGACACAGACATACCAAAGGGGAATCCCCCGTAGATCATAGTGAGGTCATCAGGGAATTCCCCTCCCAGCAGGTGCCTAGCTTCACTGGCTTTCATTACATTCTGTGAAAGTTAACTTCTAGTTTTATTTGAGATGTTGACTTTAGATATATTTAGTTTTAGGGTCTTGGCCAAGTTATAGTATAGAGTTAGGGTAGTATTAGGTAGTGTTAATACAATTTATAGATGATCTGGGAATCTGAAGGGTAGGGGGGTTATGAGTTGTAAGTGAACAAAAACTGGTTGCTTACTTACAAGCATAAGCATGCTTTCTTACCAGTCAGGAAAAACAAACCATCAAACCAAACAACATGCAAATCCCCCAAAGGACTTGGACATGTTACATGATTTCAGACTTGTTCAAGTGTTTAAAGGTTTAATTGTTATTTGGCATTTACAGGACCACAAGAGAGCATCTATGAGAGATTGATATATTCTCATTAAGCTTTCAAATTCGATCATGTTTGTTGCAATGTTGTTTTCCAGGCTACATTGGCCTAAAACCTTTAGCTTCTTGTATTAATGTGTTTTTGAAGATTGCTTTTATCTGCTTTGTTTAAATTAAGAGCAGAAAATTTGAATTCATGATGTATGGTTCATGTTTAAAATGCTTTCCAACATGTTTGGTTCGTCTTGTATTTATTTCTAGAACAAGGCCACGTCATAATTAATATTATGTTTCTCATAAATTGTAGTAATATGGTAATAACATTTAACCAAATGAATGACAGATTCCAACTTCTTGGTTAGGTCATGTTGAGAGTTAAAAGGGCATAACTTGTATATTTTTATACAGACTTAACAAGATTCTGGCTATCAACCAACAATTTCTCTTTTTGGTTAGGAGTTGCAGTTGAGTTCTTAAAAGAACTCTGGCTTGTCTCTGAATCTTCTGAATGGAAAACCACTACTTCCACATTGTCTGTCTGTATGCTCATTCACCAAACCCCTCTAATTACATCTTGTGGCTCTTGTTCTTTAGCAATCAAAAGAGAGAATATTCAAATGAATTTTGACTTTCAAAGAAAGTAACCACATGATTGTATAACTTTAAATTGATTCTTTTTATGAGACCATTTTACTATCTATTATCCCATTTTAATAAATAAATTTGCAATTGGATATCTTAATTTTATGAATTATTTACTTTTCATTTTAATTTAATGACAGTGCTTGAGTTCTGTGTATTTTATTGTTGGCATATTTCATTATTTCTATTTGAGGGTTACTGCTGTACCTCCCTACATGCTGTTGTAATAATCAAAAGATTTAATGTTCAATATGTTTTGTTTCACAAGGTAACACTCTCTGTTCTGACTCTACACAGTTGCTTTATTTTCATTGTCAAATTTAAATTCTTTTTTTTTAATTTTTTTTTTAAATGTCATTTTATTGCCAGTAATGAAATAAAAATATTGTTTCAATTTAATTTTTCAGTGTTGAATCGTGTGTCTGGAAGTGGAGTAAACAAGAATGATGTAGTAGTAGCTAAGGGCATACAGATATAACGCTCTTATATACCACTCCCTTCTCTCTCTCTCTCTCTCTCTCCCTTGCTCCCTCTTTCCTTTTTCTCTCATACCTCCTTTATTCCCTCCTTATCCCCCTAACTCTCTCTCTCCCTCTCCTTTTTCTCTCGTACCTCCTTTTTTCCCCCTCCTTATCCCCTTATCTCTCTCATTCTCTTTCTCCTCTCCCTTTCTCTCATACCTCTCACCCCCCCCCCTGCCCTCCTTATCCCCTTAGCTCTCTCTCATTCTCTCAATCTCTCTCTCTCCCTCTTTCCCTTTTCTCTCTCTCCCTCTTTCACTTTTCTCTCATACCTCCTTTTTTCCCCCTCCTTATCCCTTATCTCTTCCTCTCTCCCCTTATCTCTTCCTCTCTCCCTCTCTCTTTCCCTTTTCTCTCATACCTCCTTTTCTCCCTCCGTATCCCTTACCTCTCTCGCTCTCTTTCTCTCCCTCTTTCCCTTTTCTCTCATACCTCTTTTTCTCCCTCCTTTTCCCCCTTTTCCCTAGTTCTTTTCTCAGATATATCCAACGTTTTTCTCTGTCAGCTTTCTCTGTCTTTTTCTCTTGATAGTATTCTTGTGTATTTTCTTTCCTTCTCTTAAACCTTCCCTCTCTCCATTTGCTCTTTCTCTAGCTCTCATTTTTGTTCTTTCTAGTTCTGACATTACCAAGCGAATAGCTACCAAAATATTTTTTTCTGCCCAATTATCTTCTTTACCTTCTCTATCCCCAGATACGCCCTTCTATCTGAGTCTCTCTCTCTCTCTCTCTCTCTCTCTCTCTCTCTTTCCCTCTTTCTCTATGTCTCTCCCTGTTTTAACTCAATGATGTCAGTTCCACTTCCACTCGCCCTTTTCATTCAGTCATTTTACATAAATACTTCATAAATCAATATTTTTTTTAAATCACAAATTGTTATATTTTATTTCCATTATCATTTTCAATGATCCTGATGTAAGCTTGCATTTCAGAAGATGGAGCTAGCGTCATGGACAAAAAGAAGTACACTAGTTGTCCTCTGCACTGACTCTCGGTTTTCATCGATAATCTGGAACTTGCTGTTCCTTGAATAGCCATGACACCATGCAGTCAGATTTGAGGTGAATAACTCATTGTGCCACGGCCCCAATTTCCCCCCACAGATCAGCGGGTATAATGCTGACACTTTTCCATCGCCTTTCTCGTGGCTTTTCCCTTTTGGATGTGATGGCGTTCCTCCCAGTCTCTCTTCTGCCGTTATTTATTTCTGATCATACAGTGCCCATAGTCACAAGTCATTTGATGCCCAAGCTACTTCAAACACTTTTGGATGAAATGATGACCTTGGAGTTGGAGGAGCATAGAGACTAAAGAAAGAGAAAGAGGGAAGGATCGAGAGACAGAAAGATAAAAAATAAATTAGTTAAATTACTCTATAATAATGAAAGAAAATTACGCCGTAATTATGTTGAGATATTCTTAAAAAGTTAGAAGTTAAAGAAAGTTAGTAAAGCTCCAAAACAAGGCTTTGTTACATTTTTTTAAATAAAATGGTATAGTGATAACCCCTTTGAATAGCCAACGTTTTCCATTTTCGTTTTGAAAGGCCATAACATGCTGTAGGAAATAAATGGCTATATAGGCATTTCTGATATAAATAATTTCAAATAACCGCTGCATAAATTCACACATACAACGTAGACCTAAAAATCAGTCTACATGTATTCTATTCTGGGATATGTTCCGCTCAGACTATGGCTGGCTTCACCGAATTCCTTTCCTCCATATCTTAGAGCATGAAAAGACAAAATGATTTTTTTTTAACTCCTTGAATTAAGTAGACGTATTTTTGTCTAGATGAGTGATACTTTGGAAGGCTTTCATGATGTTTTCCGTAAATATGCTTCCAGATACACGTTATACGACTTACCTTCAGCATGGAGTTATGCCTTTAATTTGGCTTTCGATGACGGTGGGGGGGGGGGGGCTGTTCATCTTTGCTGGGCTGCACCTACAGTGGTTGGCCGGTCGGTCTCAATACGAAAGAGGCCGTTTACTCGTAGGATAGGTCGCTTCGTCATGGACTCAACCGAGATACCCCCCTGCATACCCCCTTTCGGACGTAAAGCATGGGCGTTAGGGTTGACTCCCCGGTGTTATCATCTATGAAGAAAAAAATATATAATGTGAAATGTTTTTAATATAATAATATAAAATAAGTTATCGAACTTATAGGGCTTAGATTATCCGTTACATTTCTGTTATTATTAGTATTATGTTGCTGTTATTATTTTTGCATTACTACCCAAACAGTAAACTAGAAATATATGATGAATTATGCTTATAAGCATCACATAATTTTTACCAGGTACAATTAGCAAGTAGAAAATACATCAACGATGACAACGATCAAATTAGGTGATGAATGTCTTCATTGTGTAATAACACTGATCCGTACCTCGGAGATGAGCTTCTGATGTTGACTGTAGTAGCTTTCCGATTTTGCAAACGAACCGCAGATTGTCCGCCCGCGTTGAGCTTGCGAAAACTCCCTATTGTTCGTCCGCGCCTCTGATCAAGCCTCTCCAATCAATGGCATCCCTCCAAGCGGCTCTTCCGCCAAGCATTCCTGATAGCAAACTGCCTCAAGTCACGCTCCTCTAAGCTCACTCTCTTCTTCAAGCTCTGAGTAATGAAAAATGAATTCAAAGAGGAGAGTAATATGGTGAGATGAAGCAAAATAGAAATGCAGCGATATGCAAATACACAAAGGAATAGAATACTACATTGCATAAAAGTGTAGAGGTTGCCATGAAGCTCTGGGATATTAATTGTTAGAACAAGACAAGAAAGGAATCATGAAAGGAAAATGGTATCCTAGAGTGTTCTCATAAGTAATTAGGCGTCCAGGGGCGTACGCAGGATTTTTTGAAGGGGGGGGGGGGGGTTTTAAAATATTTTGCTCCCGAAAATTTGAAAATCGCGCCGGCCGAAAAGTCGCTCAGGGGGGGGGGGGGGGGGGGGGGGGGGGGGGCGGACACTTTTTTTTTTTTTTTTGGAGGTCAAAAAAAATCGCAACGACTCAGCCAGCCAAAAAGTCGCTCAGTGGGGGGTGGGGGGGGGGGGGGGGGGGGTAAGCGGACACTTTTTTTTTTTTTTTTTGGAGGTCAAAAAAAATCGCAACGACTCAGCCAGCCGAAAAGTCGCTCGGAGGGGGGGGGGGGGGGGTGGTAAGCGGACACTTTTTTTTTTTTTTTTGGAGGTCAAAAAAAATCGCAACGACTCAGCCAGCCGAAAAGTCGCTCAGTGGGGGGGGGGGGGTGGGGGGGGGGGGGGGGGGGGGGGGGGGGGGGGGGTAAGCGGACACTTTTTTTTTTTTTTTTGGAGGTCAAAAAAAATCGCAACGACTCAGCCAGCCGAAAAGTCGCTCAGTGGGGGGGGGGGGGGGGTGGGTAAGCGGACACTTTTTTTTTTTTTTTTTGGAGCGGTCAAAAAAAATCGCAACGACTCAGCCAGCCGAAAAGTCGCTCAGTGGGGGGGGGGGGGGGGGGGGGGGGTAAGCGGACACATTTTTTTTTTTTTGGTCTCGAAATTTCATAATTTGACATTTTTTGTCGTTTGGGGGGGGGTAAGGTCACCTTATTTAGGTTAGCCGTGGGTATAATTAAAAAAATAAAAAAAAAAAAAAAAAAAAACCAAAGGGGGGGGTTTAGGTTTTTTTAGGGGGGGTTTACATACATAAAAATACCAAAGGGGGGGTTTGAACCCCCAAACCCCCCCCCCCCCTGCGTACGCCCCTGTAGGCGTCTATAGATTTTGTTTATAATAACCTTTAATGCTGATATGGCCGACAAAAATAGTTTAAGATTAAATGATTCCATATGTTATTTCACAAATTCTTATTATGAAACATGCATGGACATGGTGGATATAGTGAATTTATAGAAAATATACTTGGTATGTTTACTGAAATTTGCCTTTATTATCACTTTATTATTTTATATATACCTGGCCTGCCTTCGTTTCTTCTCCTTTACTTGCTGAGGTGTTGGTGTCTTGTCCACCCTTGCTGCTTTCGTCTGCCACGCTCGGCCTGTCTTACGGAGACTTTGGGATTAGGCTACGGCTCTTCGGGCAACCCTCGGCAAATTACGGACATTCGCTCGGCCAATCTCGGCCTGGGATCTCTCAGTGATCTCTGTCAGAGTCGGGTTCTTATTAGCAGGTTTACAGACAGGTCCGGTGTTTTTCCTCTGTATGCGAGTGACCTTAATGAAAATATGGGAGAAGAGATTGTCCATATCTGGAAACAAAGCTAACGCTTTTCTATATATCCCCGACGAGAGATTTTCAGATTGAGGTTAGGCCTAGTTATTATTTCTTCTTTTATGTAATTGTTTTACCAAGAAATGAAAGAAATAAAAACCAGTTTTGTTTAAACCTATTGACCCGAATGCATATAGGGATAGTTTGAATCTATTCAATATACTACTCGGGCAGTATTTTATTAAGTCACTTAATAAATGAGTCACGAAATGTTTTATTTTGTGACCTTTTTTTTAAAGATGTTATTTGGAGTACTAACCAAAACTGTTGAAGGCAGGATATGGTGTTACTACGTTTCGTGTTTATGATAGACCAAAAGAAAAGTTCACTATATGATATAAATATTTATATTTTTTCAACGCCATGCTATAAAACTATTATGAGTGTGATAGGCAGGATATGATATACACATGATTTCTTTCAATCACTTCCAAACATTCATTGTAGCTACCTTACGATCGCGGACCTCTTCTCAAATTGCACTCGAGCACAATCTCCGTTTCCATGACAATGAGATTCAATCAGTCTGTACATGTTCTCAACGTCCACCACGTTAAGCTTTCTTCGTGGTTTCTGCTTCTGTATATGAAATAAAAAAGATCTTAATTGTCATTCAGGTACTTCACGGTTTGGTTGAACAAAATGACAGGTGAAATAACTTACATTTTAGGCCTATAAGAAATAAAGAAATGGCAGAAAATATTAATGAATGACTCCCTATTTTGTTTTGTGCATAGAATAATACCGACCCCCCCCCCCCCCCCCCCCAAGAAAAAATACTCTCTCTCTCTCTCTCTCTCTCCCTCTTTCGCAACCTTCTATCATAGAAAAAGAAAAATTACCCCAACATTTATTCCACTATTTGTTTTCCCCATGGGAATCCACGGCCTTTCTGAGCCTCCGTCCGGAAAGAGAAAAAGGGCTGGGACGAAAAAACATTTTTGTATTATTATTCTGTAAGAGCTCATTGCACCCCCCCCCCCCCCCCACGCCCCTAACCCGCACTTGTTTAATCCTCTACTAACCCTCTGTTGACGTGTCTCATCTAGGATCCAAGATTTGGCAGGAACCTTGGGATCAACTGTCTCGTCTACAAACCAAGTTTGTGCATACAGGCTTCCCACGAAGACAATCTAGACAAATGAAAATAGACATGAATGGCATTTAGGAAACGAAATTCAATTCGTTTTCTATTATTATAGGCCTAATATATATTCCGCTGTCACCCGCCTACTGTAATTTCACTCAAACTAATGATGTTACAAAACGTATTCGTTTATAAAACGCTTGTAAGTCTACCTCTCAGAATATTATACCGCTGTGTATAAAAAGGGCTAAGTTATTTAACAATTGATTTTGTAATATGCATACAGAAGTATCAATCAATTAAAATCCGTGTTTAAAGACTTTAGACGTCTTAAAATCTAGTTTTATCTATAAGGTTACAAAGAATTAAAAGAGGGAAGGTGGTTTGGTTCGATTCAGAAAGGACATCATTAGAGAATTTAATGCCAGTAATGTCTACTGTAGCCATTTGAATTGTAAACTGACGTTAGCACCATTTTGACATTTGGAAATAACTTTTAATTTATTCGAAAGTACCAGACTGGCACATATTCTAAGAATTTTGTTTCTTCACCCCCTCCCCCCCCCCCCCCCCCCCCCCCCCCCCCCCCCCCCCCCCCCCCCCCCCCCCCCCCCAACCCCCGGAAAAAAAATGCAAGTTACAAATTAATTTACTATTAAATTGTTGACATTGATTCATACAATAAAATTATTTGTTTATAACTGTTATGGATTAAATTATTCTCATGATTTCATGATTTAAAAAAAACGAAGTGAAATTTTAAAAAAGAAACTCACCAAAGATCGGAGAAGCTGGATTGTATTGACTACCCATGTGTGCACACGGGGCACAGGCACCTAGCAGGAATTTAATAGAATTTAAAATCACAGAATTCATTTTTGTTTCAGATCTAGGCTTCAAAACGTATATCAAATAAGGTAACTAAATAAATTTGATAAGGCACCTCATGTTTCAACCAGTAACAATCTCATGGATTCATCAATAATTTAATGAATCAGTATGATGATTCTGTGAATCAATTTTTGATTCGACACATGAATACTAGGCGTTTAACTTCATATTTATAATATGTGTCTTATTAATATGTTTTAGCTATTTAATCATCGTTGATTGTTGCGTTTTGTAATCGATTTTTTTTTTCTTTCTTCCTTTTTGATATTTAAGAACAAATTCAATCTAATAAAAACAACGAAAATCGATTTTGTATGATTGTTACAATATTATGTTTCTGGTTTAAGGATGAAAATGCTGATTGTGATAAAGCAACGTATTAATTCTTAATTCTTATAATTTATTAATTATTTTGTTGATTGTCATTGAGAAATACCTGTGCTTCCAAGTCTTTCTGATCAACCGAAATTGCGATTTCCATTCTGACGAAAGTAAGATTTAGATAACAGAAATATCAAGACACTCGCGAGCGAGAACTGTGATAATTCACTAATGTGAAAATAGTAAACAAACACTGCTCCTATAGCCACGTTGTAATGCGCGTGCGCGTAACAAAGTTATGCGCGGTATGACGTAACAATGTTCATTATGACGTCTACTGAATATGTGGGCGTGGCCAGATAGGCGAGGCCATCGATTGATGCCAGGGTAAAATTATGTTACCGTGGATTACTCTGGTTTTAATTATTTTGTAAAAAATATAAAATAGTGTACGTGAGGGTTAAGGAATTAAAAAAGTTAGGTTTGGGTTCGGGTTCATGTAGGCCATAAAATGTTGGGGCCAGCGTTATTCTTTAAAATGTTGACAGTGTAAATCCGGTGTATAACAAATAAGATGTATTTAATTTGTTTTGGCTGTCATGTACAAGTCATGTATCTGATAATGCCAGCATGTTGCAGTGGCAGGTCCAGCCGAACCCCCCCCCCCCCTCTCCTCTCCCCTTGGCGGCCTAAAAAGGGGAGGAAATTGAGAGAGCGACGAAAGAAGAAAAAAAGGAGAATAGTAATGGGGGAAAAAAAAGTTAAAAAGAGGAGAAGAGTAAAAAAAAAAAAAAAAAAAAAAGGGGGGGGGGGGCGAAAGAGAAAGAGAGATCTAGATATTTTTTAGATATTTCATCGGTACCGTGATATGCGTAATTTATTTACGTATAATTGATAGGCGGATCGGGGATGGGGTGTAGTGGCGGAGCCAAGGGCCCCCCCCCCCCCTGAGAAAAAATGTGTAAAAACACATGATTTGTAGCTTTTGGGGGGATTTGCCCCCCCCCCCCCCCCCCCCCCACCGCCAATTAGAAATTTTCCAACAAACGCCTAAAAAAGTATAATCCCCCCCCCCCCCCAAAAAAAAAAAGTGAAATCCCGGAAAATCATTTAATTTCAGCAAAACAATTGTAAATCACTGGAGATATCAATTGCATGCCCCCCCCCCCCCCCCCCATCAGTAGGCCTACGCAAGTGTTCAGGGACTCATGTCTCCTCACCCCTATAATTAAAAAAAAAAACACACCCTTAATTTCCCATCCTCTCACAATATTTCCACGATATGCACTTATTCCTCTAATTATCAAATCCTCTATTGATAGATATACAATGTAGGGGCACGCGGAATGTTTAGGAAATTTAATAAATGTTTACTCTTCTTTTCTTTGAATTGAATCATAACAAAAATCATATTCCATGTTTTATCATTTTTATTTTATTTTTGGTTATAAAACATAAACTATTTTTACTCCTTTATACTGCTGATTTGTTTGGGGGGGGGGGGGGGTTGGGGCGAAAATGCGTTTTGCCCCCCTTCCAACCCCCCCCCCCCCTCCCGCTTTTACGGGTTTTTTTTTTTTTGGGGGGGGGTGACCTCCTAATTTTATATATTTTTAGAGGAAAAGGGAAATAAAGTAAATGGGATCACTTTGAAATCTAGATGTCAGAGAGAGATGTGGACCCTACAAAGGAATAAGTACAGTACATGACTGTATACGTCTATTTTATTTTAAATTTGCATCATTACCGACACCGTCATCAAATTCGAGTTTTGATGAAGAAAAAAAGGAAACGGGTAAGTAAAAAGACAGTTGACAGAGCTCGGAGGACTCAAACTAAAACTCAGAGAAAAGTGGTAAGCTCAACAACCTTGATATTTGTGATCAGTATCCCGTAACTGCACCAATAACAGTTGTAAGAATCCTACTATAATGAAGTAGACCCCTACCCTTCGTGAGCTGTGTTGACTTCGGCCCCGCTTGTTCATTTTTGTGTGTGCGAATTCAGAAATTTCAATTTTTATTTGAGCTGTGACTCGTTGTGGGACTGACCACCGTAATCGAATCGAATTGGCAACAATAGTCAAATTTGACTAATAGCTATTATAATACCAAACGAACAACAACCTCCCCCCCCCCTCGAGTTTTGATGAAAAAAAAAACTAAAGTAAAGTAAAAAGACAGTTGACAGAGCTCGGAGGACTCAAACTAAAACTCAGAGAAAAGTGGTAAGCTCAACAACCTTGATATTTGTGATCAGTATCCCGTAACTGCACCAATAACAGTTGTAAGAATCCTACTATAATGAAGTACCCTTCGTGAGCTGTGTTGACTTCGGTCCCGCTGGTTCATTTTTGTGTGTGCGAATTCAGAAATTTCAATTTTATTTGAGCTGTGACTCGTTGTGGGACTGACCACCGTAATCGAATCGAATTGGCAACAATAGTCAAATTTGACTAATAGCCATTATAATACCAAACGAACAACAACCTCGCCCCCCCCCCCCCCCCCCCCCCCCCCCGGAAAAAATGTAATGTGCCCCAGCCAGTGTTCCTATATGTGGAATTTTATAAGATTATTTACAAGGTATCGCTTCCTTAATTTAACCCCTGCTTAAGTTAAAGTTAAACTATAAGATGCAAGCTCCGGACGGAGAGAGAGGGAGAGAGAGAGATTGAAAGGGAATGTGGGAGGGGGGGGGGGGGTAACTTTTGTTTAAAATTAGTATGAAAAATAGTGTAACATCACAAGTATTTCCATTTCCGTTAAACCACTATATAGTCGAAACCCGACGTTTTTCGGTTATACGAAAATGATTCACTTTTGCCAAGGTCGTCGCTCATGAAGTGGTCGGCAATGAGCGGCCGGCTGCAGGGGATTTATATTAACTTACATTTTTACTTCATTTGTTCATCTCTCTCTCTCTCTCTCTCTTGGCAGGTTGTTTGATCCTCTGCGATGTCTTCAGCAGACAAAGAGAGTCCATCTTACCCTCAATTTGATACTGAGCTTACTCCCAGCTACGGCTATGTGGGAACATGGGAGGATGCCAAGGCCATGAAAGAGTTCTTTGAGTTACAGAAAGCACTTCGCTTCCCTGCATTGAGGACTTCAACGTCCTTCGGAAAGACAGGTACATTCAGGACGAGCACTGAGCAGGAGTGTTTCCTGGGCCCCTTTTCGTAAAGGGTTGATTTGGAGTTGATTTGGATCTATCGCAATTTAGTCCTCCAATCATTTGCAACTTTGCAGTTTTCTACATGTATCTCTTAAGTACATAGTTGTGAATGATATCGATCGCAAATAATTCACAATTAATGTCAACTGTTTATAAGACCGGGCCTACGATTTTGTAGAAGAAGAAAAAAATGACAAAAGGGGGGGTGCAATTCCACAAAAAATATTTGACATGTCAACAACAAAAAATGTTATATAATATTTTCATTTGCCTTGTGGGTTCGAAATATGAAGGGGGGACATTTTCAGGTTGTGTACTTCACAAATATGTATTCCAAATTCAAAGTGGGTTTCAAAGGATCAAAGTAGGGAGGGGTTGTGTCCACTAAATGTGTCGGTGAATATGCACAGAAATTCTACTGTGTCTTGGAAGGTTTATTAGACTTGTTTCCCTTACCTGTATGTGTTTCAATTCAATAGCATTATTTACATACATGTGTTTTGTTTTTAAGGTAGCATATCACTTTTGCAGCCAAAATCAAATTCTGTAGGACTTAAGGAGCTTTTTCCACATGGGAATATATGATGTTGGAAGTTCTGGGGCTCTTTCAGATGTGCTCCGGGCAGAACAGAAGGAAAACATATTTGACAATAAAGTTCCCCCACCCTTTTTTTCTCCTTTGTAGTAGAACATTGTTATTGGATTTTGGTGAATATAATCGTAGCCTATAGAGCATGTGATCTTACAATCATTTGTTTGCACATAAACAGATATTCTGAAAGGAAAGAGAAAGAAGTACAAATGGGCAGAGGCAGATGAGTACGTAGCTGGGGGCGCCATCCCCTACGATGGTGTTCCGTTCATCATCTTGGACAAGAACATCTACGAGTGCGAGTATGGAGTGGATCACAAGCTGAAGAGAAAGTCATTGAGAGGAAACAGACATAATCAGGAGGTTAGCAGATGTCTTTATTTACCGCATGTCAAGATTCTAGGCCTCTGATTGGTCAAAACTTATCATAGAACAGAATTTACAATGCAGCTGAATCGCTACCACTAGCCCTAAAAGGGCTGGGAGAGATAAAGTAGAATTCAATAATGTTAAGTTTTAGTGACTTGGGTATAGAACATTTTTAATATGATATGCAATCTTATTCTTTCTGATTTGATGTAGAATGATGCGGAGGGCAACACGCAGAAGAAGCAGGCAGCTGAGATAGAGAAGAGAAAGAAAAGAAACTGCCCCGCCAAGATCCGCATGAAAGAAATCATGAAGTTTCCTGATTTTCAGGTATAAATAAAAGCATCAACGTCATCTTTTACATCGTTCAATAAAGTTTAAGGATGAAAGTCCCCACTGTTTTTACATAGTGCAAGCACGTAACATTTGATTATTCAAAAAGCATGTGATTGGACAAACATAACTCTGAACAATATCATGTGGCAATGCTTGACATTTGATTCTTGGACAAATGACTACACATGGAACTTTCTCCATTTAAAAAAGGAATAAACCCACTTTCTAATGATAATCACATAAGGATGATTATGCCATGACAATAGAGATATAATCAATCATACTTCAGTTCCAAACTTTTTTTTGGAGGGGTTTATATATTCTAATACTTATTGACTTATTGATGTACTTATTCTGTTGCAATTTTAATGAATTCTTTTGATATATTACGGGTAAATTGACACAGATACCCGATGTAATAGGAACAATGTCCTTTGGCAAAGCATTTATCTTCATTTGCCTCACTCGACCCAGGTGAGGTAAACGGGTACCTGGCAGGAATTAATTCCTTGAAATGCTAGAGCGCTGTAATGACAGCTAGGCTAAAGACAGGGTGATAGTTAGTGTGCCTCGGAATAGGATTTCTAGATAGACGGCGCTATAAAAATGCCTATTATTATTATTATCATAAACTAAGGAGCAGAGAATCTGAACGCAGCTCTAGCTAAGGGAGCTTTGATAGGTGAAAGGATAAACTTTATTCACATTCTTATTCATTTATAAGTTTATTCAGTCATGATTTTAATAGATCATGTTTTGTATCAGATTGACCCAGATACGCGTTATAATAGGAACAAAGGAGCAGAGAATCTGAATGCAGCCATAGCTCAGGGAGCTGTGAGAGGGGAAAGGAGAATCTACATCTACTTCCCGCCAGACAGTGAGCACAGAGGTCATGAACTCAGAAGTCAGGTAAGGGTGACCCTGTTCCCACCAAGGCCAGGAGAGGAACTTGATTCTAAATGTAATATACACAATGTAGTGGTAGTGTTCCTATTAGACTGGGGACAAGAGGTTGATTTTACATTCACGGTCAGTCTTTAGTGGCAGTGTTCATACGAGGGATTAAACTGTGGAGAATGAGATGCTTAGACTTAGCTCTCATGGCAGTGTTCCTATTAAGCACTTGACACTGAAAATTAGAAGGAGTGGTAGTGTACTGATTAGGCTTTGGGCCCATTGCATAAAACTCACCAATGATGGTAACTTTGCAATGAATATTTACTACCGTGGCAACATCACTCAAAAGCCAATCAAATCAGGGGTTCCATGAAAGTTATCATCAATGCTAAGTTTTATGCAACAAAGCACTGGACATCTGACAAGAAATGCATCGAATTGAGAGAGTGGTTTTATGCTGTGATCCACAATTATCCATCTGTATCACCCAAGTTTGCTATTTTCTGCTTATCATGCGATGTGTAAAGCACAACTAGTCTGATGTGTACTCTTGAGAACTAAGTGTCGAGTCCTGTGTGCCATACAAGTAGCCACTATTATTATTACATGAATGTACATGTATGTATGTGATATGTGTTTTTTAGCTTTAACCTTTTTTTTTTCAATAGTTAGATTATGTTCGATTGTTTTTTTTCAATACTTCAAAGCAAATATTGCAATAACACATCTCATCCAGCTCTGTAATGCATTGACCACTATGACTTTTGACTCTTGACCTGTAGGTGTGTGCCACCAAGCAGCATGTGGATGGGAGGGTGCTCTGTCTGATAGACCACCTGGTAGAGGAGGGGGTGACCCTAGCCGAAGAGATCAGCCAACAGATTAGCCTTTGCGTTCAGGATGCTGCAGCCACAAGCCAGCCAGGTAAAGATGGAGCAGATGGACATACCAAGCTGTCGTGTCCAGAGGAAGCTGACATCAGGTAAGTCCCTACAGTATGTGGCATAGAAGGGGAGGAGGGGGTGTTGGGGAAGGGTTGACCTTAACTGAAGAGATGAGCCAACAGATTAGCCTCTGCGTTCAGGATGCTGCCAGCACAAGCCAGTCAGGGACAGATGGAGCGGATGCACACACCAAGATGTCATGTCCAGAAGATGCTGACATCAGGTAAGTCCCTATGTGGCATAGAAGCGGAGGAGGGGGGTGTTGGGGAAGGGGTGACCTTAACTGATGAGATCAGCCAACAGATTTGATTAACCTCTGCGTTCAGGATGCTGCCAGCACAAGCCAGCCAGGGTAGGACGGAAACCGATGCGCGCACCAAGCTGTCGTGTCCAGAAGATGCGGACATCAGGTAAGTCCCCCTGTATCGTATATGAGGGGGAGTGGGGGGGGGGGGGTGTTGAAGAAGGGGTGACACTAGAGGAAGGGGTGACCTTAACTGATGAGATCAGTAAATAGGTACTGGTAAGCCTGACGGATGAAGCTAGGGGCACCAATGCCAACGTGAAGTATAGTTGGAAGGGATTTTGTCTTGATTAATGAAGCTAGCCATACTGTACTACAAGCACTATCACTAAATCCCCTCTAGCACCATTTCAGGTCAGCTGTAGTAGCATAGCATGGTCCCATAACTCGTTGGTTCTCGCAAGGAGTCCTCTTTCTGCGAAGTGGAAATTAGGTATTGGGTTACACACTGTGCGATGGTCGACTATGAGATTGCGCTGTGCTATAAACAGTATGCTAGGGCAGAAAGTCCATCAGTTGATTCAGGAAGGATGATATTATAAGTTGAAATATTAAATGATAAATTCAATTACATTTCTTGCTTTTCCTTCCCAGGTACCATGTACAAGCAGCCCAGGTGATCCATACATACTCCAAGCTTCAACCAAGAGATTTGGAAGATCATGTAGCTCAATTGAAACTGGTTCATGAAGATCACAATGTCTTCTTTAGGAAGCAGTCTTTTAGGGTAGGCAAAGCAAATCATTCATGACATTTTTAGATTTGCCGGTACATGTAGATTCAGATTTCGAAACAAGCATTTCAATTCAATTCAATTCAATTTAATTCAATTTCGGTTTATTAATATCAACATATACAATGTACAATGCAGTAGTCCAGGGACCAATAATGCAATGTTTACATAAAATGTGCATAAAAACAGGAATGATCATATAAATGTATAATAAAAATGATAAAAGATAAAGTTAAAATTATTGTTCATACCTAAAGTTATATACATATATAAAAAATGATAATAGATGGATGATAATAAATGTTGAACCAGTTATTGCAAGTACAAATAATCTTTAAATTAAACAATTATTAAAAAAAAATATATATATATATATATATAGAGAGAGAGAGAGAGAGAGAGAGAGAGAGAGGGTGAGAGAGAGAGAGAGGAAATTATTATATTGCAATTGTTAACATGAGATCCATAGACTGAAAAAATATACATACAGGTGTATCTGTTGTGTGACAGGTAAGGTCAAATTATGTTGAGTAGAATTATTACATTAAGAATATTTCCTACAAGCAAAAACAACAACAATGTATAAAATCATCCTCAAAAACATTTAACTGGCATTTTATGGGTAACCAGTGAATGAGTGGGAGGAAAATGAAGAGCATAATGTGAAACGCTACCCACGGAACCCAAGTGAGAGTTGAGTTCCATGCAGGCCGGTTTGCTATGCCAGGGCATACAAGTGCGCTGACTAGTCTACTCACAACTAATTTATCAATTGATCAGTTAATCAATATCACTTTATAGAAATAATATTTGCAACTCATAATACCTTGAATATAGTATGGCAACATGGAATCTTTAACATACAGAGCAAATTTTTTGTTGGTGATCGGTAGACTTTACTAGATTTTCTTTTTGTTTGTTCCAGGAATCTGTCCTGCTGGTTCATCAGACAGTGGAGCAGCAACAAACCATAGCAAGCTACCCTACTGAGAAGTACTTCCTAGATTCTACATGTAAAACTACTGAGTGAGTACTTTACATGTACATGTATATGCATAATAGATATTTCTGAAGCTCACATAATATCGAGTTACTATTTTGGAGTTTGCCTTTTATTTTGTTTCTTTTCATTAACTGTATAATCATTAGCTATCTAGAAAACCATTTTAACAAGTATTTAGCTTTAATCTGCTTTTTATCTATAGTATAGTCTTTTTATTTCTAATCTGCCACTTCACTAAGTCTTTCTTTGTTCTTGAATCTTCTCTCCATCTTACACTCTTTTGTCAAAAAAGGAGCTCTACTTCTGATCCTGATGACATTTACCAGATTAGAGGATCGACCATCCTGCAGGGGAGGCTTTCTAGCCTGTTCTAGCTTAGATACCTTTGGGGGTCTTTAAGAACCCAGGATCAAACATAGTTATTGGTGATAATGAGTCACCCTGTCTAAATATCAGAAACAATAAATAAAATAGTTATTGTGTGTGCAGAACAATATGGCAAACTCACATCTGCCCTTTTTGTTGAGGTGTTCAATAGTCTTTCTTTAAATACTTATAATCTTCACATTTTACATTTCAATTTTTTGTCATCAAAGAAGTTCTTCCCCTAATCCTGCTGGCGTTTGCCAGATTGTAGGGTCAGCCATCCTGGAGAAAGTCTTCTAGGGTGGTCATAGAGGCTTTGGAGATCCTCCACCAAACAGTCAAAGATGACACCAGCTATTACTTGCCTTTTCTATGTAGATATGGTCTATTGTTGTTTTTGTTTTTTAATCCCATCTCTCCATAGTTCACTCTTCTGACAGCAGGGGAGCTCTTCCCCTAATCCTGATCTGGATGACATTCACTACATTTTATAAAAGAGGATCAGCCATCCTGTTGGAGAAGCTTTCTAACCTGTTTTTAGAGTCCTTGCTTGGGGGTCTTTAATCAAACATAGTTACTGTATATGCAGAACTATAGAATCATCCATGAAACCCACCATTTCTTGCTGTTAATCCAATTTCCACCTCTTTTTCCATTTTCACTCTTTGTCAACCAAGAAGCTCTAGATGCCTTGAAGGCCTTTAGCAATCCATGATCGAACCAAGGCCATTGTGTAGGTACAAATCACCCTTTCTATTGAGATGTTTTGTAATCTTTCTAACTGTTAAATCCATTTTCTTCATACTTTTTCTATCAACAGAGGAGCTCTTCCCCTAATCCTTCTCTCCGTCCAAGCCAATGGCAGTCACCAGATTGTAGGGTCAGCCATCCTGCAGGAGAAGTCTTCTCGGCTGATGCAAGAGGCCTTGGAGATCTTCAAGTCTTGGAACCCCACGTGGAAGCCTGTCAGCTTCACCGCTGAATTTGAAGAGGAAGATATAGAAGGTGTCAAGAAGGCTTTTCATGGTGAATATACCAGACCTTAAAGAGAAGGTTGAGTTCTGGGAAGAGGTGAAAAATAATTTGTGAGCGTAATAATTCTTATTATGCAAGTGTGGAAGATCATCAGATAAGACATGTTCCCTGAAAAACATGGCTCTTCAAATGCCTTCATATTTTAAATATGTCATGTACATCGTAAAACTTGAGGGGTAGGATTTTTACGCCACGTGTTCGTGTAGTCCCATATACATCTTTCTGTGTACAGTGTTTGTAACTGTACCAAGACTTGGCCAAATTTCTTATCATTTTGATGATTCTAGAACCTTGCAATACACACAAATTCTTATATGCTAGATGATCAACCTTTTTAGTCAATTCCACACCGTTTCTTTCACAATGCAATCGCATGACCAGAACTCAACTTCATCTTTAATCCGTCACTCATTAAGATATGACTCAGTCATCTGTGTAAATAGATAACAAACAAACAAAAAAAACATTTTGGTAACGTTAAATGACAGATACACTGGAGGCCTTTGAGAGCCTTGTCTATTAGAACGGATATGTGTGCTTTATAAGTTGACATTATTATTATTATTATTATTATTATTATTAGGGACCAGGGTTGAAGTTACAAATTATATATTAAAGTGTAAGACTGTCTTTGTAGCATTTGTCACAGGAGCTTCTGAAGTAAAATACATGAACAATCACCTTTGGCCACGACTTGTAACACTCACGGCTCTATCTGATTCCGATATCCACTTCATCTAGGAGTGCCCATTCTCCTTTGTGACTACCACCGCGTGTCTGCATGGAGCAAGTGGATAACGGAGACAAGGAATTTCATCATCGGTAGCAAGGGCGCCCTCTTGTCCATCCTTGAAGCTTTGTCAAACGCCAGCACGAAAGAGATGTATCACAAGCTCCTGGAGCAGTTACAGGATAGCAGTTATTGGAAGGAGGATGAGAGATTATGCAAGTGGTTTGGGAGTCGATGGCTGCCTTGCTGCGAGGTAAGTTTGTTTTGTTAGCAGTTATTGGAAGGAGGATGAGAGATTATGCAAGTGGTTCGGGAGTCGATGGCTGCCTTGCTGCGAGGTAAGTTTGTTTTGTTAGCAGTTATTGGAAGGAGGATGAGAGATTATGCAAGTGGTTCGGGAGTCGATGGCTGCCTTGCTGCGCGGTAAGTTTGTTTTGTTGGCTGGATACTGTAAAACCTCAAGCCCTTACCTGTGTTAAACTTTCACGACTTTCGCGAGTGGTTGAAATTTGCAAAGAATTTCTGTCACCAAATATTTGAATCAAAAGCTGCCTCGCTGCTTAATGAGGCTTTATTCAGATAAAACGTGGCAAAACTGCTGCTTCTTTTTTTTGTATGACGCAAAATGTATATACGTTTCATTATTCTTATCTTATTACGCAGAGCTTTAATAGTGAATACATGCATTGCCTTTGTTGCACACAGATTTCATCCATTTACACAACAACAAAAACGAAAAAACAGGCATTTTTTGTGGCAGTTTAATGTGGCATGTCTGAGCAACACTCTGAAACCACGAACCCTGAACTGTGTGAAACCTTTCACAAATTTTGTGAGTGGTTGATATTCGCAAAAGTTTTGTGCCACAAAACAATTAAAACGCATTTACCAACAGATCAAAATTCATGCCATGAAAATGACTGTTAATTATGTGGAGAAGTTTCATGTATGTTGAGAGCCAAAAGAGCTTTTATTCTCATCATTTTTACATAGAGTTGACACCTTTCTGGCTCCTACAAGACAATATTAATGTTAGCTATACTGTTGAATGCTGCAATGATGTTAAAGCTGATGGATGTTATTTTAATGGATTGTTTATCTCATGTGAGAGAGTCGCTTATGCATACTGGATAACTTCAATCACTATGATGAAATATTATAGGATACTAGTACTTGTTTGAAAAGTGCTTTTCGAAATAGAAAGTTAATTTTATATGAAACCGTTTTTGGTATCAAACTACCTTGTTTTTTCTTTTCTTTTTTACATTGTGTGGAGTTATTGATTGACAACATCTTAATACAATGAACTGTGACCAAGTGTTTTTATTTGATGCATATATACTTGTTTGATTCTTCACTCACAGATGTGGGCCCAGGCATTCTTCCCCCAAACAACCTCGCCACCATCAGACAATCCGCCCGATGGGATTGATGATGATGAGGAGGAAGTTCCAGCAGACATCGTGCTCACCGACACCCTGCAAGAGCGTTGCCTCCAGTCCCTACAGAGACTCACAGACATCGCCCAGAAAGAGACAACGAGCCAGCAGGACCTGGCTCACCTGATGGCATGCTTGGACACTGCCGAGGAGAAGTACGCTAATCTCGTTGCAGAAAGCAGCCAGGAGATGGTCGAGCAAGGAGGGCAGGAGACGCAGGAGCAGCCACCACAGGAGCTGATGCAGGAGCAGGAGCAGGGGGAGGAGGAGGAGGAGCAATTGGTGGAGGGGTTTGAAGCAGGAAGCATCAAGAGGTTGAGGGTGGAGACAGATTGCGTGAAGACGAGCAACATTGAGGTAGCTCCTGAGCCGATCTTCTTGCACATGTTCGTTGAAGCGGCAGAGATTGTCTATCGCAATCAGGAGACTCTCAATCAAGAGATGGTTGCGGGTGAGATTCCTCAAGAGATGGTTGCGTGTGAGATTCCTCAGGAAATGGTTGTTAGTGAAGTCCATCAAGATATGATCACAAGTGAAGTCCAGACTTGACAAGACTCTGAAGTCTAAACCATTTTTATCATTTGTATATCGTCTACTTCTCAGGAGACTCTCAGTCAAGAGATGGTTGCGGATGAGATAGCCATCAGGATATGATTACAAGTGAAGTGCAGACTTGACAAGACTCTGAACCATTGTAATCATTTGTGTATCGTTTATTTCTCCCGTACTGGGATGTGGAATGTTACCTCACACTAAATGATCCTGTACCGTGCAATCTGACTTCTGGCATCCTTGTCAGCAGCAATATATCAAGGTCTTCTGGTGGTGTCTCAGATGAAGTCTTTTGTGGCTTGTCTTATGGTGTTGGACCAGTTACACTGTAGTTCCATGAATCAGGAGATTGTTGCAAGGGCAGCTCATTCTCAGCATGTTCTATGGTAGACATTCATCTACCACGAATCATCTGTTGAGAGTCCGAAGGGCCTAAAATCCTATGGGTGGTATTCTCGAAAGTGGACTAACTTTAGTCTCTGGTTTAATCCACCAACTAAGTATGGAACGCCAAATGTCCATATGAATACATTTTTGAATAATTTGATATCTCCCTAAATTCCCATGATACAATAATTATATCATAGTTACATCGTTGTTTATTGATTATGTTATTACACTTTATTTTAATTTAGTGACAAATTAAATTATTAAAAAACATATTCATATGGACACTTGGCATTCCATACTTAGTCGGTGGATTAAGCCATGGACTAAAGTTAGTCCGCTTTCGAGAATACCACCCATAGGATTTTTTCTGACTCTCAACTGACAAAATGCAGACTGAAGATGGTTACAAATCTGTACTATGTTCAGGAAGCATGGAGCTTTTTTTAAAATGAGACTGTAAAATCAAAAGATAATTTTTGCATGGACATGCAAAGTCCACTGAAGATGGGGATCAGAAAGTTACTCAGTTTGCTATTTATGAATTATTAAAGAGGATTGACATATTTTCCGAACGCAATTTAATTTTATTGATTTTGAATATTCATGGATTTAAAGGATTGATTATCTTTTCAGGTTTCATGAAGATGGAAAGATATAAAACTTTAAAGGCATTACCCATGTGAAAGCATTAAAAGTTAAAAGATTTGGACATTGTTATTATTTATATTAGATTGAATAGTCAGTAGAAAATCATTCTTTCCCTGTAGTTTCTCAGCAATCATAAGGAAATACAATTTAAAGGTAAAGACCAGTTTTGAAAACGCCCCCCCCCCCTCCCTCTTAAAAAATGAAATGGAAGCTCTTATTATCAGTCATGATGTGAAAGAATATGTTTTGACTAATACATGATGATACAGATTTTGCCGGGAAACCGCCTACTAATTGATATATTTGTTTAATTATAATATCTATCTGGACCGGATAGATATTGCGTATTGCGCACGTGTTGCGTAGTCCCTTCTTTCTGTGTACAGTGCTTGCTTGTAACTTTACCAAGACTGGGCCAAATTTCTTATCATTTTGATGATTCCAGAACCTTGCAGTACACACCAATATTTATATGCTAGATGATCAACCTTTTCTGATCGATTCCACGTTTCTTTCACAATGCAATCGCATGACCAGAACTGGTCTTTTCCTTTAAGGACAATTTGGGATACCTCCCACACATAGAAACTCCCATTTTGAAGGAATCATAAAACCGATTGAAAAAGCGACCATTTCTTACCACCTTGCAAGCTTTCATACACAAGCAGCGAGACCAAAGTGGATTTTTTTCAAGATATGTACTCATTTTTTAAATGAGAATAACTGTGATTACCTGTGAGATCTATGCTTCTGTCAAAAGTGAGAGTTGACTTTGAAATGCAATAAAATTTTATGGTGATATACTGTATCATGATTGTTAAAACTCTTTTGTCAGAAGGCTTTAAGTATATACTTTGATGTGTTTGTTGTTTTCAAATCTGATTGAAATATGATACATTTTATTTATGTGGCTGTAGGGGAATAAACCGGCCTTTATTTAAATTTGACTTGTGTGTAAGCGGGAAGTTTACCCTGATATTTAGTTAGTTTTAATGGAGACAGGAAAGTTAATCTTACCCCCAAGTTTTACAATGTCACATGACCTATTTAGAATATGAAGGCATTTGAAGAGCCATGCTTTTCAGGGAACATGTCTTATCTGATGTTCACCTCTTCCCAGAACTCAACCTTCTCTTTAAGGTGATGCCCACAGGTATACATGTAAACTGGAGATAATCAAATGAGACAGACACTATGAACATGACAGACAAAGAAAGCGGACAAAATATACAGTTCCTCAGGTAGACAAAGGAACATCCCTTCACTGCTATTATGTAAAAAGGTGAATATGCATGTGAAACCTGTTCTACACATTTCTACATAATAGCAGTGAAGGGATGTTCCTTTGTCTACCTGAGGAACTGTATATTTTGTCCGCTTTTTTGTCAGTCATGTTCATAGTGAGACTCCATGTCTATGACCACACGCTTAATGTGCTCATTGATTAAAATACACTCTCAACATTCAAAACAATGAATAATGGAAACGAGACACAAATTTGGGAAGAAATTAGTACCATTGGGTTTTTAATAAAATTCCGAGTGGGCTTCCTTCTAGAAATTTACAGGTAATTTACAAAGGCAACATCTTCTTAATTTAATGAAGAAGCTGAAGAAGAAAACCATTTGGACATTTCATTGTTTAAAAAAAATGATAATACACATATTTACACTTTTCACAATCCTGGGCAAGTAGAATGGTGATCAAGTTGCCCAAAGTTTGTGGCATTTAATAAAAAGATCTCATTCAGAGGAATAAGCAGTAACTGCCACATAATAATTATACCCTCAATAAATCACTTATTAGCAGTTTGATGGTGACTCGATAAGAAAATATCATTCACCAGAGCGACTGGGTCAGCTTGGGCATTTGAAGAAAACCATATGAAATCCCTTGCACGACAATCAATCACTTACTTGCGCATATAGTTTATACTGATTACATCAAATTCAAAACAAAATATCACCCCATTTGCCATTTTCACTATACAGTGTACCATAGTTCTGTCATCTTTTAAAGCAATTGACACCCTAACGACCATTCACAGTAATGTCTGTGCACACATAAGCTCCACAAGGCCAGCTGATCATGTATTTACTACGCACAATACGAGGAACTCCGCCATTGAGCATGGTGAATACATATCGAGCTGGCTCAGCGGACCGTTCTTAAGAAAGAACGAAATCTTATAGAGCTGGCAATATAGAAAAAGCATGGGCATTATTCAAGCTAGCCGGCACATACTGTGACCTTCTTATCAGTAAGTCTATACTAGTAATACTGTGACAATGCTTCATACACTATAGGACTATTAAACTTTCCTAACCATCCTGTACTATTCAAGTAATTACAGTGACTCACAAGTAAAGCATACCCAGTACAATAAAAAGATAAAACAGTCGGTTTAGCCGACTATGATAGTATCGTGTTGGCACTCCAGCTTAAGCATTTTGGATCTCACAGAATTTAAAGAAGGATGATGGTGAATCAGTTGAACCCTCAGCAGTTTAGAGTCTTCTTTTAAAGTTGTTTTATCTTTATCTTTTGATCCAGAATGATCTTAATTAAAAATTACACATGAGCAGAAGAGCATAAATTGCGGGGAAAATGTGTGTCCATTCCTATTGCAGTACACAGTTCCGTTCATGAGTGATTGCCATGTAATTGTAAATGATCACTAAAGTCTCTAAATTGGCAATGCGAAGTAAAATCTGTGTACAAATAAGTGGTGCCAATTTGAGGAACAATAGTTGATTCATTTAGAAAACTCTGAACTGCTATTGGTTAATGGGATACTGAATATTTAAGGTCTATGACGTTCAAAGAGACGATGATGATGATGAAGATGAATTCTACGATGATCACTTTAGCTAAGGTGACGTGATGAAGGTTTACATATTCAAGGTGACATATAATATCTATACATTTGTATCAAATATAGGTGTCGTCAAAATTTTCCATCATATATGGTAGCATACAAATAGAGAAAAGAAAATGAGATGCAATTTTTTTTCAATGTAGTCTATTGTAAGTTATAAATTAAATTATTCTATCTCTACAGTCAAAGCATGAGAATACAAAAATACCATAACTTTTGCATCGAATATGAGTGTAAAAACCCAGCGATATACAATACTTGATATAACTGAGTACATGTCATACTTAAACTCTAAATGATATTCTAAATGTTTTGCTTTGGAGATAATAATTGTTTCAAACACCAAAAGAATTCTAACACAAAAATAATGCTCCATATTCAATACATGCACAGGACATATAATTGTTAAGATGACGGATCATGCTTTGAGAAAATTTCTTGCAAACTTGCCTTGATTGCAGGGTCCGTGGTTAAAATAGGACTCTATCGATTTGTCATTATCCTATAGGAAAGTTGACACATTGAAAGTGATTCCTCTACATGTGCATTGAGTGATACTGACTTGATGGTAGAGAGGTACATCGAGAGTTTAGTGACACAAAGACGTAACTCCATATTTTGCCAAAATGTTCAGAAAAATGTGGGCTTTCCAGGAAACACAAAGACTTAACTCCACCCAACAAATTGAAGTCAATGGCTAGTGAAACAGACTTAACTCCTTAAGGCCCAAGTGCTCAGTGACACATAAACCACTTTTTCTCAAAATGGAGTTACGTCTTTGTGTCACTGACCCCTCAACATGTCCTGTTCAGAGGGCAATCCATCCCTGGTAACAATTTCACTTGTATGATTAGAGAAATGGACTGAAGAAAATATGTAGTCCCTCTTCCCATCATCTTCCCCTCTTTATGTATAGTCTTCCAATCTTTTCTAGTACAGACTGCTAAAACACAGCACAAAATGGGAGGTGCAAAAGGGAAGTGACTGGGAGTGCGCTCCACAAAATGTAATTTCTCAAAATTCGTCGCCAAACGGACTACAGGAGAGATGCAGTGGGTATACATGGTCAAGTGGGTCTACAAATCTTGTTCAAAAGACTGCAAAGCTTTTCAGAAGCAGCAATACAACACACACGTAACTGCCATGAATCGGTACTGTGGATATTTTCATTGGTTTTCTGTTCACATATGTACAGTGAGCGCATCCAGATCAACATCTTCCGACGATAAAAAGACAACTACCTTTCAAATCTCACGTAAAATCACCCCAAACTACTGTTACAACATGGCCAACAAAATTATCCATTGTTTTGACTCGTAAAGCACAGTGAAATGATTGGTGAATTTAGAAAACATTGCAAAGACAACTAAACGTCATTGTTCTGTACATATCGTAAAACCGAAGAATTTTGTCAAGTGCCGAATGTCCGTGATTATTGAAGGCATGAAACTTTCACTGTATTGAAAAAAATGAGTATTGTGATTCAATTAAGTTTGAAGCATGAAAGTGGATCATTTGATGCATGGATTCTGGCCTGCGCAAGTCCCGGCCTGCTTCTACAGCATATCATAAACATACTAAAAAAGTGCAAGCGTAACTCCATTACAAATCTAGCATACAAGATGTGACATGTGCAATAGGGCATGGAGCTGACTGTGAACCAGAGGGCTACTACAGCTCGTATCTTTTAAATAGATTAATCGTCCTTCTGACCCTTTGCAGATACCATACTCTCCATGCTGAAAACTACATAGCTAGTACAAACTCTGCTTCGCTTCGTAGCTGCCCCGACATTCACAGATCCTCAATACAAGAACTGGATCTGTGGATCATGTGACAAGGTAGTGATACAGGGTTTCCAGGCCCTGCTGGATCAAGTGCTGGATCAGAATTGGAAAAATATTGAGATCTATCTCGTCACAAAAAAGATAAAACTTGCGGTATAAAAAACGGTTGAGATGGTTGGTGCTGATCACAGGAAGTAGTCTGGCTGAGGCTTTTTGGCGGGTATCCCTCGAACCTCCTGCATGATAAGATATAACCATTGGATGATATTATGAGAAAGTTGCAAAGGAAAATATCTGCTCAACAGTAAGAATTATTGGTATTTTGTCCCTTTGGAGACCATTTTGATAAGGGAAGGGTGAAAAGGGGAAGGAGAGGGGAGAGGGGAAGGGAGAAGGAGAAGAGGAGGGGAAAGGAGGAAAGGGGAGAGGGGATGATGAGGGGAAAAGGATTTGTTTTAATTTTATCATTCATTATTTATCAAACTTGTATAAAATGAAGAAATATAAACAGAGGAAGAACAAACAAAAGAAACAGGCCTATGTGGTACTTATGTTTTAAAATCCGGAACAGAACATCATACATAAACCCAGTAATAAGAAAAGAAAACAGAAATTTCCTCTAAAACCCTTTTTGTCCTTCCTTGAAAATCATTCAATTATCTCAGAAATTGAAGTCCTTCCGAAGGTAGCAAATGGATACATAGCCAGCAGATACACATTTAATGGAGTACACCTATGTATTACAAAGTTAAGGCTTTATAATACTCAGTTTATTTTTTTGCTTTTTTTACATTCCTTGACTACCTTTACACAAAAACATTGCATTCTGCGCACAGTTTAGTTTGTTAACAGCGAAAGGTTACAGCTTCTGTCCTACTATTCCTTTATCTTTTCATCAAAAATCTAAGAAATTGATGTTTTTCATCAAACTATACGATCGAACCCTTCTGCCGGGCACACCATGCCAAGCATGATATCAGAGAACTTTACAATTCCACATTAAAATTTCATTTCATGTGTTCTCACCTGAGGAGCAGCTTCAAATATCGTAAAGTCCCTCTGCAGATGCTCGTCTAATTCCAAGATGGCAGCCACATTTCCGCATCTGAAAATAGAATGGATAAAAAATCTAGTGAGTTAGATGTGGGGTGGCTTCAAAGCTGGATGGGCCGTTCCCATAAAAAACTAGCAAATGCTTGCTAGAACAAGAATCAACCAAAAGCTTAGCAAGCAAAAGTATGTTTGTTCTTTCGCGCACAAGCTCAAGTAAAAGCAACTGCTTAGAAACTTCATTCATATTGAAACTTGGCTTTAATATCCTATCTTTTTTCGTATTTTATCTGTATAAACATCTAAATGTTATCCCACCTACGTACACTGGCGTACTGGTGGGGGAGCTAGGGGGGGCGCCAGCCCCCCCAAATAAAATTGAACCATGACTTATTTTCAATTCCATATAGATCTACAAGTCATGTATAAATGTTGGTGATATCACATGATTTTCAACAAAATGCCCGTTTCTCCATTTCTGTTGCAAACTGACACATTCACAAATGGCCAGGAAAAGCATATGTTTTTTACAGTCACTAAGGGGCCGTGGCCACTAACAGTAACACTAGAAGAAGAAAAAAATCCTTTACAGAAGCAACTGTGACAAGCACTGCCGGGCGTTCCATACTGACATATCATGTAACACTGCATTATGTACCGTTAATAGGGCCCAGTGGGGAAATTGAATTCAGACAAGATTAAGAGTTGGTACAACGAATCGTCTTCTTTAATAATTTAATGAAACGGCAAAGCTTCCGTGCTTCGGGGGGGGGGGGGGGGGGGGGGGAGGAGGGAGCAACTGAATTCAGACTAGGATTAAGAGTCGAGATGGGTACAACGAATCGTCTTCCTTCTTTAATAATTTAATGAAGTGCCAAAGCTTCCTCACTTTACGCGTGAGGGGGGTGGGAAACTGAATTCAGACAAGAACACGATACAACGAATTGTCTTCTTTCTCTGATAATTTAATGCAACGTGAAAGCTACCGCGCTTCGCGCGGAATGGGAGAATATGAATGCAGACAAGGATTAAGAGTAATAGTTTAATGAAACGTCAGAGTTTTCGCGCTTTACGCGAGATGGGCGAAAATCAATTCAGACAAGGATTAATAGTGGAAACCGGTACAACGAATCGTCTTCTTTCTCTAATAATTTAATGAAACGTGAAAGCTTCCGCGCTTTGCGCGGGATGGGCGAAAACGAATTCAGACAAGGATTGAGAGTAATGATTTATTAAAACGTCAAAGCTTCCGCGCTTCGGCTGGGAGGGGGGTGGGGGAACTGGATCCAAACAAGAATTCAGAGTCGAGAACGGTACAACAGGTCGTCTTCTTTCTCTAATAATTTAATGAAGTGTCAAAGTTTCCGCGCTTCGCGTGAGAGGATGGAGACCGAAAATTAACTTAGTTCCTGGCCCCGGGTGTATAGGGTTAAATTTGTAGACATTTGGACATTAGCATTAATATATTTGTCGGTAATTGGGTGCTCGTTTTGTCGGTTATCGGTGGCCTCTACACCCTCCCCACTCCCCCGCTGAGAAAGATCTAGCGACGCCCCTGATAACGACACAGTTTATACACTCGAGAACATGTATGCAAGTACTTCACTGATGAAGTACCGGACCACCGACTTTGTGCATTGTGCGGCATCAAAGCATATACAACGTCTCAAGACGTGACAGATCACTTTTCTCTAACTTGTAACCAATCAAAAGGCCTCGTTTTTTTCCAGGAAGTGCAGGTGGACATTAATGCGCCAAATGTGGTTCTCATATTGCAAAAGATCCCTACTCTTGGAAGGGGTAGGAGAAAGCAATTTTACGTCATATTACTCCAGGAAGTGACTGAAAATGCGTCTAATTTGGTTCTGAAATTGCAAATGCTTCTTACTCTGGGAGGGGGCCAGAACCCCCTCCCAGACCCACCCCCGCTTGGTCGCTCCGCTCCCTCGCCGCTAAAGCCCCGTTCTGTCGCTTCATCGTTTTACATAATATTTAACGCCATGCCATTTTGTGCCCCCCCCCGGTAAGAAATTCCTGGATCCGCCACTGATGCCCATACCCCTTGAGCTTTGGGGGCTCCACTCCTTGACCCCCGCCGGGGCTTTGCCCCTAGACCCCACTTTGCGAAACGTTCACCGGGGCCTGCATGTTAGAGTAGGGTGCTGCGGATTTTTTTTGTCAGCACCCCCAAACGTTTTTGCTCATTACGCCACTGCCTACGTATCACTGTTGCAATAAACCTGTAAATTGTTAATTATCACATTTTTATCTCATGTACAACGATATTTGTTAAGTGTTCTATATATTTAAATGTGTTATCAATGCAACGTTATGCCATGTACTTTTTACTCTGTAAGTTGAGCAATTTCAGCTTTTAGCTGCATGTTCGATGATTTTTATCTCAATAAACCAATACAATACAATACAATAATCTTTTGCATGCCTAGCAAATACTTATGAAAAAGAAGCTCGACGGCAGAGATTCCTATAGAAAAGAAGTCAATTGCACAAAATAAATATTTGCAGTTTCAAGAGGGTTGTATGGGAGTAGATTAAAAGGGTATCAGAAGCTTACATTTAAAACTTTCATTGTAATAATGAAGATAAATCATATTTTGAATTCAAACTCGTTATCCTTCACTACAACTCCCATGTCAGAGTCATGGCAGTGCAGGGGTGATATAGTAAGCACTAAAAAATATTTTTTTTTTTTTTTTTTTTTCTCAACCATACCCTTGAGTGCAAAAAAAAAAGGATTCGGGGGGAAAAATGGCATCTAACAACATTCCCCCCTTTTGAGTAAAAAAATTTGGGAAAAATCAGGAGGAAAAAAAAATATGTAAAAATATAAAAAATCGGGAAACCGATTTAAATCAGATAATTATCAGGCCTGCAGTGAAAATAAAACAATAGTCGTTACTTCTAACTCATCTAATTCAAACCCAAACATTCAAACTCATTCCACCACTGAGTCAAGTCACTAGCATCCCACATGAGAAAGTCCTTGTGGCGACGATAAAGCAATGATGTGACATACCTGTAGCAGTAGTTGGGGGCAGACCAGACCGTTAGCACTGTTTCATTGAAATGCCACTTGTAACCTTCTATCACCAGCTGATGCGCCCTGCAGATCATGTCAATGTTATTGGCTGCGTTGAACTGACTGACGACATCGCTACCAAAGAGATAGCCAGCACCCCTGGGGCTCACTCCCCATCCTTGTGTATCTGCGGAAAAAGGAAGATAAGAGTCAAAAAGATAAATGGGGTGTTTAAAGGCATCAGATTCTTTTTTTTTAATCCTGGATTTAGCTCATGATGCAATCATAAATATAAGCTTTTAAGTCATACACGAATCCCATGACTTTACAAGCCAATCGCCTGTCTGATTATCAAGATATCTATGATTGAATTAAAAATTTCAGAATTTGTTTTCCTAACGGTTTTTTTAACACTACTATTGGGGGAAATGAGTATGGTAAAACTGGGCACTGAAAGATTTTTACTTTTTTTAGGCACTTCATGATCATTTTGAAGCACATTTTCAGGGCTTCATTATTACACTATATCACATACGTCCATGCATCTAGGATTTAATATTTTTAAATGATGTTTTAAATAATTTTGTTGCTTACTGTAAATTTCCTTTCATCTGTAAAGGCTATGAATCAATTACCTTCTAGATCCGACCACAATAGATCACACATGGGACCATATCAACAGACACTGATAACACATACGGCCATGCATCTCGGATTTAACATTTTTAAATGATGTTTTTAATAATTTTGTTGTTTACTGTAAATTTTCTTTCATCTGTAAAGGCTATGAATCAATTACCTTCTGGATCCGACCACAATAGATCACACATGGGACCATCGTGAGGTACCTCCTGCTTTCGGTCAATCATTCTAATCTGATCTAGCGTTGTGATGGACGGTGAGAGGCCTCCATGGACACAGAAGATCTGAGGTAGGTAAGGTAGAGAAAGGAGATAGAGAAAAGCGTTTGAATTTACATCAAGACAAGTGTATTCTTTCAAAGGAATAATAGCAGTTTAATGTAGTACTAAAGAGGGAAGATGAGCTTAAAGAGAAGGTTGAGTTCTGGGAAGAGGTAAAACAAATGTTGTGAGCGTCATCATTGTTATTATATGCAAGTGTGGAAAAATATCAGATAAAACATGTTCCCTGAAAAGCATGGCTCTTCAAATGCCTTAATATTCTAAACATGGCATGCTATGGCATAAAAATCAGGACAGACTTTAATGCCACATGTTTGTGTAGTCCCATATACATCTTTCTGTGTACAGTACTTTTTATTTTACCAAGACTGGGCCAAATTTTTGATCATTTTGATGACTCCAGAACTTTGCAATACACAACAATACTTATGCTACATGATCAACCTTTTCTGATCAATTCAGCACATTTCTTTCACAATGGAATTGCATGACCACAACTCAACTTTATCTTTAAAGGTATAGACCAGTTCTGGTCATGCAATTGCATAGTGAAAGAAACATTGTGGAATCGATCAGAAAAGGTTGATCATCTAGCATATAAATATTGGTGTGTACTGCAAGGTTCTGGAATCATCAAAATGATAAGAAATTTGGCCCAGTCTTGGTAAAGTTACAAGCACTGTACACAGAAAGATGTACATGTATATGGGACTACCATATATCCAGATAGATATAATAATTTACCAAATATATCAATTAGTAGGCAGTTTCCCAGCAAAAATTGTATCATCAAGTATTAATCAAAACATATTCTTTCACATGATTGGTAATAAGAGCTTCCATTTCATTTTTGGAAATGGAGGCGTTTCCAAAACCGGTCTTTACCTTTAAGGCAGTTTTAATCAAAAGGTTATACAAGAATCATATTGCCACAATACAAACAGACCACTTTAGAAATTTGATATGAACTTACCTTTCCATCAATGATGGCAGACAGACTAAGGTAATCAAAGATCTCTGTATAGTATCTCCACACAAAAAGACAACAGTGCACTGCACTCAGTCACTCAGGGTATTATGTCCCAAGATTTTCACAACATGGTAAGATTAGTGTTTAAAGGTATTGACCAGTTTTGGAAAAGCCCCCTTCTCAAAAAACGTGAAAGAATATGTTTTGACTAATACATGATGACACAAATTCTGCCGGGAAACCGCCTACTAATTGATATATTTGGTAAATTATTATATCCATTTGGACCTGATAGATATCGCGCACATGTCGCGTAGTCCCATATACATCTTTTTGTGTACAGTGCTTGTAACTTTAACAATCTGATATGAACTTACCTTTCCATCGATGATGGCAGACAGACTAAGGTAATCAAAGATCTCTGTACAGTATCTCCACACCGTGATGGAACCATACTTTCTTAGACATTCGTCGTAGAAACCATAGACCTGGGTGATTTGCCTGCTTTCGTGATTCCCTCGAATTAATGTGATTCTGTCTGGGTACCTAACCTAAGTAAGACATAGAAAAAACACAATGAAGAAATGTCAATGATACTCTTGATATCTAACAATCGTAATTGTTCATCTATTAACCCTTTTAATAGCAACTAAACTTCCCGTAACCGCCCTTTCGTTTTCGTCCGTTTTCATCGCGCTGTAGTATCCCTCTATGGAGTCTACCGTGATAATGTATACATGTACGTGCGTAATTCTTACCATCTCTACAGTAGGATTCTGCATAGAAAAATAGCGCATGTTTCTTATTGTTCAGAACAATGTAAAAATGAGAGCAATATTGCAACATCTTCCAGTAAGTAATAGGCCATTTTTTAAACACAAAATCTCTATTTGCTAATGGGTTAAACCTTCATGTAAATGACACTTTGGCTCTGTAACTTTTAATTCTGAGCTCTAAAAAAAGAATCAATAAAAAATATTTTAAAAATCAGAATTAAAATCTTTAAATTGGCCGCACCTTGAGAGGCTCAAAATCATTCTTTTTAAATCAAAAGTATCCCTTTTTTATCAACTTTTTCAAATCACCATTTGTCTTGGAACAGTTTTTTACAGGAAAAAAAAAGAAAAATATCAATGTTGCCAGTTTGAAAAAGATTATGTAATAAATTTTGCCCTTTAAAAAAAATCCCTGTCCGAAAGAAAGGCCCAGCATTTGGGTATGTGTGTTTGCACTTGCTAGAAAAAGCAGAAATCGGTTAAAGAGTATAGATCTATACACTTTTGAATAAAGAAAAATACTCACTTTAAGAGCTAAAAGAAGAAGAAAAGTTTCTACACTGTAAAAGCCTCTGTCCACAAAGTCACCCATGAAGAGATAATTTGTGTCAGGAACATCACCGCCAACCTGCAATGAAAAATTGAAAGTAATAGATAATTTTTCTGCATTAAAGCCCCACTGCACTACTTATAGCTACTTGCGCCCTCTATATAGCAAACAATGCCTTATCTGTGACCATTGGTCCCCCATGATCCTTTTTTTTAATGTTAATTGAGAGCTGATTTGATGAGAAAACCACATGTCAATGACCTTGCAGGGTGATCTAATCCCTCCCGTAAACTAGTACAGATGGACTTTGAAGAAAAAAAATATCCAAACATTTTGCATCTTCGTCATGTTCGCATTTGTGATTACAACATGTAATTCCATATCAATCTAATGTGCATGTATACATGTAAAGTTACATAATAAGTTCATGTTTTTACTACTAGAGAAAGAGACAGACAGACAGACAGACAAGAGGGGGGGAACAGAGAGGAGGTACAATGAGAGGATAGATTTGGAGACAAAAAGACAAAAGACAAAGATAAAAGAAATGGAGTGTTATCTCTGTAATTGATCATTGTGTACAATCAACTAATTACAATCAATCAGTCAATCAATCATACAATCACTAACCTTAGAGTTACAGGCCTTACCCTGAGAACTTTTAAAATGTCACCAGAATGAACATTAGTTATTACAGTATTTTCCCACATTATATCAATTTATCACTTGAGGAAAATTTATTCTTTTAAACTGTCTGAGAGGTGAAAGAGCCACTGCCTTTATTTACTCTCAATACATGGAAGCTTCTTATACAAAGAATTTGTTTATGAAATATCACTGTCATGGACTAAAATGCTACTTGAACTTGAACTCTGTCATTTAATCTAAGAAGGAAGGAAGTGAATTCATCGTATAAGACCTAACATTCTAAGAATAAAATTTCTTGACAATGTATAACAATCATTAATTTTACAATAACAAAATAGACAACAGTGCACTGCACTCCGTCACTCAGGGTATTATGTCCCAAGATTTTCACAGCATGGTAAGATTAGTGTTTAAAGGTAAAGACCAGTTTTGGAAACACCCCCCCCCCCTTCAAAAAATGAAATGGAAACTCTTATTACCAATCATGTGAAAGAATATGTTTTGACTAATACATGATGACACAAATTTTGCCGGGGACCGCCTACTAATTGATATATTTGGTAAATTATTACCTACATGTATTTCGACCGGATAGATATCGTGCACGTGTCACAAGTCCCATATACATCTTTTGGTTAACAGTGCATGTAACTTAACCAAGACTGGGCCAAATTTCTTATCATTTTGATGATTCCAGAACCTTGAAGTACACAACAATACTTATATGCTAGATGATAAACCTTTTGCAATCGCATGACCAGAACTGGTCTTCATCTTTACTATCAACAAGTAATATATGTTTTTGATCTACATGTAGCAGAATAACAATTTGAAATGTAAATAAGGTTGGGGTCAAGATATTGCGGGTTGTATTATAGAGAGGTACGCAAACTGTCATATATTCCTCCCAAACATACACATTGTAATCGCAAATATCAACTTTTGTTGTGCTACTTCAGGGATGCCAGTTAGAATTGATCTATTTTGTACACACAAAAACCTAAACTATGGTCTGAAAATAACTTGCCAGGGCCTGAATTCAGGCTATTGCCTGAAAACTGGCATCCTGCTACTTGCATGGCATCATAAAATTTCCAAAATGTGAACAAACATTGAAATCCTCACATTGGCAACAAGTTGAAAATGTCAGAGTTACTATCTGCCACATATATCTTTCTTTTCCAACCGTTTGATATCTGTCCATTCAATAATTCTCAAATACTATAAACGCTGTCATTTTCGCATGATAAATCTTTCGCGCTGAGCGACCCCAAAACATATTCGTGGGTTCTTAAATTCGCGTTGCAGGCAATTCAGCCCGTTCAAAACATGCATAGGAAGTCATGCTTATATAATGGCAGGTTTTAATATTCACGTTTACCGACTTTAGCGCAATATCCGCGAAAATTAAAACACAGCCAGTATTACCAAATTTACAGTACATGATGAACTTTAGTAAATATGTAGTAAAGTAGAGAAAGGTACACGTTCCAGTGTTGCCAATTTGGAAGTAAAAAAAGGCAAATCAATTTCAGCTGTTACACGTCTTTGCCATGAAGGGTGAAGGGGTCGATCTTACCTTAAATAATTCTTTGAGGTCATAGAACTGACCATGGATATCCCCACATACTGTGACTGGAGCATCAACTCTCTGTACATTGCTTTCTTCTACTAGAATTTCCCTGGAGATAAAATTAAAAAAAGACACAAACAATGTTTATAAAAACGGCATCTACTGACACTCTGACAGAACACTAAATAGTTGCCAAAATTGTCATGGTACGACCACTTTTATCATTATTATAACTAACTACAATATATGTAGGCATAAAATTAATTGTTACCAATATCATTCTACAGGTTTGACCAGCCCTTTACAATGACTACCGTCAAAAACTGTCAAATTATCAACAACATGCTTCATAGTTCATACTTAAGTTAGTTGGGCACATCTCTGACATGATGATTTTACAATTTCACAGCTGAAACAGGCATTTGATTGACAGAACTACAACAACTTGAAAGTTGCCAAATATGTTAAGGTTTGACCACTTTTAATGCTCTCATTAATTATCCTTACAATACACATGTATTTGCATAGTTCAAGCTAATTTTGAGCTCTGGTATGGGCATTGTATGTCGAGAGAACATGGCTATAATTCATTCTGGATTGTTTACCCTGCAGTAGATTGATTGTTTGAACTTTGCACCAGTAAAATAATAACAACCTCACAAAAACTTGCTGGAAATCATCCTCAATGAAAACCACAACTATCATTTGCGCATGGTGACCTGTGTTAAGCGCATCTAGCATCTGGCCTACTTACCTTGATTTTATTATCTTTCTATGCTCATTACCCAGCCCCTATACATTTTCTACTAAAATCGTTTGTTACATCTCATTAAGTGTAAGTTTTTGTTGGATTCTGTGAGAATTTGTTTTCTATCATTACCAGTGCCAATTATTATCTATATACTGGTAAGGCTTCCCAGTGGTACAATAAATCAGTGTATCCAATATCTTTAGCACAGTACCCGGATGACTGACCAATATTGTTTTCGCATTGCTCAGACATCGGGGAACTTCAACTATCGATATCGATATCACACCCAAAAAAAGCCACATTTACTGAGGTAAGTCATATTTTGACTGTCCATCTTTTCAGATTGGACAGCCTAAAAAGCTAACAACAACAACAACAATGATTTGTTATTTCACTAGTCTGCCTGATATAGATAATAATAATTTTATATGGCTTTGTTTTTGTGTGATACAAGAATATATTGCTCTCGCTATGACAAAATTTGATGGCTATGACAATATTGAACAAGCAATATTGAACGTTCAATATTGTCATAGCTCGAGCAATATAATCACACTCAAAGCCATCCAATATTATATAAATACATGTACTCAATACTCTTCATATTTACCTTGCTTTGGCACATAATGCTTTGACTTCACTTTCTTTGATGATTTCACAATTTCTCAGCTGCTCTATTTGTCTAGGAAAGAAAATGTAACACATAAATGTAATTTAAACCATAAAATGTACAGCCAATACACATGTACAGTATGTGGAGATGTGTTTAATAAAAAGATGCTATATGACAGCTAGTGGTTGTTGAGAAATTTTTGAAATGTATATTGTTCTCCAAATCTCCTTTATTCAACAAAATTCTAACTGGATAAAATGACATTTGAAAAGATCTGACCTACATACAAAATAAAAACAATTTATTTAAAGAGAGAAAATGAATATGTATCCTTTATCAACAACATCCTTGAGATATTATACCAAATTTCCTTCATTTAACAAACTGGATAAAATGATATACGGTAGGGCAATAAGATCAAAATTAAAGTAAATATGCCTTTTCTCACAAAAGTTTTCTTGGACTGGAAGAAAGAAAAAAAAATTAAGTTTGCTGCCATTTTGGAAATGGGACATTTGATTACATGTACATTGCCGCTATGTCAAACTTGGTCACTATGATCAGCATTTATCAAATAAGACTAGAGTCTACATTACGTCAGGAGAAAAGTTTCACTGAAACTCACCTATCTAAATCGCTACAGTCTGCCATCTTTAAATCTTGTCTTCTCTTCTCTCGTCTGAAAGAGTAAATGATTAGTAGAAATGAATGAATGCAACTTTAAAATAAAAGGAAAAATAATTTTCAAACTACTTCCTCAATCAGTCTCCCATTTCTCTAGCCTGGCCAGACTCGTCGGCTTCAGCTGTGCAGATCCACAAGCAATGTGTATATCATTTCTTACAAGTGTCTTGGCTATAGCCTTAACTGAGGCGAGGTGATAATATGAAATATGATTTTGAAATCACCAAGCCTTAATTGGCATCCATTCCAGCAATATAAAACAAATGTGGAAACATTGGAAGGACAGGGGGGAACCCAAAGACCATGGAAATCCATTATGGATGGACTATAAAGGAGCGAAGAGGTGTAAACGTCTTTGCAGTAACGAGACCAAGACTAAGATAGAGTCTTTACAGGAGAGGAGACAGAAGATGGATTTGATTGATACTTACAAATGTATTAATGATATACATGTATATAGGAATAGTTCAGAAAAGTTCTTCTCTGCTCCAAAAAAAGATCTAAGAGGTCATACTAAAAAGCTTTACCAAAGACATACTCGCACAAAATTAGCTAGCCACTTTTTTTCAAATCGAGTGGTCCAACCCTGGAACGGCTTACCTCACGACATAGTGTCTGCACCTACTGTGGCTACTTTTAAGAGAAACCTGAGAGCCCTTCCCATAGGACAAGTGTGCTAATCAACCAAGTATACCAAGTAAGTAAGAAGAAAGTCTTCATTTGAAGACTACGCCAGAGCAGACAGACGGTGAAGAGTAATCTCCTGGATGAGGTAGAAGCTGCCAATGGTGACAACCAGCAGCTATTCCACAAATCAGTTTAGCACTACAATCCCTCAGGCACTTCTGCTTGCACAGAATCCATAACTTACAAAGGTAAAACCTTCTCAGGACTAGAGATCATACAGGGATGGCAAATCAACAGGTCTCTTACATCCCGAGGACTATCCCAGTTGAGAAGTGGATGCTGAAATCACAGCGTTGTTCGACTCTGTGCCTAGTCCTACTCTAATCTTCACTTCTGACAAACTCAATGCAGCAATCTCCAGACTAAAGCCAAAGAAGGCAGGAGGTAGTAATTGCACCTACATGTAAGCACATCCTTCACACAGGACCTGTCGCTCGCCGTCTCATTCTCCAGTTACTGACCAACTTTATCCATCATATCCATATCCTAGAGAGCTTCAAGAAAAGCCTGATCTTTCCCCATCCATAAAGAGAAGGGCAAGACCCTGAGCAACACGTCAAACTACAGGGGCATCTCTGTGACTAGTCTTCTGCAAACTCTTGGAACTCCTCCTTAGGCCTACTCTCGAAAAACTCTCTTTATAGCAGAAACGGCATACCCTTTGAACTACATGGGGGCTTCCAGACTGGCCACTCGTGTATCCTGACAGCAGCTACACTCATGATAACTAAAGCTAAGGAAGCAAACCAACCAGCCAACCTTCATAGCCTGTTTTGATGCAGCTAAGGCCTTTGATACCGTGTGGCACCAAAAGACAACATCCGCAACATCCACCAAATCGTCCCTTAACATGTTGGCCAGCCTACACCCTCCAGAGACTCCACAACTACTTCCCAGGAGAACCCTGTTTCCACAACTTAGACAAGCCACCCCAAACAAATGCCAATTACTAACCAAAAATTGGCTTTCAGGTCAAATAGCTCACACAGAGTCCAACATGTCCCTGCCTGACTGCGAATGAAACAGTCAACTATCTGACAGGGGCATGTCCCCTATATAAAGACAAAAGGGAAGCCTTTGGGGCGTTGTGGCATGCGCCTGTAATATAATCCAGCTTATAATGGAAGTTACAAACTGATTCAGTCAAGGACTCAAATTCGAAACCGAGTCACGTCTTTCGGATGGTGACGCTTAAAGTTGGTCCCCAGACGTAAATAATCATATCTGATTGATACACGTCTGTAAAAAAAAAAACAATTACACACACACACACACTTCATCAAGAGCCCATCAACTTGCACTCAACACCAACTTCATGTACAATCAGTTACTCCCTTTCTCGTGGCTGATGTCACCACAAATCTCATCCTTCTTAGAGTCAATGGTGACCCACCCATTACTGCCCAGGCCCTGGATCACCATGCCGCATCCACAATGGTTTGCTTAGCCGTGGTTCAGATCATGATGACGTCATGCCTCGTTTGACAATGCGTGCAAGCGAGCTGTGCTGCAGCTGTTCAATCATACAGTAGCAGCCAAAAAAGATCTGTATGATATTGTTATGTTATCGGATCATTATCGAGTTTTTTCTACCCAATTCACTGAAAGAACATGACATCATCGCCTAATTTATCTCATTCTCTGCACGTTGATACCAAGATCGTTCGAGCTTCATTTAGGAAATCCAATCATTTTTCTGGACAAATTTCACCTGTTAATTCGAGTTCTAGCAGCCGTAGCGTATAAAAAATGTATTCTAACACAGTAAATTTGACTGATTTTGTATGATTTGTGAGAGATTTTTATGAATTCTTGACATGTTTATCTATCGTTTGGTTGATGTTACTTTTTCCAAGTGCGAGCGTGTGTAAGATATGTACGAGAAGAGATTTATGCATATGCGATGAGCTGTTGCTTACTACATGTAGCTGGCCCATGAATTATACATTTTGTGCATGTGGTGTAGATGCTAGGGAGATCAATGCGGAACTGTTAAACTCTGTACTCAAGGTATGGGAAACAAACCGCCGTGTACTGGTAGTATTATTATTATTATTATTAATCAAATTATATTGTCTGCCTATTCTCCATTGAATCACTCTGCACTCAGGCTCAGCAAAGGATAACTCCGCAGTTCTCCAAACCTGGAGGAAATCAAGGAGAAGAAGATGTAAACAAACCCTTAAATGGGTTTTACATCACACACTCACAGAAATAGGAAGTTGTAAACTATCCAGATCTAGACACTCCTGATATTGATAAATTGCGTTACTGCCTGGTTAATTAATTATTTATATTTTTACAATATTTTATTTTCAGTTTTCTTTACGGATAACTTAAAACTGAAGATATGGCGTATACATTCAATACTGAATAAACGCCATGAAGCTACTACCAACAACAACATCACCCTTTCCCACACACTCAACGCACCAGCTCAAACATCTTTTATTCTCATTCCGAATTCCGCGGCTTCCACCAAAGCAGTCGAGTCTAGGCCTACTCTGCACTGCTCACGATGAGCGACCCACGGCACTCGCACTGCCACCGGCAACTGCTGCCGCGGCATCGTTTCGTAACGACTGTGTCTAATGTGAGGGAAAATTAGTCTTTCAAGAAACCTAACCCATATCTTCTTTCCCAGATTTATATCGAATATAGTCATAAGTTAAAGGGTCTGATGTCTAAAATTAGTTCAATATCAGAAATCTTACCTAGCCAATCTACGCAGACATACCCCGGTGTCGCTTGTTCCGTATGCGTTTAACGTGTGACTAGTAATGTAAGCACACGCGCATTGCTACGCTAGTGAATCCCAATGTACAGTATGCTGCAAACATATGATAAACGGACGTGCTCGCATATTTTTCACACAGCAAGCATCGTTACATAGTTCTAGCAAACAAACCTTATTGTGTGTATTCTTATTTCATATTTTTCAAATGAGGGGTTTTAGAAAGAACTCAATATCTTTACGATATGTGTTGTAAATTAAATAATTATAACTTGCTTTTGGTACGAAATATAATTTGGATATAAATATTCTATCATAATCATAATGTAAATAATTTAGACAGATAATTCATATTTAATAACTTATCATTGAAATAGACTAATCAACATTTCTTGGTGCGCGAGCCACTTACGATATCTGCTATACTATCATTATTAAAATAGGTCAAAGAAAAGTTCTTTTTCGGGAATGCATTTGAAAAGCATCATCCGCACAATGTTTCTATAACTTTAAGAAAATTGTCAGAATGTTAAATCTCCGTTGAAGTGTCAAAATGTTTGATGATATCAAGAAATGAAACTTGAAATGGAATTGACATCTAAATCGACGGACAATGATGAAACGCAGACTGTTGGATTTGTTTGGGAATGGCATTCCGTCTTGCATTCTTTGGATGCCCAGCTGTCTGGCAAGTTACCAAGCACCGCGAACGTTCTATACGGTGATGCAAAAAGGGATGCAACATATCTCGAACAGTTGATGATGGATATTACCAGTGCACCCCTCCCATCCTCCCAACATATAGTACCAGTGATACAACTGCACAGGCCAACTGCAGGCCCTATTCGTTCTGTACATAGGAGGGCGGAGGGCGGGGGGGGGGGGGGGGGCTAGTGAGGGTAAATAATTGGCTTTTATCTCACATGAAACTTACTTTCCAGATCGAAAAAGGGTCTATAAAATACAAACTGTGCCTTTTTATTTTAATATATAGACATATTTCTACACTTCTTTCTATATTATTTATATTTACAAGTCATATGTCTACAACCAGTTGTTATCTCTCATATTTTGTGTGGACTAAGTAACGCTTCCACTATTCACAGCTCACGCTCCAGGCTCTCAGAAACGGGACAGTTGATAGTATGAGCAAGAGACCCGACGGTCGGGCATATTAGGGGGGGGGGGGTGACGCCAGGCGCGGATCTAGGATTTATTAGGGGAGGGGGCCCAACTTTTTTTTTTTTTCTCCCGAAATTTTGAAAATTGCGCCGGCCGAAAATTCGCTCAGTTGGGGGGGGGGGGGGGGGGGGGGTAGTGAGCACATTTTTTTTATATTTTGTTTTTGGTCCTCGAAAATTTTAAAATTTGCACCCCCCCCCAAAAAAAAAAGGTAAAAATCACGTGTTTTTACATGATTTTTTTCTCAAGGCCCCCCCCCCCCCCCCCCCCTCCCAGATCCGCCACTGGGTGACGCCGATGTATGATTGTATCATCTTTATGGCACGTTCCGCCCGTCATAGCCGGCCCCTCAGTGCACCCTACTCCGGCGAATTTTTCAAGTATCGGAGTCCAATGATTCTCCCTGATGGTGCCCGCTTACTCCAATTCAATATTTATTGGCATGGAATTCCCTGCCTTTGGATCAAGCTACTTAGAGTTTGCATTTAAAGCAGCAGTGAAGCTCTCCAACTTATATACTGCTTCATAAATTTTTTTCACTACCTATAATGTACTGAATTCTTACGTATATCATAATCAATGCATGATTATATCCGCTTCAAATAATATATGTGCAACCCAATGTAACTCCTTCCTACTTCAGCCCTCCAACCCCCCAACCCCTTTTTTTCACTTCCTAGTCTCTCTCTCTCTCTCTCTCTCTCTCTCTCTCTCCCTCTTTCTCTCTCTTTCTCTCTCTTCCTCTCTCTCTAACTCTCTCTCTCTCTTTCTCTCTGTCGTGCGCCCTCTCTCTCTCTCTATTTCTCTACTAATCACTTTCAGTTCCTGCCCATCATTCCTCTCTGAACCCTCTAATTATTTGTCTTGTCATTGTTCTTTATTGCTATGGCTCATGCACACGGATCATCAAGTTCCGATTATCTTGGAGCCATCTCCAGTTCTGTTTAGAATAAGCCTATACTTCTAAACATATGTAGGCCTATTAATAATAAGTGATCGACATATTGTTTATAAGAAATTGTGAGAGTTACAAAATTAAAAAAAGACTGTTAAAACAGGTATTATGCTAACAAACATGTGATTATAACATATAAATAATTCTACTTGACAAAAGACTTTTCAGAGAGAGCTAGACTGAGGGGCTTTTCTCAAAGTGGACATTCAAAGAAAATTACAAATAATTATGTCAACTAATTATCTTTCACTAGAAACTGGTAACTAATAGATGGCCATCGTACAAGTTTTAGGTCAACTACATATCGGGTGATTTATAAAAATACAACGAGAGATTCGCCAGAAAAATAACGATGTTTTTTAATGATGTCACAGTTCCCCTATAGTTGATAAGCATAGTGATACACAATGCTTTAGCAGTCACGCAAAACAAACACTCGCAAATTATCATTCAATAAAATCTGAGAATGTTATACTATTAATCTAGATCTATTAGGAATAAATCATTGTCAAAATCATTCTATAAGTTGGGGTAAAAAGAATTATTTCACCTTATTTCACAGTGTATATAATAATCATAAAATACTTTTTATTTCTTAGACTAACTTTATAAAGAGCGCATTAGACCCAAAAGTACCAAACTTGACAAGAGCCTCATATACAATTAGTTTTGCATGGTTATATCAGTAGCGGATGTAGGGGAGGCCGGGCCCCCTCCCCTGGCCAAAAAGAACAGGTAAATTTAACTTTTTTAAATAAAAAAGATTGAGACGAGCCCCCTCCCCTGGCGTTATGGGGGGGGGGGGGGTAGGTGTTGATTTTGTTTTAATAGTGCTTACTAAAATAGTGCCTCCCCCTCCCCCACTTACTCGCCGGCTGGCTGATTCGGCGCTAAATGTTATCTCACGAATTTGGAAGTTACACAAAATTAGTGCTCCTTACCCCCCCCCCCCCCCGCCCCAACGTTTAATCGCCACTAAACATTTGCTAACGAATTGGGCCCTATTTGGCCCCCTCCCGTGCCGCGCCGGCTGGATCCGTCCCTGGATCAGGACCTAAAATAACGATGTTATAATGACGTCACAGGTCCCCTAGTATAGTGTTACACAATGCTTTAGCAGTCACGCAAAACAAACACTCGCAAATTATCATTCAATAAAATCTGAGAATGTTATACTATTAATCTAGATCTATTAGGAATAAATCATTGTCAAAATCATTCTATAAATTGGGGTAAAAAGAATTATTTCACCTTATTTCACAGTGTATATAATAATCATAAAATACTTTTTATTTCTTAGACTAACTTTATAAAGAGCGCATTAGACCCAAAGTACCAAACTTGACAAGAGCCTCATATACAATTAGTTTTGCATGGTTATATCAGTAGCGGATGTAGGGGGAGGCCGGGCCCCCTCCCCTGGCCAAAAAGAACAGGTAAATTTAACTTTTTTAAATAAAAAAGATTGAGACGAGCCCCCTCCCCTGGCGTTATGGGGGGGGGGGGGTAGGTGTTGATTTTGTTTTAATAGTGCTTACTAAAATAGTGCCTCCCCCTCCCCCACTTACTCGCCGGCTGGCTGATTCGGCGCTAAATGTTATCTCACGAATTTGGAAGTTACACAAAATTAGTGCTCCTTACCCCCCCCCCCCCCCCCCCCCGCCCCAACGTTTAATCGCCACTAAACATTTGCTAACGAATTGGGCCCTATTTGGCCCCCTCCCGTGCCGCGCCGGCTGGATCCGTCCCTGGATCAGGACCTAAAATAACGATGTTATAATGACGTCACAGGTCCCCTAGTATAGTGTTACACAATGCTTTAGCAGTCACGCGAAACAAACACTTGCAAATAATCATTTAATAAAATCTGAGAATTTTATACTATTAATCTAGATCTATTCGGAATAAATCATTGTCAAAATCATTCCATAATTGGGGTAAATAGAACTATTTCACCTTATTTCACAGTGTATATAATAATCATAAAATACTTTTTATTTCTTAGACTAACTTTATAAAGAGCGCATTAGACCCAAAAGTACCAAACTTGACAAGAGCCTCATATACAATTAGTTTTGCATGGTTATATCAGTAGCGGATGTAGGGGGAGGCCGGGCCACCTCCCCTGGCCAAAAAATAGGTAAATTTAACTTTTTTAAATAAAAAAGATTGAGACGAGCCCCCTCCCCTGGCCAAAAATAGGTTTAACTTTTTAAATAAAAAAGAATGAGACGAGCCCCCTCCCCTGGCGTAATGGGGGGGGGGTAGGTGTTGATTTTGTTTTAATAGTGCTCACTAAAATAGTGCCCCCTCCCCCTCCCCCTCCCCCACTTATTCGCCGACTGGCTGATTCGGCGCAAAATGTTATCTCACGAATTCGGAAGTTACACAAGATTAGTGTTACTTACCCCCCCCCCCCCCCCAACGTTTAATCGCCACTAAATATTTGCTTACGAATTGGGCCCCCTATTTGGCCCCCTCCCTTGCCGCGCCGGCTGGATCTGTCCCTGGATCAGGGCCTAATGTCCTACAAAATGACTTGTATCAAAATTATTGTCTGACGTTCTTGATAGAATCAAAGGAGTTCTTACAACAACAAAACAGCTTGAAAGTTGAAACGTTAAGTTTTCTTTAATTTTTTTTTCTTCCTTTCTTTCATATCTGCTTTCATTATCTTTCTTCTCGATTTTATTTATTGCTCTTGGCGTGGAACTTTTTTTTGGGTCGGGGGGCAGCAGACCCACCGCCCCCCCCCCCCCCCGGGCCCGGTATACGGTGCTGTGGAGCGAAACTTTTCAGAAAGATTTTGCTTACTCGTCCTTGTTTATGCATGCAGCGTCATAGTATTTTCTTATGCCATGGTCCCGGCTTTTCTTTCTCTTTCCTTATCTCGTTATCGTCCTTCTTATTAATTCTTTCCTCTGCATCCATTATAGTCTCTCTCAAATATCCCTCGATCTTCTCTATATAGTTCCACTCAAAATTTCTGCCGCCTAATATGCGCCACACTCCTGTCGGAAAAAAAGTGGGAGAGAAAGAGGAAGGGGTGAGAGGGCTTCTTTTTCTCTTCTTTCCAGTTTTCTTCATAATCCCCCCCCCCTAGTTCCTATTTTCCTTTCCCTTTCTTTTCCTTTCTCTTAATTATCTTCCTCTCTTTTAGCCCCCCCCCCCCCCCCCCCCCCCCCCCCCCCACCCCCGGTCCGATCATTCCCCTTTCCTTAGTTTTCTCCTTCCCTTTTTGCGGTATGCAGAGGTGGCGCATTTGCCGAGAGAAATTTTGACTCTCGGTGCACCCCCTCCCCTCTAGGGACGCCCCTGGCTGACATAAGACGCGATTTCTGTGGTAATTGGTCCAGTGAAAGCTGTTCTCTCCTAGATCCTTCACACAAACGTAAACACGAGCTGCCCAGCCTATTAGTGACGTCATTGATCATTCACCGTATCAAGTTTCACTCCGTTACCAAAAATAAATCCAGGTACGTTTGGTCCTCTTCGTTCTCCACTGCTACTCTCCACTCCACGTGCTGGTGCAAATGATCTATAATGTTCTTATTTAATATAACATAAACGTCATGAATACGCATGTACTGAAAAATCAGCCAGGCACGTCACTGAAATAGAAAGCAAAGGCGATGAAAGAAAGATTGCGTAATTTCCTATCGATGCTAAATTGGGAGCGTATGTAATATTGATCACGTGACCATCCTATTATTTACTGGCACTCGGCCATCTTAGCTTGGTATCTGGTGGAAGGTGTGTGGAAAATTGGAATCACACAATAAAACAGACTGTAATTATTCACTTCCACATTTTAACGCGAATCTTTTCATCATGGGGAGCTGCCATACAGTTGGCCCGAATGAAGCACTTGTTGTTTCAGGTAAGGAAGCTCGCTTTTTTGCTTTGGAATTGTTATTTAATCATGATTGTTGAATAATGTTTGTGAGTGGGTTTTGATGCTGTTGGGCTAATCGCATTGTATTGACTATTGTGTGTATACATGTACGCGGAGACCAGCCCTATCCCTGCAGCCGAGCGATACGTGCGGGCGCGGGCAGCGCCCACTTTTGCCCTCTGTGCTGTGGTTGTGCCTTTGAAATTGAAGTGTGATTGGGATGCAGTGTTTTTTTCATAAATCAAATGCATGTTCTGGGTTTGTCTAAATTATGTGACAGGGTTCAGTTCAATGATGATATTGTCATGAATCATGATTAGTCATTTAAAAACTGTTTTGTTGCTGCTGAGCTCAGTGAGCTGAATAGATCAAGAAAAAACAAATAACAAATTAACATGCAAAATATTCATTTATTTGAGCCACTTTTTTTTAATTTTAGTAATAGGGACTAGATCTAGGTAATAATATGAAAAATTAAATTGATTTTACCTATCCTTAAGTGGCACACATGGCCATACTCCTGTGTGAAGAGGGAGGTAAACAGCACCTAAATTGCATTTGTAATCGCCCCTTCCCTCGCCCGATTCCCAGTGAACATTGCATATTGGCTACGGAGTTCGCTAGTGAACTCTCCCTTCTCATAAAAAGCACATTGAAATAGGTCAAGAATTCAACCAAATATATGAGATTTTCCACGGGGTCGTTTCATGGAATCAACTCCATGACAGTCATATCTTTATCCGCAACCTTTGGAGACGTCAGAATGGGGGAAATCCATTCCATGAAACCATGAAAAGCGACAAATTCATGATTTCGATATCATCGGCTAAAATATATAGTCTTCTTCACAACCATCAGATTTTATATTTTAGCAATTAAAGAAGATTACATGTATGAAGCTTAATAATGCAATGTCACTCAAACTGTTTGAAAAAATTAAAATCTCAGAGAGAGTGGTAGGCCTACTTTTAGCACAAATAATACAAACATCAAATTTGCATGAACAAATGTGTTGATATATATCTAAAAATTTACAAAAGTTGACGAAATTTTAACGAATCAAAATTTGCAAGTTAGAGAATAACATACATATAACCCTGATTTTATTTCTAGTTCAGAAAATCACAAAAACACAATGTTTTATGACTCAAATTTTTAATATTAATTTATCAAAGAATTATATGATATTATTTGGGTTGATATGTACATGTATGCTTGGGAAGGTAAAATATCTAGAGAAAGACCTACATGAAAATTGTTGTCATTCTCATGGGTCTGCAAAATGACTGTTTGATCTTTAAACACTTTTTTTTCTTATAGTTGACTAGTCAAGGCATTCAAACTTTATACAAAAAAAGTTAGTACCCCGGTATGTTAAAAACGGATGGTTTTGGGTTAAACGATTTAAAATAATTTGATACAAATTTGTGTTTGTATCGGAAAATTAAAAGAAATCACAATATTTACAAATACTTTACATAATTAGAAACAAAATCACTGAACAAAAGCGGAGACTTTACTGTCAGGCATGCTTTGGAACAATGACTGGGTTTCACTTTGTTTATAAAGCTAATGAATCTAGTACGCACGTGTATTCATGTTTATAGCTAACAGTCGCGATATTGCAGAGGTCAGGATTTAGGATTTAAATGGCATCAGTGAAGTATTGTGCATGTATTTCAAGACTGAGAACTTAGTTTTGCGAGTCAACTGCTCAATCTACAATCTTGCAATTGATTGTTTTTGTTGCTCTGCAATTCAACAGTCGGCGTGACTTATGATGACTATAATGTCGGCAAACTTGATTTATTAGCTTCATAAATAAAGTAATCCCAGTCATTATTCCAAGGCATGCCCTACAGTAAAGTCTCCGTTTTTGTTCAGTGATTTTGTTTCTAATTATGTACATTATTTGTTAATAATGTGATTTCTTTTGATTTTCCAAAAAATAAATCTAAAAAAAAAAAGAAAAAAACGGGAAAACAAAACCGTCAAATTGAAAACAGATAGTGCCATGAACGTTCGGATACCGTACAGTAAAATGTTTGACCACAACACTATTTTATCAACAATAAAAATGAATAATCAGTGAAATTAGAGCTTGAAGATAAAAAAAAATTGTTTTAAAAATAATGTTTCAGTTTTCATACTACATGTAACACATATTTTAATGATGTTTTGTATTTTATCCATGATCTTTCCTCAGGTGGATGTTGTGGAGCATCAGAGAAGAAGTATGTGATGGGAGGCTGGGCCTGGGCTTGGTGCCTTGTTACAGATGTACAGAGGTGAGTCTATTCATAAGGACAGGTCTACAAAGTTACTCTGCTCAATAATGCATTCCTTTTTTTAGATGTATGGTAAAAACACTGTAATAATTTAATAAACATTATACATTTATATGCTCTGTAGCTTTAATAGGTTCTTGACTTTAAGCCCATTACATGTACATGTGCAAGAAAATGCATCCAGCCACCCAAAGATACACGTATCAAATAAAAAAAAAATAATAAAATTTTTTTTTAAAAAGATACACGTATCAAGTAAACTACAAGAGTAAAACAGTACTTTTATTTCAAAACATCGTTCATACTACATATATTTACGTATATCCTGCAGCAGAGGGGAAAAATTTGCAGGCCTTAATTTGTGTGATATTTGACATCTCTACTGCGCACCATCTACAGTCTACTGCAAGACTGTGAACTCGATATCGAGTCCATACGTAGCTCATGAAATATCATTATTTCTATGAGATATTATGGATATCTACATGTATAGTATTGTTTGTCAAAGCAAAGGGTTCTTGAACAGTAATTTTGTAGAGTTGCAGTCTCGTAAAGTTTATTATATTTTTAGTTGGTTTAATGTTTATGGATCCAATCAGTTCAGATTATTGTCTGCATACATGTATGACGTAGGGCTGTATCCACGTACATCACGCATGACAAACTGACTTAGTGACTACTAAGGATAATATTCGTTGCTCTATGGGAGAGTGTAAAAGAAAGTGGAGAGAGGGAGAGAAACGAAGTTAACAAGTGTACACGTACTTGTATGTGACAAACTTAATCTCCTTTGTATGTATGTAGTCTGATAAAAAGGTACATGTAGGCCTGATCCTGTACAGGAAGTTGAGGAACCAAAAGCTTGTTAATTCAAACATGTGTAATTCTCTGTTAAACACATTAGAATCAGAATCAGGGTTAGAATTGAGCCATATTGTTCCGAATGCTACCATGTTAATTGAATGATAGTCTTAAACTCAGCATCATTGTACGTGTACGTGCCAGAGTTCCTAGTCGTGCTTTATCGCATTTTGGCCGGAAGCGTCTTAGGCACCAAGCTATCACAGAGTTCATTCGAAATAACTACATTAGACAGTATCAGTAAAATAGTAAATACCGATAATCACATTTGACTGAGTTCTACATGTCATTATTCTGATAAGGATAGTGTGAGTTGTATATACTTTGTATAAATTACACAATGTTAATGTCTATCACCTATTCTTCCCTATGCACGCAGATTGTCATTAGAAGTGATGACCTTGAATCCTCGCTGTGAGAGTGTAGAGACGTCTAAAGGTGTGCCGTTGACAGTGACCGGTGTGGCACAGGTCAAGGTCATGACGGAAGAAGGTCTACTGGCCCAGGCTTGTGAACAGTTCATCGGTAGGAGTATCTCTGAGATTGAGACCGTGGTCCTGCAGACATTAGAAGGTCATCTTCGTGCAATTCTTGGTAGGTGGTTAATGCAATTGTATTTTCAATTTGTTTCATGTGCATGTGCATGTACATGTATAGGGGTATTTAACATCGTTTTTTTCTCACATTCTTTTTTTCTTTTAAAGTTCCTTGGCTACAACCCATGAAAAGAATTTTAAAAAAGAATTAAAAAACCCAACGCTGAAGTGTTTTTATTCTTTAAATGCCGGTCGAAACAAAAGCAAAAAAAACGTTTTTAGCGAAATCTCAAAAGATTTCCAGTTAATACAAATTGTGTCTTATTCTCTGGAAACTCTCCGCGTATAAGAGATGTATCGAAACAGGGATCAGTTCGCACAGCTCATTGGGGAGGTGGTGTCTCATTTGGGAGCAGAAAGCGGTTTCAGCTTTTGGAAGCATGGAAATATTCTCTTTACTTTATGTATATACCAGGGGTATATGTTTATTTTAGATCGTTTAAAGGTATAGGTAAAAAAATGAAATGGAAGCTCTTATTACCACTCGTGTGAAAGAATATGTTTTGACTAATACGTGATGATACAAATTTTGCCGGGAAACCGCCTACTAATTGATATATTGGTAAATTATCATATCGATCCGGCCTGGATAGATGTCGCGAATGCACTTTAACATTGAACATTTGGGCATATTTTTCTGTTTTTTTGCAAATTTAGGTTGAATCATTACCATCTAAACCTCTGAGGGCAATATTTAAACAATATTGAATGGATATTTGGCACCCAAAACCCTTGAACCACAATTTTACCACTACCGGTCTTTTAAGTTACCCTAGAGGAAATCTCAGAAGCGCTCCAGTTAACCAAAATTTGATTTTGTCACTGCCTTATCTCTCCAGGTACTCTGACGGTAGAAGAGATCTATCGGGACAGGGATCAATTCGCCCAGCTGGTCAGGGAGGTAGCATCACCGGACGTCGGTCGTATGGGTCTAGAGATTGTCAGTTTCACCATCAAGGATGTCTTTGATAATGTGGAGTACCTGGACTCTTTGGGTAAGACGCAGACCGCTGCGGTCAAGAGGGATGCTGATATCGGTGTGGCCGAGGCAGAGAGAGATGCCGGTATCAGGGTATGTACAGGAGAAATTGCATATGCACATACAATCATTGAAGTCCCACTGCACTACTTATAGCTACTTGTGCCCTCTATATAGCAAACAATGCCTAATCGGTGCCTGTTGGTACCCATGATCCCCTTTTTTGAGAGCTGATTTGATGAGATAATCACCTGTTGGTGACCTTGCAGGGAGATCTAATCCCCCTGGCCAAACTAGTACAGACTGGCTTTAAGTAGAAATTGAAATTCTTCTTGAATCAAAGAAATCGGTTTTACAAAATATGAACCTTAATGAAGAAAAAAAATGTTTTTGCTCCTCAATTATTGTCAACATTTTGATTTATTTATTCTTTAGATGTCTTCTTTTGAAATTTTTGTTATAATTTTGATAGTTTGAAATTTTACTATTCTTGTCTTTGTTCCTACATGTATACTATCTGTGAAGATATGGAATCAGTTTCGGACAGAAATATGTTACTCTAAAAGATGTTATTTAATGAAAAGGAATATTACAATTCACTGCTACCAGTACTAATAAACTTATGCTTCCATTAATAAAGTAAAACTAAATTGCTTTAGAATAGTTACGTTTTACTACATGTACATGATCCACCAGTTGCCTGTGTATAGACATGATGTCAATTTCATTGGTTGAATTACACCAGTACACAGCATTATGTGTGCTTCCGGAGATCTCTATGAACAGTCACACACACAGACAAGTTGGCAGATTATAAGGGATTCTAGGTGCTTGACTCATTGTTATTCATAACATCAGATAATCCATAAATCCTGCTTCCCTGGGAGCTTATGTACATGTAGTTACAGCTAGGAACTGAGCATGTTGTTATGATTCAGTGGTTGATCCCTTCTGCACACATGAGAACTGTAATAAAGTATCACGCTTCCTTTTTTTGACAATATCTCAAGAACCATTTGAGGTATGAATGTCTAACTTGATGCTAATATACATCACCATAGGAAGACAAGTCAATTTCCATTTAGCTCAGGTTTTTAGCCTCGTTATTGCAATATGTCAACAACAATTTGAGGCATGAACTTTAATCTTCAATCTTGGTATCCGTACATGGCATGCATTCACCATAGTAGACATACATGTAATGCAACAAATCAAATCAAATTTTGGCTAAGTAGGTTCAGTTCAGTTCAGTTCATTTTATTCAAAACCACACAAAGCATGATATAATCTGTTACATAAAAAAGAGACTGGTAATAGTACATCAATCAACATATTCTAACTTGATTACATCATAAACTGAATGGTTTTAGGACCCCTTTAGAAGCTAAGCTTGTGAGCGGGGCCCTATAGTCAACAAAATACATACATTTACAGTAAAAAGAATGTTACGTATGATTATACAATGGATGAAAATACTAAGCTACAGAATATAGAACATACAATTACTCTCTCACACAAACACACACACACACACACACACATTCTCACATCAGGGCCTTTGTGGGGCACCTGATTGTGGGGTATTTCTTTGCGTTCCAGATATACCTTGTGGTCCCCTACTAGTGGGGTATGTACAACCTGGCGATAACAACCCGGCGGTGTGCTTACGATGTTACCATAAAAAAGTGTGCAAGTTTTAGCACACGCTCACAAAAAGTCATTTATGGGGTACCACTTCTAATGCCCCGCAGGGCATAGGACACCGAATATACAGTCATTTGAAAGACTTTACTCTGAAAAAATACCCCACAAAGTAAAAATGTCTCACAAGGGCTATGTGAAGCGCACATAATACCCCACAAGAATGCTGAGATGAGAGCACACACACACACATACACGTTTATGGCGTCAAACGTGGACCAAGTTTAGTACTTGTGTGTGTGTGCATGGGTAATTGCCTGCAACCGCGGACCACTCCATAGAAAACTACATTAAACCGCGGACGTACCTGCTAGGGATGATAGCAGGTAGCGCGCCTTTCCCGCGCAGTCATCGAAGGGGGCGCTGTGACATTTCGCGATACACATAGGACTGATCCACTCGATATTGCCTACACGCTGTGACATCTACATGTAATATTCAAACGCCCCCTACGTCGTAAATTTGATACGGCAAAACCGGTATCGCAACCGTGGACGGTCCCCCATTGCAGGTACGTCCGCGGTTAGAGGTAGTTTTCTATGGAGTGGTCCGCGGTTGATGGCGTTTACCTACGCACACACACACACACACACACACACAGCAAACACACTGACGAGTAGGTCCTTAGTGGTCAAAAAGCATTTCAGAATAAGAAATTACTAAGATGCAAATAAAAACTATGTCAGTCTTTAAGGTGGCCATAGGACACAGAGTCAATCAACATACATGGAATTATAGAACTTTTAGATTTATTATCGCAATACATGACTACATGTATTTCAAGATCATTTTGAGTGGTAATCTTAGATAAAGAGAAGGGGAAGGGCAGAGAGGGGGACAAATGCGACTGCGTCTCCAAATATGCCTTTGCCTTATTTCAGTTCTCTGTAATTTTTATCTCTCTCTTCTCTTGCTCTCTCTCTCTCTCTCTCTCTCTCTCTCTCTCTCTTCTCCCCCTCTCTCTCTCTCTCTCTCTCTTTCCCTCCATCTTCTCTCGTTCTCTCTCTCTCTCTACTCTCTCTACTCCTCTCCTTATCTGCTGTTTTCTTTTGTGTCCATCCCTCTGGTTCTGCATCTCCTTCTCAATGTGTTTTCTTGACTAGTATTTCTATGTATCCTTTTTTCTGTCATTCTCCCTTTCTCCCACTCCTTTTCCTTTTTGTATAATTGTGTTTTCATGAATTTCCTTTTTGTCTCTCTGTCCATTACAGGAAGCAGAATGTGAGAAGTCGATGATGGATATCAAGTTTGATGCAGATACCAAGGTTGCTGATTCACAACGTCAGTATGAAATGCTCAAGGCTGGCTATGAAGCAGAGGTCAATACAAAGGTCAGTTCACACATACGGCAACTTACCTATTCAATCAAGTTAGCCTCGCATTCCACCAAGACACCTCCGCAAATGATTTTTGTTTGTTTTTGTACAGAGAATCTTTTAACATGTTGCACCGATGCTTTCGCAAACTTTATTAAAAGCACTATTTCACTTATAATTTATGTAACAAATTTGGGAAAGCTGTCTGAAATAAAGGTATTTAATTCTTTTGAATACATGTACATGTAGTTATGGGATGTACAATACAATACAATACAATACAATAAAGTCATTTCTATAGCGCTCTTACAAACTAACTGTCGTTTCACAGTTTTTAAAGAAAATTTCAACAACAAAAACAGGTGCAGTGAGTGATTTAGCTCTCAAAAGCTCCAAAAATGGTCTGGTAAATTGAAAAAATGATCTGATTGAAATAAAAACCAATACATTTGAAGATATTTCTAGTGAGCGGAAAGAAGCATACGTCAATAGACGTTAAATATCTCAATCAACAAAAAATACATTGCTCCAACCACTTCCAATCTCCTTCTGACATTACAGAAAGCTCAATCAGAGTTGGCCTACTCTCTCCAAGGAGCCAAGGAAAAGCAGAAGATCAGGAGTGAGGAGGTTCAGATCGAGGTCGTTGAACGTCGCAAGCAGATCGACGTTGAGGCCAAGGAGATCGAGAGGAAAGAGAGGGAACTGATTTCCACCATCAAGAGGCCTGCTGAGGCCGAGTCATACAAAGTTGAGACGCTTGCCGATGGTCAGAGGTATGATCATGAAATATATTGATGTTTTGTCGGCATAATTTTATAAATTTATTGTGATAGAAATTGTCCTGGAACTATGAAAAATGATGGATGAGGTGGTAAATCTGATCAATTAGATTAAATCTTGCTTAAAAATAGCAAAAAATGAAAAGCACTGGACACAGACAGGGGTGCACGGGACTACATAAACTTGTGGTATCAGATTTAGGTCCAAAGTTTTCAACTATGTCAAAGAGCTTTTCAAGAGCAATTTTCAAAGTCTTATGGAAGCATTTACGGATTTAGTTTGCCTGCCCCATTCCTGGCAACTTGTAAATGCTCATGGGAATCACGATGATTTTCATCCTTTGTTTTGTATGATTTGTTCTTCTATGTAATCCTCTGTATACACTTTGTTTTGACGAATAAATAATAATAATAATAATAGGCCTGAGTCATGTCGGGATTTTCATAAACCGGGTCCCGACGGCCTTGTACCGATCGGGACCCGGTGTCCCGAAATCAGCTCGCAGGATTTGCCACTTGCCTCTATAAAAAGCGCATATCATCAGTATGTCCCTTAAAAGTGACCTTTTTTATCAATTAAATAAATCAACACATGCATACCTCGGCTCAGATCGGTATATTCTTCCATTTGACATTATTTTCATCCATGATTGGCGATGTTTAGTGCCATTTGCGTGCCTCTAAAAGTAAAAAAAACTGGGGCAGAAATAAAAAGACAACATTCGAGCCGCCATTTTGATTCATGCAGGTTGAATAAATCTGGTAAAAAAATATGAAAGTTAGAATAATAAAACGGCTTTCTAAAAATTTCTTCTGTACAATATACCGATCATATAATATTTTAAAGACAAAATAAATATTTATCTCTTATTTTAAACATCGCATGCTTTTTTTTGAAAGCTGAAAATTACTTGGTAATCAAGAGTTTCGATACGGATAGCTGTTGCAAGGCAAGTTCAGACTAGTATCGGAAAAATGCGCAGTGCTCCTCGTAATTAGCTGTAATGCGTGCCAGAACGAACCCAAACAAAGACGTGATCATAATGAGAAAAAAATCATTAAAAACTACGAGAGCACAATTGGAAAGACAACTACTGCTCAAAATTACCATAATCAGATAGATAACTTGGACAATGAATTCAATAATCGCCCAAGAAATGCCACAGAAATTGTGATAATCGAGGAGTAACTGGGTACATTTTTATCGCAAGGGGCCTGCTGCACATACTCGAATCCTTTGTTATACTGCTTTTTACCGTAGAGGGCGTTATTTGCCTCGTATAGCCTCGTGTTCAATTTAAACACGTGTAATTCGGATATTGCAGCAGGCCCTTCCGATAATGATTGTACCTATAGTAACTCCTTAAATATCACTATTTATGTGGCTTTCCTTGGACAACTATTGTTTTCTTCCTCCAACTTATGTATCTAATTACGATAATTTTGAGTAGTTGTCTTTCCAATTGTGCTCTCGTAGTTTTTAATGATTTTTTTCTCGTTACGATCACGTCTTTGTTTGGGTTCGTTCTGGCACGCATTACAGCTAACGAGGAAACACTGCGCATTTTTCCAAGACTAGTCTGAACTTGCCTTGCAACAGCTATCCGTATCGAAACTTCTTGTGATTACCAAGTAATTTTCAGCTTTTAAAAGAAGCATGCGGTGTTCAAAATCAAAGAAAAAATATTTATTTTGTCCTTTAAAAATTATTCGATCGGTATGTTAAAGAAGTACTTTTTAGAAAGCCGTTTTATTATTCAAACATTATTGTTTCTTTCAACCTGATTTATTAATCCTGCCGAGAGACCCGGCCAGTACAGTAGCTAGCTAGCAGCTGGCAACAACAACCCCATGGGGTGAACTGCCTTGCAACCCATATATTTATATCAGCAGTTCGGATTGATTCAGGATGAGCTAGAATATGATTGGTAACAATTAAATACTTAAGTTTTAAGGTGGATTGATTTTAGTGGTGTGCAAAACTGCAATTTCTTACATATTTCGTTATTTTTTTCGGAGCGTCGGTGCTCAAAAAACGAAACCGGGACCCGACGGCAACGGTCGGGTCCCGGTGTGATCGACCGTACCGACTCAAGCCTAAATAATAATATGATAAGCTATACAGGAATGCATTATTATTATTAGTGTGAAAGCTGTGAAACCTGTATTTAAAGACCGCTCAATGGCTACAAGAAGAGTGGTCTTTGTCGGCAGGTAGTGTTTATGTACATGTTCCTTCAATGTTTCAAATAGAAACAATTTTCAAGGGGAACAAAATATGTGGTCTTCATAGATAGGTGGCCTTTCTATACAGTTGGTCGCTAGAGCAGGGCTAACTTTAGTATGGTATCATTGGGAATAAAAAAAATTGAAGAATTAGAAAGCTCACGAGATTTCATCTTTACCAGGGCCCTGTTTCATAAAACTTGATATCAATAACAAGTTACAAGCTACTGTTATAAGCTACTGAAATCATGGCATCTGATTGGCTGAAAGCAAATTTGTCATAGAAATTTAGCAGTTGTTTATAGATAACAAGTTTTGTGAAGCAGGCCCCTGAACTCCATCTTCTTTTTACTTTTGACAGGATGAAGACGGTGCTAGCTGCCAAGGGCGAGGCCGAGAAGATCAGGAACGTCGGAGGAGCTGAAGCTTCGGCCATCGAAGCCATCGGCAAGGCCGAGGCAGAGATGATGAGGATGAAGGCTGCAGCCTACAAGCAGTATGGAGACGCTGCCATGATGAGCTTGGTGCTTGAGGCCCTGCCTAAGGTATACTGTCCTTTGCCTTTTTCAGTCCCACATGTGCATTTCTATGCTGTGACCTTCTTGCTTAATATGGAGTTGTCGCATGACTGAATAAACCCCGTCATTTAAATGAGGCCTAACAAAATAAGAAGATGTATTGCCCTTCATGGGTTGGTCTGTCATAATTTTGTTCTTCTTTTTTTTTCTCCCTCTTTGGGCTGATATTTCTCAGTTTTGAATGCTTTAATATTTCTTTTCTTAAAAAAAACGGTAAAAAAAAAAAAAAAATTAAAAGCCGACAGTACATTTCAAGATTTTGGGTCGGTCGCAAAAGGTAATACAACTTCTTTTTTTGTTTAGGTCTGACTGTAAAATATTGTCTCTTCGGAGCCAGAAGGAATAAACCATAAAATGACATGTATTTGAGCTAATGCCCTTGTGGCTCCAACCATACGCTGCATGTTTATACTAAGGTGTTTTAGGGGTATGTGAGCGTGCATGCATGATAGTGTGGGAAGAGGAAGGGTAAGAGTATATTTTTAGCGATGATCAACAATGATACATATTCAAGAACCTGCATGCCCGTTGAGGAAAGAGTGACAGAGCCATGGACCTAAGATATGAATCTATAATAATAATAATAATAATATACAACATTTATTAGGCGCTTAATACTGTTGTTTCTAAGCGCACCATTGTTAGTCTACAAATTAACAACCAACACTTATAATAAACACACAAATTATAAATCTGTTCTTTATTCAATAAATCATGCATATATTTGCCACTCTCTTCCAAGGTGTAGTAAATGGGTACCTGGTAGGAATTTATTCCTATAATACTTTTAGTGTCTGGAGGCAGCTGGGCTAAAGCCAGAGTAATGATTGTACTTTGTAGGCAACATCCTGTGGGATGGATATATGTTAACATTATTATTAATATCATTTTCATTTATTATTTTCTTGACCATAGCTTGCAGCTGAGATCTCTGCACCACTGTCCAAGACCAGCGAGATCGTTCTGTTGGGCGATGACCGTACGACTGGAGAGCTGACCAGGCTCCTAGGTTCCCTTCCCCCTGCAGTCCAGGCTCTCACAGGCACAGATATCTCAAAGGTAAGGCATGACGTTCTCTGGAGAAGTGCAGAATGTCCAGGGACATTTATCAAAAGTCCAAAATTTGAGTCTGAAACACAAGAATTAACGTGGTCAAGTGGCAGGCCTGATATTTACTCAATTTAAAATGTGTTTCCCGATTTAAAAAAAAATTTCCACAACTTTTTTTCTTTTTCTTCCCGATTTTATCCCAATTTGCCAGAGTTAACCCTTATTTTCTCTATCTTCCCTATTTTTACCCTTTTTTCTCAATTTTCTTACTCAAAAGGGGGGAATGTTGTAAGATGCAGCACTTACTTTATGTCCTGTTGCAAGATAATAATCTACATTTAGGATGAAATTCCTTGAATACTTCACCCTTTCATGGTAGCTCGGCTACAGAGGGGGTAATAATGTGATTGCATTGCACTCAGGGAGAACAGTATTTATATCAACTGGGCTATCCTGGGCAAACCAGAATTAATATTATAATTTCCTAATTTTCTGGCTGAGGTAAATATTCAGCAAACTTTGATATTTTTTTGATTTTTTTTTTTGCCTACCGTTATCCCTCGAGTCTAAGAAAGCTATTTAGCAGACGTAAGCCAGATATTTGTAAAGTCTTGATCCTCTACGAGGACTGGCAGTGGTTCCCATTCTAAGTAGGCCATTGTAAGATAATGTGACATGTTCAGTGCACAAAGTGACTGGTGTAACTATAGCTGTAGGTCTTTTTGCTTAAAGTTGGCTAGCTAAAGTAAAATGTTTGTATTTGATGCGAATTAGACTGAAGCCAATTTACTTGCCCCCAAAATACGAGCCCACGTCTTTATTGAGCCGTGTTTTACACTGTCTACATGAAGCAGAAACAAAGTGAAGATGTACAGTGTGATCTTATTTAGAGTACGGTATAAGCGCAAGAATAAGCAAGTTGTAATGTCATCCTTCCTCTCGGTTCTTCATAATATACTGCCTTTTTTTCTTTCTCCTTTGTAGGCACTGGCTTCAATCCCAGGAGCACGGTAAAGATGACAATCGAGATCAAGTGTGGCAGCAGCAGCAACAACAATGAGTGGACGGTAGACACATTAGGAGCTCTAGCAATCATCTAAACCATAGCTCACTGAGAGACATAGTTGTGACACGCATACATGTGCGTGCCGATGAAAGGTCAACATTTAGAGCTCCGAATAGTTCCCTCCCGGACATGTACAAACCTACTCCTACCTTATCAAACACGATAGGTCTGTATTGGAACCATGGCATCTAATCTATTGTTTCTGTGATATACAGTTATAATGTATTAGTGATTTTTCTAGTACAAAATGGATTGAAACATGGAATTTTCTGAAAAAGAAAAAATAAGGAGGTGAAATTTTTCACCCCAAAAAATGTACATGTGCAAGGTCATGGATGATGCTGTGGAGACTCAAAAAAATAACTGACCAATCAGGACCAACTTCCGGTGACACAACTATATCTCTCAACCAGCTATGATCTACTCCACTCACAGCCCTTAAATTTCAGGTGGTTTCTAATTCTGTATATAACATATTTTATCCATTTCACATGTATTTGTACTCTTATTCCCCTGTTTTACATAATATTGAGAAACAGTCTCTTGTGATGCATGTAGGATGTTCCTTTTTTTTTAATGGTCTGCTGCTACTATTTTTGTACATTTTTATTATAGTTCAATGTACTTTGAGATGTAATATTTTCTGTGGATAACTGGTATGGCATCTTCCTTGAACTTGCATGTGTTCAGTATGCCTTTGTGCAGTCGAAAGAACAAAAATTATATCGTCAGCATTATTGATTGATGTAGTGGAATTTTTTTGATAGGTAATATCAAGAGTTATGATTTCTGATCACCGTATCCTCATAAAGCTGCCCGATGTGATATACATGTAGGCTAGGAGTCTTTCCTGTCGTTCACTATTTTATCAGCTGGAAGTGGGATTTTGTCATACTTCATATCAAATGGAGTACCTCGTATTTATGATATAAGATGATATGAAAGTTTTCACACTGAAATTGTTTTTTTTCTCTTTCATTCAGTAAAAACGTGAAAATATGCAAATGAAATAGAATTCCAATTAGATGTATTCAGACAAACCTGTTCTTTCTGAATTTTAAGCACAAAGATCTTGACAAACCCTAAATTCTATGATAGGGGTGATGCACAAAATTCAAATTTCATGTCTACCAAAGCAAGCAAAGAGGTAAATTTGAGATAGACGAAGATGTGGACCAAGTTACGGATTGGCTCGTAAAAGTTGCAATGATGTTCCGTAGAATTGTATTTCTTTCCAGTGATCGGTTGAGGAGCTTGCCAAAGAATTTAAACTTTATCTGTCCATGTTCTTTATTTCCCAACTTGCTAATATTTCGAGGTACCTATCTTTAATACCTTGAAGGGTTTTTTATGTCAATAATTGACCATCTTTTTTTTTATGTGAGGCTAAGCACCTTTCTTTTGAAGTTGGCTCTCCGTTAAAGATAATGTGGTTATGATTTTGATTTTGTCGCTCTTTGAGAGAAAGAGGGAATATACCAACTGTAAATGATTGGTGTCTAAAAAAAAGTAAAGTGACAGGGTATCATTTAGTTCAGTTTAGTTTTCAATAGAAGTTCATTTAGATTGCCAAAAATAGAAACACTCTCTTTATTTTCTTATTTTATTCACCTCATAGCAATGTAAATGTATTTTGTCAGAGGTTTATGGCAAGCAAGTGAAATGGCTTTTTGCCTATTTTTTCTAAAGGGCATACTTATCAATCTAGACTAAGAACTTATGCGTATAAGCAGGATACTAGTCACCTGTCAGTGGTACAAAATAGAGTGCACTGTTTAAGGACAACCCATTTCTAAATTACCCTACCGGTATTCAAAATTTCAATTGACCTTTACCACGATCAGTACATGTATTAGACCATTATGATATTTCCAAGTCCATGAAGGTATTAATTATATGCTAAACTATATGAGTGAAGTCCCATCTGGCTCCCAATAGAGAATGTTCTGATGTGTCCCCTCATTTGATCAAGATTTCATCATTAATTTCAATTTGTTTTTGTTTTGGACGTATATTCACTGTTCATGTGTTAGTATTGTGAGAAATTTAGTGGCTATGTGAACTCTTTTCTTACTCTAGTCTAGTGTATATTTTTATGTCAGAAACGTGTCTCTCATGTTCAAATCTTTATAAGAAGATCAATTCCTGATGGACAGATGTCACGTCGTATATTTGTGTACAGGATGTCTGTCTCTATCCGAAGATTATCATGGGTTTGTGGAAAATAGCCAATAATTTGTATCAAGTCGAGAAATACCACTCAATTTATATTACTTTGGAATAAAAACCAAACCAATTTCGATCTGTGTGCTTAATGAGGTGTTGCTAAATTCGGTTTAGTATTGATCTCTCTTGAAATTTGTTGTTCTTGTAATTTCTTATTTATTTGATATTCTGATTGTGATGTAGATTAATTTTATGAAATAGACCATATCATGTGATGTTTTCTTTACTACTCTCTTTAATAAGCATACCTCTCATTTCAATGTTTATTTTATATTAACCTATGCATTTTAAGTAGTCCAAAATCGTTTATACTTTGAGGAGGCTGTTACATATACGATGTGTACCTTTTGTGCAGATTTTGGTTAGTGGGGTGTAGTTAAATTGTATTTCAGATGAATGTATCGATACATATTTACTCCACACATCAATATTGATGACAAGAGTGTTTAATTTAGTGACATGCATATTTTATTGACATACACATACACGTTGAGACTTGTCTAATGGGTAAATCAGACAATTTGGCCTCTGTTTTTTCTTTGCCTTATTTTTAAACCTTCTGAGACCGAAAAGCCCCGAAGCTATTGACTTTGTACTCGGTATCTGTGTTTCTGAGACTCGAGGGGTTAATGACCAATCAGAGATCTTCAAACATGGAATACGATCCCTCTAGTGCTCATGAAAAGCTATGGTTCGAAGGGAAACATTTCAATTCAGAAAGGACGTCTTTCATACCACTTTTAATACTTATACTGTATTTTTATGGATCAAATGTAGCCCTCGTTTTCTCTGCAAAGGAACTAGCATCATGATCATGCATTTATGATCATCATTGTGTATATTGTACATACAGTATATATGTATGTTCTAGATGTATTTGGTGTGTAATGTGTCATGAATATATGAAGCCAGTACATGTATTGATCCAAAAATAGATCTAGAGATGTTTGTAGGAAGCCTTTACGATGCGGCTGTGTAGTTTTAGATGTAGATGACATAGAATTTTCTTACATCATTTTTTAAATAGATTGTAATACATGTAGTTGATGTATTTGTATTAACCATCGATGTAAGCTTCAATTGTTTTTTTTATGGATCAAATTTTAATATGAAATTTCCACACAAGTTGATGATGCTTGTACCCTTTGGTAAGGCATTGATTCACAATTACCTAGTCTCTAGTATAAGACCCAAAGCTGTAGTTCACATGAGTTTCTTAGGCTTATCTGCTAGCCCTTGCTCTCTTAGCTGTGAGCTGAAATATTTACATGATAATCATTGTCATCAGTAAGTACTCCTAGCATTGATCTAGAAATGGCACTTTTTCTTCTTTTTATACAGTATGTTTAATCTTCAAAGGGCTCTGCAGTGTACACCAAAAATCTGTATGTAGATTATCAATTGTGTATGCAGTGATATTAAACATCGGGCTTACACCCTACTTTTTTTCAGAGAAGTGTAGCGTATTAACGTGCAGAGGGTGTGACGCAAGTAGAGTTTGAAATCTTTACATCCCGCCCTTCCAAATGCAGTTGTAAGTCGTGGAAGCGAGCAGTAAGTCTCGACTCTGGACGTGGACATTTGCTGTGTGCCAATTTTGAAACACAATACTTTCTCCTCTCAATCTTTAGCTTACCAAGGTTAGAATGGCCCAAAGGCCACATGTCCTTGCTTTCCAGTGAAAACCAAAACAAATTAAAAAACGAAAGGTGTGCTATGCCTCAGTCAATTCAGGTACAGTTTATTCTATCAATCATGCCCAGAGCCTTGGATGTTTACAGCAGATAATTTACATTTATAGCATAGCTTAGAATTGAAATTTTATTCCATGATCCAGTGATTGTGAAAGCTGTAATTATGATTATCCCATAGATGTTATTATAATGTAAATTCCATGTACATGTATCTTTTGTGTATTTGTATATTCTCATGTTTCATATTTTGCGCCGACGTGTATTAATTAAAGGTGCATCCGGTTGAAGAAAAATGTAATTTTGTCTGTGTGTTTCCTTTATGGAAGAGTAATTTTGAAGCAACCTTTCCATTTTTTGTCCTGTCCTCTCCTTCTTTTCCTCCTTGTCTATGAAAGGGCCTCAAATTTTCAAAAGTGAGTTATTTCAAGTTGGGTGTTTAGGGATGGTTAACACTTAACACCATCCCTAAACACCGGAATTCAAATCAGCTGGTGTCTTTTTGAGGCTTTGACCTCTGAATATCGTCAATTTCCAATAGCAAGTGTTATCGATTGTGCAAAATTGTCTGCTGAAATCAACCTTTGTAGCTGGTGTTAATATTTTATGTGCAAATGTCCTATTCACTACCACTAGCCCCTAGGGATTAAGTCAATGTTGATTTCCAGTTCTGTGCTAGTGTTAAGCTATCAAAATTGATATCGGTATCAGCCTCTGAATTTCATCAGCAAATTTTTAGCTCGATTTGAGAGCTGTTGACTGCTCTAAACACCAACACCCAACTTGAAATCACTCACTGTTAAAAACAATTTCTTAACATGTTCTCCTTTTCTTTGTATGTCTTTGTCATTCATTTTGTCTCTGTTCCTTTATTGCATGAAGTATCAATAAAGTGATGTACCAACAATTCTCGAACCGAGGCCCTTCCTTGTTTTGCGAGTGATCATCCAAGTAAAGGTTCAGTTTTTACGAATGTCCTTGGCACCCACCCACTTGCCCATATTAGGATACATGTATTTTCGATTTAGATTCTGGTAGCTTACCCATGAATATTATTCTAAAGTATTAATCTATCTCTCTCTCTCTCTCTACCTCTTTGTCACATTGATCACAACTTTCCCTCTCTGCCGGTCTCTCTATCTCCATCTCTGTATATCGTTTTCTCTCTCCCCCTCCCCTCTCACACTCCCTCCCTCTCCTTTCCTCACACTCCCCCTTCTCTTTCTCTATCACTCTTCATAGCAAATTCTTTACAATCAAAATACATATACTGTTAACTTTGCACTATTAACTCAAAGTCACACAATTCAAATTGTCCCCAAGTCAAATCATTTTTTTTTATACCAAGCTATGCAGGGTTTGGGGGGTTTTCATACAAAAAAGTGCCACTCAAACTTCCCAAGTCCAAACTACATGTAACTATTTTTGAGGTCCCAACAGATTCAATTCTCTTCCAGCTACACTGTCGTATTTACACTCACATACTCCACAAAGTTCCAAATGAACACACAACAGATCATGTTCCATTTATAGCTTTAACATTGCAGATACTTTATTTGAATTATAACATCATTTTTTCTAACCTCTTAAAACATCAGAGCACAATTGCTAGTCCATCTCTGAGAAGACCTCTCCCAGAAGAAGAGAAAAATACACCCTTCTCCTCCATATAATCTATACTGTACAGCTGTGAATACATTGTGCATTATTGCAGAAGTGAAAGGCAAAATGAAGACCGATGGGGGGAAAAGCATTCACTCTGTGATAATTTGACAAGATAATACCAAGAAGAAAACACATAATAGTCTGAAAATGAAGACTGATGGGGTAAAAGTATTCACTCTGTGATAATTTGACAAGATAATACCAAGGAGAAAACACAAAATAGTCTGAAAATCATGGCTAAAGATCAATTTGCAACTACAAAAAAAAGAGAAATATTCAGAAAACAAAGAAAAGGAAAAGAACACATACATATATACTATAAGTAAACTTGAAGAGTCTTTGCTGCAATAATCTTCATGAACAGTTCTATTCTATGCTGGAATTCCATCTTTTACTTTCAAAATCTGTGGAGGTTTTGCTTCAACAGTACAATGTATGGGTGGGGTAATAAAATGACAATTCTCTTTCTATTACATCCACTTTCAACCTACAAAACACATTTGCTTTCAATCATTAACTCTTTGCTTGCTAAGGATCGAAACCCATGTAGTCGACCAAAGCAAGGAAGGTGTTAAAGCATCCAAACATGTTGATGCCCACAATTTTATTGATTAGGTTTTATTCTGGTACGTTTCTCCTATATAGTAAAACAAATATTAAATTAAGGACTTCAATATTTTTACGTAGTGTTAACATCTTTTTTGCTCTTACCAAATCAAACATTGTTGGCCGAGAGTCAGATGGACGTTAACTCTGTGTTAAAGTATACCACTAAACGCCCTCTTCTGGCTCAACACGGACAGTATCATCTGGTGAAAGCTGAAAAGACTTCACTATATCTACAAAGCGTTAAAATCCTTCTTGCTCTCAGCATGTAAAACATTACCTAGAGCCAGAAGGGTGTTAACTCTTGTTCAAAGGATGGACATTATCACCCTTTATGCTCTCAGCGGACAACATCTAAACAGGAACAAAGACCATTCTCCTCTGTTTACCATGCGCAACACATAACACAATATAAATCATCTCAACAAAATATACATTTCTTGGCACTGATATAAATACTACAATAAATACTAACAGTGCATGTTAATGACACAGAAGTTTGGAAACGGAAAGGCAACAGTGCACCTCTGTACAGCCATTTTGTGATCCTTCAAGCAAAAACACAATTGCATGTAGATACATGAAGCATACATCTTTTATATTTTCATGAAATTGATAGTTTGAGACAGCCCCTTCACCATTCACCATTTGAAAGGACTTACTAATATAACCTAAGTATCTCTCTCACACAGTCATACACACCACAACTCACACTCTCGTATTTAAATCCACTCTCTCACAAACAAACTCTACCCACTTGAATTTTAACTCTCCGCAGCCTTTTTTTACGTAACAAGAAGTCATCTGCTTGCACTTACTTAATCCCCTGGCAGGTTAAATCTACCCCCTTCCCTTCTTCAATAGATAAATAAATTAATGAAATAGTGAATAAAGAAATACATTTATGAAATATGTATTTCTTTATTCATACAAAATGAAAGAGAAAGAAAGAAAGAAAGAAATAATGCAAGGACGTGTACCATGATACTGTTGAGTAGTAATGCTGGGAATAAGTACATTATAATATCACAAGGGTATATTGTGCACTTACGTCACATTCAAAAAATGTATACACGCTATAGGGTGTATAGAGTTAAGTAGATATGGTAACATATTATATTAAAGGTAACAGTGTAGAAGATTAAAAAAAGCAGTGTTTCAACTTTCTCTATTTAACCCACTGACAACCAAATTCTTTCATTCCTGCAGTTAAAACAATCCTGATATAGGTACACATATCTAGTGCTCAGCAGAATGCAGATGGGCGAGAAATACATCAAATTCCACAGCCTAAGGACTTCAACTTTTGCAAATCTGAAAAAAAATTATAATGGCCAGACAAGTACTTCATACATTTTGAGCAAAATCAACATGGGTTTTGTATTAGAAATCGCATATGCAAGTATAAAATTAGGTGTCCTTTTATAACAGCCCATCTTGCATGTGGTATAAGAGCGTGGAACGCATATTAACATTATTGAATTTACAAGTATTTAGTAATCTTGATCATTTCAGGTAACAATGATCTGAAATATCTGAAGTAAGAAACGACAGTGGAGTACTTTTCAATCGGCAAGATTTTATATCAATAAAATGTAGATATGCGACCATTCCTGAAGAGAGATAACCATAGCACAATGCTCACAACAATCAGATTCACTATTTTTCACGTTGCTTATTAATAACAATACAGGAATCATTAAATGGCCCAGTGTTTTCGAAGTGGCATGTTAAACGAGAGAAAAGCTAACAAGAATGGCTGTGCATTGAATATTTCAAACAATATACTCATGAATCCATAAATTCTTATCCTGATAATAACTCCTCATAAATATTCATCAGTGTAATTTGACCCCATGTTCTTAATGTAGCTTGGCTATGTGACAGTAGATCACCACAGACCAATGACAAAGCTGCTCATAAGCCAATCAAATGTAAGAAATTAACTAGCTTGGAAATTAACTAGCTTGGAAAATAACTAGCTTGGAAATTCACTAGCTTGGAAATTCACTAGCTTGGAAATTAACTAGCTTGGAAATTAACTAGCTTGGAAATTCACTAGCGCAGAAATTCACTAGCTTGGAAATTAACTAGCTTGGAAATTCACTAGTTTGGAAATTAACTAGCTTGGAAATTCACTAGCTTGGAAATTCACTAGCTTGGAAATTCACTAGCTTGGAAATTCACTAGCTTGGAAATTCACTAGCGTGGAAATTAACGAGCTTGGAAATTCACCAGAGCAGAAATTTTATCATATCTTGTTCTTGACAATTAGTTTTTTATGAAACAGGGCCCTGTAATGTTCTCTGTATAGTCTGTGAGTAGCAAGTTGGCCGTAAATAAAGAAATGTTCATACCCAAACAACACTGACAGGACCCACACCAGGGGCCTGTTTCATAAAACGTGTTATCTATAACAACTGCTAAATTTCCATGACAAATTTTCTCTCAGCCAATCAGATGCCATGATTTCAGTAGCTTATAACAGTAGCTTGTAACTTGTTATTGATATCAAGTTTTATGACACAGGGCCCAGTGCTCAGTTCGGAGTTGGTGTGGAGTAGGTTTGGGGGTGTGACTGTGGTATGGAAGTGAAAGTATATTCTTATCTGGGAATCAGGGGCCAGTTTTGTCAAGCCGCCATGAGTCCAAGTTTGCAGACATCCCATAGAAGCACATTTTAATTTTATAACACATGACTCTTTGGGATGCCCAAGAAGAAACAGCTCCCTGGTTCTGATGGTGTACCACGACAGAATGGAATGGGTTCTTAGCAGGCCGTTGATTTGTTAGTTTCTGTCGGCTTATCCTCCGTTGCTCTTGGGCTGGAGTCAGTACTTATTCCTGCTGAATGAAAAAGAAAGGAAAAAGTTGTGTCATGCAATTCTGATTACACTATATGAATGTACATGAATAGTGTGCAGTTGGTTCATAGACATTAACAGCTTTCAATTTTCAGTTGTCAAGGCCAGACTCATTAGCAAATCCAAAAATGTTAATGCATGCAACATCACCACCAATTCCTTCTCCACTAACATAAATGCCACCCCCCCCCCCCCCCCTGCATCATAATCATCATCATCATCATCACCATCATCGTCATCATTATCATCACCAACAAGCTCTGCTTCTATTTAATTCCTCTTTTCTTGTGCCATTACTATTATATTGTCTTGTTTCATTGTATATTTTGTGTAAATTCATCATCATCATCATCATCACTATAAATTTCATCATCCAACACCACAATCGCCATCATCAACATAACCATCACCATCATCATTATTATCATCACCATTACCATAACCATCACCATCATCATTATCATCATCACCATAACATTCATCCTCCAACACTAAAACCACCATCATCACCATAACTATCACCATCACCATCGCCATCACCAGCACAATCCCCACAACCACCACCACCACCACCACCACTATCATCCTACCTGTCGATTCAGCAGAATGACTACTCCTTGTACTGGGTGTGGCCTTCTTGCGGGTGAATGTGATAGATGATGCCTCTTCTCTCTGACACGGCTCTGCATTGCTACTCACCGCTGCAATACCTCCGCTTGATTCGCTACCATCTGCAATGAGAATTTTTTTTTTTTTTTTGTAATTAATTTTTAAAAGTAAAGACCGGTAGTGGTAAAGTTGCGGTTCAAGGGTTTGGGTGCAAAATATCTGTTCAATATTGTTTAAATATTGCCTTCAGAGGTTTAGATGTAATACTTCAACCTAAATTCGCAAAAAAGCAGAAAGATACAGGGTGTATGCCCAAATGTTCAATGTTGAAGTGCATTTGTGATACCAATCCAGGCCAGATCGATATGATAATTTACCAAATATATCAATTAGTAGGCGGTTTCCCGGCAAAATTTGTATCATCATGTATTAGTCAAAACATATTCTTTCACATGATTGGTAATAAGAGCTTCCATTTCATTTTTTGAGAGGGGGGGGGGGCATTTCCAAAACTGGTATATACCTTTAAAAAGAGAGGAGTTTTCTTGTTCTTTACACAATTCTTGCCCTAGCTATTGGATTCTCCAACAACAACAAAAATTAAATACCTAATATACTGTCTCCACTCCCTGAAAGACAATGATATGATTTTGTAAGGATAAGCATGCAGGTAAATGGCCATTGATTTTTGAGCATGGCTATATGAAATCCTCTAAAGTTCCCATTCTTTACCGGGTAAAGTGTTCAGTAAATAAATTGGTAGCAAATGAGTGTTAGTGCCATGTCTGTGAAACATATCTTAACAAGTTTTTTTTTATTGTTATAACAGAATTGGAATTTGTTATAAATAGACTTGTTTCGTTGTCCTGAAACATTTACACATGTCTATGTAAAAATATATTCTACCCCAGGAATCTATTGTGCCATTAATCTTGTAAAAATCTATCCCATTGAATTCAATACAAAAATTGGTGTTTGACCTTATCTTTTTAATACATGAAGTCACATTCTTCTTTTTAGTTAGTATAAAACTACTATATTTCAATCTACATTTTATAAACTTATTTCATGTTTTCTTGTATTTTACTGTAAATAGGACAATATTAGGCTTCTGACTTTTGCCATGTCCTTTCTTTTCTTACAATAAACCAAAATTGAATTGAATTGAATCAAATTGAGTATGGTAAGATGGATTGATATATATGTATACATGTACTTACTTTCTGGCTGTGTTGAATTAGTTGAGTTTCTATCATTCCTTGTCTCTAACTGGTTATTCAGAGCACTGCAAAGAATGAGAAAAGGAATGGAAATATATGGACATAGATGAGTGAATACAATGCAACAAACACAACTCTCATATTTTCTGGCATGAACTAACATCATTTCATCCAGAGTTAAAACCATTCTTTCTTTCTGAACAGACAGTATAACATGAAACTAACGATCACTAGATGTTACAATGTGATAGATGAATAATTTTTTTTACCTGATTCTGGCCATGAGTCTAGCCGTACTGAGGTCATCCAAGGCGGACTGAAGGTCACTTGGGCAGGTTGAAAGGTCAACCAATTGACCATCTTCTATGCTGAATGATGCCGAGGCTGTATTTGCGTCCTCGCTGCTGATTTCTGCTTGACCAGTGGGCTCTAGAAAGAGATGTGGAAAGTTCATGTCAAAATGCAGAACTTTTGACTTGCACAGCTATTTGACTTGCAAAATGACCTCAGAAAAAAAAAATGATAATCTGAATTTATAAATTGCAAAAACTGGGCATACACATGTATATTTCACTGGGTTCCAAGAGTTATTGATGTGCTGAACAACGACTATAGGCATTTGAATGAAACAATGTACTTTCAGCTTAGAACTGTATAACAAGAAACTTATGTGTGCATGGAATGTTACTGAATTTTGCACGTGGTTCTGATTCACCAACATTTCTGACTAACAAATGACAATAAACGTTTTGGCTATTTACAAATGTTTATTAATCTGTGTGTTTATAAGATATAAGAAGCTTCACACAAAACACTTTTATCAATTCATTTTGCCACTGCATTTTTACTTTTGTTAAGTGGTTTTACAACATCATGTATAACAAGGTTTTCATTACACTCTGCATTAATTTTGAAGAATGCACACCATTTCTTCCCGAAGCAATCACCCTCCATCACTTCCCGACACGAACTGAACTCTTAATTTCAAACTTGGACCCAACACTGGATCAATACCTAACCTCAATCCTAACCTTAACCCTAAACATAACTCTAACTCTAAACATAACCTGGAACCAAATTGCAACCCTAACCCTATACCTTTTACAAAATTAAGCCTGGAGCAAATGGCGGGTCACCAGTTGTGTCGGGGGTCAAAGCACACTTACCCCCATCTACTGCTCTGTCTACCTTCTTCTCCCCCTGACTGCAGACTTCTGTCGAGAGCTGGAGAGAGATGCTAGGAACCGGCTTGGTTTTAGGCTTCCAGAAATAAGGGAAACCTGTAAGTATGATGGATGCAAAAATTGGAATGTAGAAAGATATTGACCAAAACATCATTTTTTTTGTTTTTGAAAATCATATTTTATTGAGGAAAATCGTACTGTCGTATTTGCTTCTAAAAATTGTACTAAATACGACTAAATCGTACTGGTTGGCAGGTCTGAATCAGGAGTGCATTCATCACAAATACAAATATCCTGGTTGAGTAAAATAAGTCGGACTATGGTTGGGTGTAAAATAATAAAATAATACTATCAAAAATACTGTTGCACTTGAGCTTTGAAGAGGTCAGGATTTTGTATACATGTCTTTCATCTTCAATCTGGGGGGTGTTTCACAAAGACTGAGATCAATTTTAAGTTGAACTTAACTATGGCAGGCCGTTTATGCCACTAGTCACAAATCTACAGAATCTAAATTTGTTGACAGTTCATGGTTAAAGAAAAGAAGTTCCTTACATTGTGAGTTTAAGGTATATTTAAGACTTTTTTTCTTCAACCATGGTGAGAGCAAACAGGGGCATGAACGGCCTGCCATAGTTAAGTCCAACTTAATGTCAATTTTATTCTTTATGAAACACTCCCCAGGGTAAATGCAGGAGGTGTGAAAGGAACTCACCCAGTGCACTATCGGACTTGGAGACTCCCACAGCCCCTGCCGCATCCTCCGCTACCTCGCCCGGCTCCTGCCCAGACGACGACGGGACGTCCAACGTGGTCAGACCCATGTCCAGCATGCGAGTCTGGATGCGACGTAGGATAGAGTCTGCCGATAGGGGGCGCCCTCTCTTCTCACGCTCACGCTTGTCCTTGCTCGACTTGGCATGCACTGTTGTTGAGATAGATACAGAGGTTATTATTATTATTTATTTGACCATTCATAAAAATAAAAAAATACAGCATGGCAAGTGACAAGTATATAATAGAATGAACAAACACATGCAAAGAGATAAGGGAGCAGCAAGTGGGTCAGGGGGCACAAAATTGAAGTTCAACACTGTTGTTGAGATAGATACAGAGGTTACGCTGAGATACTTTTACTACAAAGGAAAAGTCGTGCCGCTGCATGTAAACAAAACTTTAAATAGCATTATGCTTGCACTTACTTTTAATTGTATAATAAAAGTTGTCCTCTCTGTATAGGATCTTTTGATTGTTCTTTACAAATACAAGAATACTGATAGACGTCCATCAACAAGAACCTACTAGCTGGAACGTGACAAAATATTTTTTTTTTCTCTCTCTTTATTAATTCTACAAAGATCTGATGTATGGAGGGAGCACTACAAAACATTGATTCGAATCTATTTCATATCATATCAATTGGTTGCACAATAAAGAACATAGTTGACAAAGTAAGTTCAAAATTATGAATGAAACATGAACCTACTGGAAAGCATAGCTTGTAGATTCCCAAGAATAAATATAGTATGAAAATCATATGTCTTAATAATCACAGTAAAATAGATATAACATAATAACATATTTTCATAAATCATTTTTAAAGTGTCTAAATAATCGAAATATACAAAAGAACAGAATGACAAGACGGGACACAAAGGACAGGAAACTGACATAACAAGATAAGACAGGACATAACAAGATAAGACAGGACATGACAAAACAATTCATGACATTGACAAATAAAATGTAACAAAAACACAAAAATTCATTTGAAAAGGGTTATCAACCTCATCATGAGAGAAAATAATTTGAAGTAGAGGTAAAGAAATACACACATCATGAGGAATATCACAAGGAAACAATGTACATATACATGAAACAAAAACACTAAGGGTGGTATTCTAGAAAGCGGACTAATTTTAGTCCATGGTTTAATCCACCGGCTAAGTATGGAATGCCAGGTGTTCATATGAATATATTTTTGAAAAATTTGATATGTGCCTAAATTACCATGATAACATAATTGTATCATAATTATATTGTTGTTTATTAATTATGTTATTACATTTTAATTTAATTTGAGACAGATTAACACTATGAACATGACAGACAATGAAAGTGGACAAAATATACAGTTCCTCAGGTAGACAAAGGAACATCCCTTCACTGCTATTATGTAAAAATGTGTAGAACAGGTGAATATGCATGTGACACCTGTTCTACACATTTTTACATAATAGCAGTGAAGGGATGTCCCTTTGTCTACCTGAGGAACTGTATATTTTTTCCGCTTTCATTGTCTATCATGTTCATAGTGTAAATTATTCAAAAACATATTTATATAGACACTTGGCATTCCATACTTAGTCAGTGGATTAAAAAATGGACTAAAGTTAGTCCGCTTTCGAGAATACCACCACATAGCATCTTACTGAACTCACTCACAATACAGTGCGGAATACATAGTGACGGTATAAACACAGGGAGGAAATGAATCATGGATTAAACAAGGAAGCAGGAATGATTTATCACCTCTTGAACGATACGGAGGCTTGGGCATGAACCCCAGGATGCTATCCCCAGCTCTTGTCATCTCAAGAAGCTGCATCAGCATGATGTCTTCCTCTCTGAGATTCTGCATCATCGATGCCGCCGCTCCATCGCTTTTGTGATGAGATGCTTGCTGATGATGGTGATGGTGGTGGTGGTGATGGTGTGGACGGTGCGCATGGTTATGAGAATGGGGTGTGGCCCCCGTCGCCGACGCCCCTCCTCCTCCGTTTCCAGCTGTAGCTGCCGATGCGGTCGCTGCAGCGGTGGAGGATGAGAGTGTGTTTGGATTAGTCTGTTTAGATGATGACGATGACGATGATGAGGATGATGATGGCGAGAGTGAGGGTGGAGTATCCTTACCGGACCCGAGTGGTATTTGGCTTGATGGCTGGGTTAGAGAGGAGGAGTGAGCTGTATCCATGGTAACCGCATTTAGGGATGTATCGAGGGACCCATCTAGGGGACCTTCTTCAACATCCCATATTCTGGAATGTTCAACGTCATTCTCACCAGACCTGGAAGAAAAAAGTTTAAATAAAAATTAAAGAAATAATGCCAACAAATAAACAGAATTCGATTAGCCATTTGAATTCCAAAACTAATGTTTTATCATTCTCTTCTTTCTTTTTTTTTGTCAGAAATGTAATAAATGCTAAGACCATATTTAGTACTTTATCTTGTGATAGCGTCCTTTAAAGACATTGTCCTTTATTCAATATAACTTTAAAAATTGAATTGTTGATAACAAATCTTGCTAGAAAAAGGTATCCAATTTCGAAACTAGAAGATGAATAACATTGGAAAATGTCACAGCTGGCGTAATGGTGAACGAGAAAGATTAAAAGCAATAGAAAAAGAAAATTAATAAAAGGAACAGAGGGAGAGATAAACCAGGAAACAGAAACTAATGAAAACAAAAATAAACAGGGACTGGAAAAAAAGTTAACAGACATGAGAGAGACAGGCAAACACTGTTTACATATGTAAGATGAAAAGGCAGAGATACATAGGATATAGGCTTATGCAGTAGGATAACGAACGAGATTCATTGAGTTCATTGTCCGTCTAATTGTGACTTAACCAAGTGCAGTGCATCTCACTAATACACAAGCAAAATCATGTATTATTTGTTTGATAAGATGGGTCTACAACTTGAGTACAAAGTCGAGAAATTGATGGTTGTTATTACCAAAATAAATCCTGTGCATACGGTAAAAAATAATGCAAGCACATGATCCATTTCAACGCTTCTCATCGGCTACATTCTTGAACCCATTTTTATAAAACTAAATAAAATCCATCCAGGGGGGTGTTTCACAAAGACTAAGATCGACTTAAAGTTGGACTAAACTATGGCAGGCCTTTCATGCCACTGTTTTCTCTTACCATTTACTACCATTGGTCTCTCAAGGGACGTACAAATCATGGTCACAAATCTACAGAATTTACAGTTTTTGATAGTTCATTATTGTAGGAAAGAGTACTATCTAAAGATCATAATGGTGAGAGCAACCAGTGGCATGAAAAGCCTGCCATATTTAAAGGTAAAGGCCAGTATTGGAAACGCCCCAATTTCAAAAAATGAAATGGAAGCTCTTATTACCAATCATGTGAAAGAATATGTTTTGACTAATACATGATGATAACAATTTTGCCGGGAAACCACCTACTTATTGATATATTTGGTAAGTTAGTTTATCTATTAGGATATGAGAGATAAACGCATGTGTCACGCACGTGTCGCGCACGTGTGCGTAGTCCCATATACATCTTTCTGTGTACAGTGCTTGTAACTTTACCAAGACTGGGCCAAATTTCGTATCATTTTGATGATTCCAGAACCTTGCAGTACATACCAATACTTATATGCTAGATGATCAACCCTTTCTGATCGATTCCACAACGTTTCTTTCACAATGCAATCGCATGACCATAACTGGTCTTTATCTTTAAATCTGACTTAAAGTCGATCTTAGTCTTTGTGAAAGACCCCCTTGGACACATAAAAACATGATAAGAGTGTCTCACATGGTCTCTTCATCGACGTCGTTCTCTTCATTGAGAGGCCCACCCTCCAGGTCATCGTGCTCTCCGTCATCGGCCACGATGACCGTAGCAACAGCATCATCATCCTCGTCTTCATCATCCTCCTCCTCTTCCTCTTCATCATCGTCATCGGATGATGAGGGAGACGACACCGTCACGCTTGAGTTGTCACTCTCCTGCCAAGTTATGAATTGCATGATGTTTGTTTAGCTTCTATTATTGTACTGTCAAACCTGTCTATAGCGAACGCCCAAGGGAAACACAAAAGTGGTTTTGTAGACAGGTGGTCTTTAGTGACAAGTTCCTATAGTACAGGTTTCAATGAGAAACCATTTTCAAGAGAAACAAAAAAATGTGGTCTTTGGAGACAGGTGGTCACCAAAGCAGGTTTGACTGTACTAGTAAAGGCAATATTGAATTCTGAAAGGCCAATTGTGAGAACATTTTCACCAAGTTTCAATTCTACCTCTCCCAAATCTTCACAAATCTACAGAATTTACAGTTTTTGATAGTTCATTATTGTAGGAAAGAGTACTATCTAAAGATCATAATGGTGAGAGCAACCAGTGGCATGAAAAGCCTGCCATATTTAAAGGTAAAGACCAGTATTGGAAACGCCCCAATTTCAAAAAATGAAATGGAAGCTCTTATTACCAATCATGTGAAAGAATATGTTTTGACTAATACATGATGATAACAATTTTGCCGGGAAACCGCCTACTAATTGATATATTTGGTAAGTTAGTTTATCTATTAGGATATGAGCAGGTTTGACTGTACTAGTAAAGGCAATATTGAATTCTGAAAGGCCAATTGTGAGAACATTTTCACCAAGTTTTAATTCTATGTGGAAATAACTCTCCCTAGGGAGTTAGAATAACAAGAATTACTCCGGATATTGGTATCAGGGGCCAGTTTCTTGAAACCAACACAATTATGAGTTTTCCGACAACCTATAGATAGGTATGTTATATAATTAACACCCATTTCAATGGGATGTCCATAAACTTAAACCCCGTCTTAACCGGAAAATAAGGTCGCGGTGTCATCCGTACGTTGTCTGATTGACATTCTACCCCGTTCCAGTTAAGATGCGTCAATCGGGGTAACGTCCGGACAATATTGAGGCGACATCGAGGCGAGTTTCACCCTAGTCGGGCCAGGATGAGATCGCGGTAACGTCCGGACATTGTACGTTGACATCCTGACAAACGGCATATTAAGATGCGCGCGGAACTCCACCCGGGTAGAATGACGTCAGGGCCGTGAAAAAATGTATACATGTACACAGCGCGCACCAGCTGATCCCGATGAGGGAGGTGCGGTTGTTATGGTAACATACCCGAGTGAGGTTTTTGCGAATGGTTGGTTAAGATGGTGTCCATGAGCCTGGCAAAAGCTCACCCCGTGTTTCACGATCAGACCCCCAGCTGTTTCTTATCCACATATCGCTCGGGTGAAATCGAAAAAGTTCTATTAAGACGGGGCTTTAGACTAAGAACTTTAGAACTGGCCTCTGATTCATATATGTACTCTTGGAAAACCAAATTAACAAGTTGTGTCATGCCTCATATATCGGTATTGGCTCCAGACTGTCAGCCAAATCTGAAGTCATTTTTTAGATTTTCTCTAATTGAAGGGCTTCAATATTACACCATATGACGAACACTGATAACACGTATGGCCATACATGTACATCTCAAATTTGTAAAACTGGAAGCATTGTTAAACAATGCCTTTTATTAAGGGAAAAAATATGGGGGGGGGGGGGATGCACACAAAAGGAGAACATAGTTGGTAAAAAAAAAATTGTGTCATAAAAATGTACCACTAACCTGTGTATCAATTTGATCTCTACAGGAGTCTCCTTGACCTTCTGAACACAACTTAACCTGAACACCATCACGATCAGTATCTGAAGGGAGGGGGGGGGGGGGATATAATGATTTATATTCACACGCATGAATGAAGTTTATAAAGACCCAGGGGAGTGTTTCACAAAGATCCTAAGTCGAACTTAACTCTAAGTTGGACTTTAAACATTATGGAGAGCCGTTTGTAGCCTTAGACAAAAAAAATTTAAAAAGCAAATATTCAAGTATTTTAGATTTTTCATAAATTCCACATCAAGAAAATGAAATCTCCTTGATAATAGAAAATGTGAATGATGTGATTCAACATTTTATGCCTTTCAAAATAAATTTTACAAAATATTTTCAGAGATGCTAACAGCTTTCCATAATTGTTAAGAAATTGTTAAGAAATTAAAAATTAAGAGATGAATTATTTATCAACAGAAAGCATAATTATAAGCCATTCATTACAAAAAATATAAATTATACTCTATTCTAGAGTCTGTCAGGTGAGAAACAGCTCTCTGAAAAATTGGAATCTAAAGATTTCAAAAATCGAAAGGTGTCGACCTGAACTTGATGACATCATCTTATGTGGAATATGAAAATTCACAATCATGACTTTGCTTTAATTAAGCACGGCTCATCGCCTCAGCTATAAAGGCAAGCCGATCAGGTCCCCATGTCATGTCACGGCGTCAAATTTGAACCCTGTTGACCCATTATTTGGAGTGCAGAAAATGAGGTTTTAATTTGCTTTTGAAAGGGAAATTATATTGCATTCCTTTGTATTTGTACTCTATGTTCATTCAGCGTTCCATTGATATAAAGTTTTACTTAGTCTCACAAAGTCCACTGCTGGAGTGACAAGCTCTACAAAGTACTGTAATTCTGTCGCAAATTGAGTAATCAAGAACTGATAATGAAAGTAAAAGATTAATTTCAAAATGACATGATTTTAATTTTTTCATTTCGTAATCCATGTATATGATATGCATTAGTCTTACCGGGCGATGATCGTTCAGCGCTGCTCTGTGTTCTTGATAATTCTATGGCAAGTCTCTGTAGTGAAAGAAATACACATACAAAATAGTATAACAGCAAGAGAAATGAAATTAATCATACATGCATGCATAACAAAAAAAACAAAAAAAATGGAAATAGGCAACAGACACCTCTCTTAACATATTACCTTATACATACATATATTTGTTCTCAGTTGCTATTATTTTTAACCTAATTTCACTTTTGCTTAAATATTGAGTTCAAAATTCAAGTCTGTACTTGGTATTACAGCTCCAATTGATAGTGAATGAAATACATAGAGAAAGAGAGAAAGAGAGAGAGAGAGAGAGAGAGAGAGGGGGGGGGGGAGAAGATACACAGGTTTACTTGAAAATATAAATATCATCTACATGTATAGGAAGTCTCATGTTTTTCCATCGAAACATTTAAAGAGTTTCTGTGAACACACGCATGAATAAGAATAACACCACTACTATACTGTCATAGTTGACCTTTTGACCTTTGACCTACCTCTTTAAGGTCACTGATCTGCTGTACTGACTGCCTCTGTGATGTCTCCAGCTGGTTGATGTACCACTGCTGGTCTCGACACTTCTGATAGAATGTGGGTGGTCGCACCTGTTTCCCAGAAAAAAAAGACGATAAACATCACTTAAACCCATTGCTTATGGGAACCGGGTGATCCCTGTATCAAGCCTAACAGTATTAGATAATTCAGTAGTCAATGGGTTCAGACATTCACTAAATTACTGTTATAATTGACGATTGATTAAAGTTGTAATACCTTGGATGCTGAAAGAAAGCACACTAATGATGAGATGTAGCAAGCATACAAATAGGGAACCTACAGCTGAAGGTCCCATTAAAAAAAAGGAAGTGGGAGCTGATTTTTCTAAAAAAGATACACGTCGGCATCTTCACATTACCCATTTTCGAAGTGGGAAATCACTTCCAACAAATTTGTATTGTGTATTTATTAACATATATTTCCTTTTCAACATGAAACACAATGTATGAATTCAACATAGAATATATATACAGTAAATAATGCAGATACGGAAAGAGGCGAAAACCCGAAAAGCATAGCTTGAGTTGGGAACGCCAATAATAAGTTAACAATGATTGCGCTTCAACATTAAAGCATAGAAACTGAAGATAGGACATCCCAAATAGGCAGCATTAAAGACATAATGACAAAAGGAAAGGAGTTGGCAAGTGAACATTGTGCCGTTTTATTTGGCATCCTAGTCAACTAGTCCCGAGCCAACAAACACTTCTTTTCTTTTTAAATATAATATCGTGCCACGGTAAGAGAGAATGTAATATTTCAAACATGCGTCAGATTAGGACTATCGCCTATCCCTGTTCTACTATTTTACTACTCTCATTCCAAGTAGACATCCACTCTAAACTCTTAAAAACTGGTCAAAGATGCGTAAGAGTTATTTTCGCGACTCTTTTCTTTACTCAGGTGATGTGGAGGAAGAAATTCCTCAATTGTCAGAGTATTTTATTAAGGTAGCTCGAGGAATGCCAGGGTACAGCACTAACAAAATTTGTAAATATAATCATATGTAAATGTTGTTGCTGTTGTTATTATTGTCTTGCATACTGGACGACGTACCTGGAACTGTAGAATCAGTGTGTCGTCTTTGAGATAGCCTTCACCAGACAGTAGATCCAGCCTGAAGAACCTGTTGTACCCCCAGCATTCACCGACCTCAAAGTCTGAGGCAAACTCACGTACGATGTTCCTACTGTTATCGTGTGAGGCCTGGTGGATCATCTCCACTCTGTATTCGTACCTGGCGAAAAAAGGAAACAAAACGTATCAACCCAAATTCACAAAGAAGGTGCTGCGTCGAAAGGTGTCATATGATGCACATAAACCTAGGTCTGTCGACAAACCTCCTCTGTGAATTCAGGCCTTTATGTCCAACTGTTTATGAAGTATGAACTCGCATGGTCTTTCATAAAACTACTTTCAATGCTCAGCAATCCCATTCATTGCTTCAGTTTTCCCCTGTTTTCAGAAATAAAACAACATAAATGTTGCATGGATCACAGAACAGCTATGTGGGGCTTGGAAGTCACAACTGCCAATCTCCCAACACCCTCATGAGAAGCATACAAGATAAACGTACAGAAAACCCACAAACACATGAACACATTACTAATACTACTACTAATAATGATGGGCTCTTGAATAGCACATTGCCACTCCTGGCTCCTGGTAAACTTCCTCAGAAAACAAAAATTACATGTACCTCTTTATGGTTGTCATAAAGGAAAGATTCTGCTGAAAAAACAAAACTTGTCAATGTGAATGAGTGATAATTATTCAGCGGATATCAAATATACCTGAGAGGACAAGTAACGTTATCCCCCCCCCCCCCCCCCTTTAACCCCTTATGCTCAGCTACCTCTCAAGCTAGCAACATTTCTGCAATGTAAGACCAGTTCCCCTCCCCCTACCTAATACAACTCTACAAATGGATGGTCAAACTTAGAGACATTGTATTAAGCACCATATAAAAGCTAAATATTATTATTATTATAAAGGCCTTCCTAGAGATCCTTACTTGGATGTTTCTGGCAAGCCTGATGACAGCTCAAGAAAGACCGAGAGGTAGTTTCCTCTTACAACACCATTACCATCCTACAAGAAAAACAAAAACAAATTATTCATGTATAAACAGCAATCATACAATAAAAATGATATTCAAGTTACTCATGTACGTACTCCACAGCAATCTTTCACTCAGAAAACATGAAGATGCTATCCTAAGTGTTGATAAATCTCGGCTTCTAATTATTCACATATTTTTGAAGAGCAGGGTGTCACAGATTTCATAACTTTCCAGATTGTACCAAATATGTATATGATGCTTTTACTTTTTTATTGCATAAAATTGCTAGAAATTTAAAATGAAAACAATTTATCAATGTCCATAGGAAAATGGGAAGAATACAGCCCAAGATCTAGAAGTGCCCAAGTGCTAGAAGTGCAATCTTCTGTGCAAAATCACAATGAATACTCATGAAATTAATTGTGTATATGCACCGAGAGTGGCATAATACGCAACTCATATAGTTTTAATCTTTTTTGGGGGAGGGGATTCATACGCTAAGAGATCCAGTTAAGACTCTTTTATGTGAATTTAGAAATGGAAACCTGACTTTATAATGGTCATCTGAGGGAAACAAAGAGGTAGACAGGTGACCTTTCTAGATGGGTTCAACAACATGTTTCATCATAGAGAACAATGATGTAAGTGATTACTATAGACAGGTTAACTTTAAAGGTAAAGACCAGTATTGGCAACGCCCCAATTTCAAAAAATGAAATGGAAGCTCTCATTACCAATCATGTGAAAGAATATGTTTTGACTAATACATGATGATAAAAAATTTGCCGGGAAACCGCCTACTAATTCATATATTTGGTAAATTTATTTCTCTCATGGTCTGGTGAGAGAGATAGGGTAGTCCCATATACATCTTTCTGTGTATAGTGCTTGTAACTTTACGAAGAATGGGCCAAATTTCTTATCATTTTGATGATTCCAGAACCTTGCAGATGCTAGATGCTAGATGATCAACCTTTTCTGATCGATTCCACAACGTTTCTTTCACAATGCAATCGCATGACCATTACTGGTCTTTACCTTTAATAGAAAGGTGGACGCAAAGAGAGGTTTGCCTGCATAGACTGAATTCCAAGGAATTTTAATCTTCTGCCAATCATTTATATCATCTTTCATTTAGATAGCCAATGAATGAGTTGTGAAGTTAGAAAAGAGATTTACTTACTGGATGGACTTTAAAGCCCCATTGTACTACTTGTAGCTACTTGCTCCCTCTATATAGAAAAATTTCCCAATTGGTGCATGTTGGTCCCCATGATCCTCTTTTTCTTATGTTAATTGAGAGCTGAGTTAATGAGAACTAGTACAGCCGGCCTTTAAGTCTCCATGAGAGAAGGACTGTACACAATTCTTATTTTTAATTGTACCATGCGAAGGAGCACAGTGACCAAACAATTGAACTGTGAAGCTTTGCATTCTGGAACATTTCAGGCCTAAACAGAGTGTTGTAGCATATCCCTGTTACTTCTTTTAGATCTAATTAACTAGTGAAATAAGTGACTCATGCAGACTTTGAGAAGGGAGATGAAAAGTACTCACTGGATAGACTTTGAGTCTCCAGCTGAGACCAGCAACCATGAGAGGAGGACTGTAAACAGGATCAGCTTTGTGTTGCAGTGCTCTAGAAACAAAAAGATATTTAACCCGTTTTAATAAGACAAGACATACATGTTTTTCTTCAAGCACACAATACGACGCATGAGTGACATTGTAACAGCAGTATTAAAAAGGTTAGATTTTGACATAGAACTAAACTACAAATTCTGAGTAACTTTTTAAGTTATGGTTTACACAATCAGATCTACTTTTTTCTGTTTTTTAATTTCAATATATAAAAACCAAATATTCAAATGTTAAATATTTTTAAACAAGATAAAAGAGGAGAAATATGGATTGATTAAAGATTATTCAGAATTGAAACACAAACATAAAAATCAAACATTAATTTGTGAATAAAATACTCACATGAAGCTTGTAAGGACAAATCTGCTGCTGTCATATGCTGGGACAAGTTCACTGTGGACAAAAAATGAAATGCAAAATGAAATAAACATGAAAGAATAATCTTTCCCAGCACCATCGACAATCGCTTATTTACAAATGATGAAGGAAACTTTCAAAATGTAATTTAAAAAAAAAAAAAGTTTGAAAGCAAGATTATTTGGATTTTCAACACTTTGAAGCTGACAAGAAGTCTGAATCCTGTCCAAATCCTTAAATGAAAGACAGAATATACATGCAAGTAGCGCTGTAGTATTAGAGTGGGTTAAAGTTCAAAGTGGACATTGGTTCAAGCCCCGGCAGGTCACCAATGTCCTTTGTAAGTCATGAATCTGCATTTGCCACTCTCAACCCAGGTGTACTAAGTGGGTACCTGTCAGGATTTATTCCATGAATGAGCTGTGCGCTGATAATGGTTCTCAAAGCTACAGCTGGGGGGTGTTTCACAAAGATCCTGAGTTGAACTTATCTCTTAGTTGGACTTAACAACTATGGAAAGCCATCAGCATCTTTGAAAATATTTTGTAAAAGTAATTTTAAAAAGGCATACAATGTTTATTTGAATCACTCATATTTTCTATTATCACGAAGATTTCATGTTCCTGATGTGAAATTTATGAAAAGTCTAAAATACTTGAACATTTGCTTTTGAATACATTTCATTTTAAGGCTACAAATGGCTCTCCATAATATTTAAGTCCAATTTAGAGTTAAGTTCAACTTAGGATCTTTGTGAAACCCCAGAAATGATGATCATCAGTCTGTACCTTGTGAAATCAGCTGGAACAGGAGCTGTTACAAAGGAAGCCATTGGCTTACGATGGACCTGCGTGAAGGTCTGTAGGACGTCAGCACTCTTGGCTATCAGCTCACTCTTAGAGCAGGAGTTGATCTGGTGCTCCACCTCATGTAGGAGTGATTCCAGGAGCTCCGTCTCCTGCATCAGGGAGTTCTTTTGACCTAGATATTGCAGGGCAGAAAGGAGGATAAACAACGAAGTATTAATGTGAAGGTATGTAGGACGTCAGCACTCTTGGCTATCAGCTCACTCTTGGAGCAGGAGTTGATCTGGTGCTCCACCTCATGTAGGAGTGATTCCAGGAGCTCTGTCTCCTGCATCAGTGAGTTCTTCTGACCTAGATATTGCAGGGCAGAAAGGAGGATAAACAAGGAAGTATTAATGTGAAGGTATGTAGGACGTCAGCACTCTTGGCTATCAGCTCACTCTTAGAGCATGAGTTGACCTGGTGCTCCACCTCATGTAGGAGTGATTCCAGGAGCTCTGTCTCCTGCATCAGGGAGTTCTTCTGACCTAGATATTGCAGGGCAGAAAGGAGGATAAACAAGGAAGTATTAATGTGAAGGTATGTAGGACGTCTGCACTCTTGGCTTTCAGCTCACTCTTAGAGCAGGAGTTGATCTGGTGCTCCACCTCATGTAGGAGTGATTCCAGGAGCTCCGTCTCCTGCATCAGTGAGTTCTTCTGACCTACAAATTGCAGGAAGGAGGATAAACAAGGAAGTATTAGTGTGAAGGTCTGTAGGACGTCTGCACTCTTGGCCATCAGCTCACTCTTAGAGCAGGAGTTGATCTGGTGCTCCACCTCATGTAGGAGTGATTCCAGGAGCTCCGTCTCCTGCATCAGTGAGTTCTTCTGACCTAGATATTGCAGGGCAGAAAGGAGGATAAACAAGGAAGTATTAGTGTGAAGGTCTGTAGGACATCAGCACTCTTGGCTATCAGCTCACTCTTAGAGCATGAGTTGACCTGGTGCTCCACCTCATGTAGGAGTGATTCCAGGAGCTCTGTCTCCTGCATCAGCGAGTTCTTCTGACCTACAAATTGCAGGACAGGAAGGGCCATAATGGGCATGTTGAATGATACATCAAAACATACAGGCGTGATTGTTTAAAATCTAGTTAACGGGAGAAGATTTCCAGGTTATTCAAGGACTTTATCTTTAGTTTTTTTTTTTCAAATGATCTCTAGGAAAAGGGTTGCTTTGGTGTACAAGACATTAAAAATATATTGACATGTTAAAAATATATTAATGAAACCTTGACAAGCAAAGTATAGGGAACTACTGAAAAACTATCATAATGAAGAGTTGAAATAGGGACTTTTTCGCAAGGTGACGCAAGTGCTGACTAGAGCTTGCCACCCTGTACTAGCTCGACTCCCGACGTTAATACAGCTGAATACTGTCGTAGGTTTGGACGCTAAACAGATATTTTCACTCCGAGTGTGACTCCCCTAAAGATTAGCGTTGTAGAAGGCCCCGTCGCCTGTTGCGAAAACTGCCTAATGTTAAAGGGGGGGGGGATTGGTGGCGACAAAAAAAACAGTTTCTCCAGTAGCATTTCTTCTTTTTTTCAATACAGATTTATATTGAATTGAATTGAATTGAATTTATTTACCACTTTCATAAAAACATACAAAGGCAAAGAATACAATACTTTTTTGCAAACATAGAAAATATAAGGACAACACGTTAGCCAAAAAAGTCACTGATGATGTAATGTAGGAGAGACAGCAATTGATTCCTTTTTATTCTAAAATTGCTTTACAACATCATCTGCTGATTTCAACATGAACACTGTTCTTTTATTTGAGGCTGTAAATGAGTCTACAGGCTAAGAATTGAATGGCTAATCACTTCACAATCACTCTTCAAAAACTTCAGATCATCTTCAGATTATCAATTGTTGCTTGTATTTGATATAGAGTAGAGTAGTTTCTTTTCTCTAGGACCTTACCCATGAGAGTGAGAAGTTTACTCTTGAGTTGTGTTTCCAGTCTTGAGATCATAAGTTCTACCGTGTTCCTGATCTCTCTCACCCGGTCATCTTTGGCACTTCTGACACTGTCTACATTACGATCCTATCAGAGAAAGAAATTTTTTTTTAGTATGAATCAATTACTTGTAAGTACTTATCTCAAAATATGTATTCAATATAAAAGTGGTTAAAGTGAGTGTTAATTTTGAAATGAATGATAACTATAATTGATTATGGCAATAATAATGAGACTTTGAATCAATTGGCAACAGACAATGTATAGTATTAATATAATTATCATCGTGATCATAATCATCATCACAGCCATCACTCTCACTATGATCATCATTACCATCGTGATCATCATAGCCGTCATTTTCACCATCATCACCATCATCATCATCACAAAAATCATCAAGTTCATCAACAGCACCGTTCTCTTCACCATCATCAACATGTTTTGTATATTTATTTATTTAAAACGGTTTTGATAAGAAGTCCTTCATGGCCAGATTGCTGAATTGCAGATTCTTCTACTATCAGAATAGATATAATGGACACATCATCATCATCACCACCATGATCATGATTATCACCATCATGATGATGATGATGATCATCATCATCATCATCGCCATCATCATCGTCATCATCATCACATCATCACCATTATAATCACCAACATCACCAACTTGATTATCATCATCAATACATGGCTTACAATGTCTTGATTAAGGCTGATTAATTCTCGTAGTCTTCTCCTTAAGGCAAGCTGTTCTTCTTGTATCTGCGATGCATGTTGGGCCCAGATCTCATCCAGGGGCTTGAATGTGTGCCCAGAATGCTTCAAAATAGAGGGAGATAAATCAGTAAATATGATTATTAACGCTCTCTGGTCCGTGTTTCGCTAATGAAGTTAAACTGACCCTGAGTCTAAGACAACTTAGAACTTGTGAGTAACCTCCTCTGTTAAACCTGATTTTGAACAAAAGCTTAAGCCCAGAGTTAGGTGGAACACAGGTCTGTGTATCCTATTTGCTATTCTGAAAGAAAATTATACCTGCATCATGAAGGAATTGAAGTGACATGGCTTTTGTCTTTTGCTGCACACTGCTCTCTGTTCATGCCATGAGTTGCCACCATATAACCATAGCCATATCATTACTTTGAGAGAGTTTATACTAAATCCCAACAAGAGGCCTAATCATGCATTGACTTGTATCAATCACACACACAAGGCAAGTATGGCAAACATATACAAGTTCAAAATATACATTCATTGACTTGTATGAATCACTCATTCAACATTATACCCTGACCCCTGACCCCAAGCCTGCACCATAATGTTTTCTTCTTTTTTTCTTTATCACATTCTCTAATATTTCTTTACTTCCTCCATTTATCTAATATTCTCTTTCTGCTTTTATCTCACATTTTTGTTTTCCTTCCATTTCTGTGACATGATATCCACTACAGAATAGCCATGGATGTTAAATGTACAATGAATAGTAGAAGGGCTAAACAAGAAATAAATTGAACCCTCTGGTTACTTAAGTCACCTCTCTGCACAGTTGCTTGTTAGCCATACGTGCAATTTTGTACAAATCAATATGCACCCATTGGCGGAAGGAATGCTTTGTGCAACACAGCTGCTTTGCAAAATTACCCATCTTTGGTCTTGATTAGCTCCATGACAACCCTTTCAACGCGGGCATTGATAAATATTGCCCTGGAAACAGTGAAATAATCTTTAAAACTTTGGTATATCTATCTCATGATAAATACAATGTGGCATAGGGAGATCATTTGTGTTGCATATAAAGAGTTAAACCTGAAATAAATTAAAAGTGTGTGAAATTTACCATTCCACCCCACAAGGCACACTGGTGACAGATGCATTTATGACAGGTCCAGCAGTACACACTCAGCTTCTCATTGTGCAATTCACATCTGAAAAGAAAACATTTGGTACGAAACAGCAATCAAATATGGGATTTTATATCAAATTCACATCACATCATCTGGCAAGTAAATCTGCAATCAACAATGTAAGTTACTTGTTATTTCCAATTTCACAATAAATAAGTGCCTAGACCTATAGTACATGTACATGTACATGTAGGTATTTGATAAATCTAATTAGATGTTTCTTTCAAAATTTCAATCTTTGATTTGACTGTGCTAAAATAGTTGAAGAAAAAAACCGCTGTTATTTGTTGTAAAAGAGTAATATTAATTATTTTGCTATCTATGATTAACTACAGTCAGTTTGCAAAAACACATTTTGCCTTGATTATCGAATTCATGTCTCGGATGAAAAGAATAAAAATGACATACATACATGTATGAGGGAAGAGACACAGAGAAAGAGAGAGAGAGACAGAAAGAGTAGGGAGAGAGAGAGAGAGATAAAGAGGGGAGAGACACAGAGATAAAGACACAGACACAGAAAGAGACACACAGAGGCAAACTGAGAGAAAGAGAACGAGAGAGAGAGACAGACAGACACATTATATCATGCCTTGTATGATTTTGAATAAATAAACTTGAACTTGAACTTGAACTTGAACAGACAGACAGAGAGAGAGAGAGAGAGAGAGAAAGAGAGACCCAAGACACAGACAGACAAAGACAGCGAGAGTCTAATAAACCATGTCACTCTAGAAGGCAACAGTCGATGTCTCTACTCACTTGTCTTTATCAACCTCGTCCTGTTTTCCCTGGGGGGTGCAGAGTTGTAGGGTGTCGAGCTGTTGAGTCACCTCCTCGGCCCAGCGACAGTTGACCAGCTCATGGAGTTGAAGGGGAGCTCTGGATTAAAAACGTAGAAGAGTATGAAAGAGTATGTAAATAAAATAAACACTTTTATACAAACATCCTGTATTGATGGTGAGTGCCCCAGTCGATGTCATTAATTAGACTTTGATTATTAAGGAGAAAAAAGTCTACCCCCCCCCCCTCAAACCAAGCACAGATTATATTTTTTACTGAATGAAACCACACTTTAGTAAATGCAACTGAGTACATGTTCAATGTTATATGGCTACAATTTTATTTTAAAAACACCTTTGAGGCTGACATGCAACATACATTGTATAATGAATTTGTTTTATTTATAAAGTTGTATAGGAAATAAATTAAAAGCTTTATAATCTATAACCCTGCAGTCCTAAGACTTATCAATGATCGACCTCTAATTATAATGCAGTTTAATCGAGACTGACACTTACTTCTCTTGCACTCTCTCTCTCTCTCTCTCTCTCTCTTTATCTCTTCCTTCCCCTTTCTTTATCTCTTTTTATATATTTCTTTCTTTCTTTCTTTCTTTCTTTTTCTTTCTTTCTTTCTTTTTCTCTCTCTCTCTCTCTTCCTCTGATCCTGCACAGCAATTAAGCCTGCATGATACTATTAAAGTTCAGTGCAAATAAGTAATGGCAGCTAAATGTCAAACTCCACTGCTCAATGCCGTACTCACCTGCAATGGGGACACTGAGGCCTCTGTTCTGTTAGCCATCTCTGCACAGAAAGAAATGAGGTAATATTATAAGAATAGACATGACATGTAATACTGGCATCTTAAAGTCTGCTAAGGCAAGGCAGAAAGCTTGTACTGTAACGTATAAACCCATGTCCTCAATACATGAGGCTACACTTGATATGCAAAGTACATAGAGTGGGAAGATGAGGTTCAAAATTGTCTACGATTATAATGTATCAGGGAGTGTTTACAAAAAGATACAGAAGGAGATGACTTTTGTTCTGGAAAGGTCCAGGAAAGCTGTGAAAAATTTACAAAGTACTCCTGTATAAAAAAAAAACAGTACGATGCTTAGAAACTTCTAATATATATGCAATCACACTGTAGTTTATATACATGTAGCTAACGCTCCATATTTAATTTCAAAAAGTTATTTTGCACCATTTTGGCAAGTTGACAGTATGACAGAATACAATTTAATGATACTACTAACTGCAAATAATTTCCATAAATTAATAAGTCACCAGCCCCCCCCCCCCCCACCCTCCCTCCTCCCCTGCTTGCAAAGAAGACATCAAATGAAGAAGAAAAAAAAAGAATTTATAAAGTTTGATTTGGATTTATATCTGTCATATACTATCATTTTCTTTGATAAATGTAGTAAACTTTTGCTACAACTTAAACACATCTTTGATTTTAGACCCCTCCCCCTAAAAAAAAAGAGCAAGAAACCAATAAACAAAATCAAACAAGATCATAATCAGCATGAAATAATACACATGGTTTCATTCTCACCCTTATACATGAGTAGCAGCAGAGTTTTGAGCAGTGTGGACACAGCCGGGCATCCCGCAGCTTCTCCATACAAATGAAACATCTGAACACCTCAGCCAGGCTCTAGAAGAGAAAAATATGACACATGATTAATTAAAGTGACTCTGTAACATTGTTGAAGGTTGATGAGAAAAAAAAAGTGATTTTTTTTTTTGTATAAAATGTTACTTATTATATTCCTTCAACTGTACTAATCCTCCAACATGCAAAATCTCCTGAAAAATTCTCAACTCACAAAGATATGGTGTTCTTTGAAGGTGTCACTGTACAACACCCTCTAACAGTAAATTCTCCCAACCATTTTTGAATTTTCCTGACCGTTTTTTTCATGAAAATAAGACATAAAACAGGCTTTAAAGGCATCGTTTAACAATGTTAAATCTGAGATGCATGGCCCTACATGTTATCGGTGTCTGTGATATGGTGTAATAATGAAGCCCTAAAAATATTGAGCTTCAAAATGATCATGAAGTGCCTCAAAGTGCCTCTTTTCCCCCAGTAGACTGTAGTGTTATGAAAATCGTTAGGAAAACACAAATTTGGATTTTGATTTCCAATCATAAATACCTTGATAATCAGAGACAAGGGATTGGCTTGTAACAGTCATGGGGTTCCTGACTGACCTAAAGGTTTATAATTATCATTGCAGCATGAGCTAAATCCAGGATTTTGTTTCAGAATCTGAGACAAAGTGACCAAATCCCTTTAGAGCATGTACACATTCATACAGTATGTAGGCAACAAGGAAGGGCTATATAAGATTAACATGTTCATTTAGCAAACTGAGACTTTTTCTACACCGAGTACATGTGTCTTTGTATGAACAAGCTGCATAATTTCACTACAAAATGTGTTTTAGGGTAATAGGATAGGATGTATTTTACCTTTGATTTTTGAATACTTCATAGAAAAGATCTCTTCACTTAATTCAGGAACTACATGTATTTTACACATTATATGTGTACACAACATGTACATTTTTTATCTTAAACATTGACAGAGTATTTTCACAAGAATTTTATTCATTCGGGACATTGGAATACAAATATATTTAATTGCATCCAAAATTTTCACCAACAAATTTCTTTCAATCACTTTGTATAGGCAGAACTCAAGTAATTCATGACCACTCTAGAAATTCACACAGACTTGAATTCAAACAACTGCCAAAACAAGCAAAGTCCATTGAATCGGTGGTGCGTGGTCATGGTTAATATGCTGCTATTGTTGATGGTGATGATATTGTTTACCGAGAACTATTCACTCACAGACTGTACACAATTACGGCATACATTGTTGAATGATGACACACCTGGCAGCAACTTTAGTGGTTTATAAGAAAGAGGGGGCTCTAGCCCCATTCAGACTAACTAAAAAACAAGAAATGGAAACCGTTTCATTTTAAATTTAATTTATTGAATCTAGGTTGAACATCATACACAGAAACATTTCATGAAAAAACAAGAGGTTCAAACAAAATGGACAAAGAAACAGTTTCCATTACACCTGTTGAACATGGTAGTAAAGTCTAACTGGAAATTCATCTGGGCTTATCAGGACTGTACCGATGACGAGTATATATATGACCACCAAGCTGTTATTTTATACTCCTGCATGAGCAATGTCAATGAAGTACAGTGTACACTACATTTAAATCAATGTACACTGTACACTGACATCCTCAAAACTAATTTCTTTATGTGGTTTCTACCATGTTCATTTACACAAGTTTTGCATACCAGTATACAGTATACATGTATTCCTCTAGTGCAAATGCTCCATGATACACATTTATAGGCAAAGGTGTGGTTATTGACCACAAGATATGAGTGATGGTCATACTAGGCCTAGATATAGATTATAGATCTATGTATACATTTTGTGTGTATGTATGCTATACGTACATGTACACAAAAAATGTATACATACAATGTGCCTATTTATGTTCATGGACACTGTACATGTTTTACACTGCATAATTTATTTCTTCTCTTCAATGGACAAGCTGGGAAGAAAGAAAACAAAACATTTGTGAAAATGAACAGTTGTACATGAACATGTACATACAGTGTACATGTAGTTAGGTGGATTTGCTTTGGATTTTTTATTATTTTTTAAAGCAATCACATCACTGGAAGAAAGAGGAGTTGGCTCAGTCGGTGTAGCGTCTGCCTGTCGAACCAAAGATCATGTGCTCAAATCTGAACCACGCAAACGACCTACATGTAAGCCTGCGTCGTGTGTTCACAGAGGAAAACACTAGTCCATTGGATAGGACCTTAAATAGAGGCCACATGAAGGGGAGTCACCACCTTTGCATGTTATGAACCCACTGCACTATTTGAACAGTATGAGAGTAGGGGAAACCCCTGTGTAGTGGTCTACCTGCACACTCCTGATTAATCATATGAGGAAGAGAGCCCTGAGGGCTACAGTGATTCACATTTCACCTCCCAGGCATAATATGTGATGCCGCAGCCAAATACTTAAAGTGACTTGGTAACATTGCCTCAGATTCTGAAACAAAATCCTGGATTTAGCTCATGCTGCAATCACAATTATAAATCTTTAGGTCAGTCAGGAATCCCATGACTTTTACAAGCAGATCACCTGTCTGATTATCAAAATATGAATGATTGGAAATCAAAATTCTATTTTTCATTTTCCTAACGGTTTTGATAACACTACAGTCTATTGAAAAAACCATGTTTTTTTTACTTTTTGAGGCACTTCACAATTTTTTTGAAGTGCAATTTTTTAGGGCTTCAATATTATACCATATCACAGACACTGATAACACCTACAATTATGTAGGGCCATGCATCTCAGATTAAACATTTTTAAACGATGCCTTTAATAATAAGAATAAAAAGAAGAAAATCACACTTAAACAACATCAAGTCATAAAAGAACTCCCAGAAACAGAAAAGTACTTTTTATATGTAACTGTAGACAACCAAAGATAATGTAGTCCAATCTAATTTGAATCATAAGTAGCCCTCATCAAAAAATAGTAAAAGAGTAAAATACAAAGTCAGTCATTTGTCTTTTGTACCACAGTACATCAGGGCTACACATTAACAGATGACTGGGACACAAGGGTGCCCAAAATCTAAGCCTGAACCCCCACCCCCAGTCAAAATATTGAAATTTCAACAAATTACGGCTTGTATTCATGTACATAGGCCTGTTACCGATCATCGGATCGGGGGCCGATCTTGAGCCTAACAGATAATAATTTCTGATCGCCGATCAATAAAAATGCCTATGTACATTATATGGCGGCCCGCATATTTTGCCTCTTTTCATAGTCCAATATTATTAATTTCAAAGTCATGAAAAGGCACTAAATATCAACAATCATGGTCTACAACAACTCCAAATGACAAAATTATCCCAGCCATGAATTTGTTTTGAGCATTTGATAGCCAAAAACTTGAAAATTGTTGTCATAAAAAAAATTAAAAAAATAAAATTAAAAAATGCTGATTTTTTTTTGCCGATTATTTTGGCCGATACCGATCACAGGTGCTAGGGTGTCGCTCCGATCTTCCGATCCGATCAAAGCCCCAACTTACAGGGTTACATGTACATACAGACTGTAAAAAGATCAATCCGGTTCCCCTCCAACAAAGGGTAAGTGTGGAGCTCTGCTGTACAGTACATGTACAACATACATTTTGATTTTGTAGCATCAGCATTACAGTGTACAAAGCAAGACTGGGCAGTTGCTGGTGAATCATTAGGTGTATCAAAATCAGTTGAGCTCTTCTTAAGACGGGATGGATTATAACTACAAGCTAAGTAGGTGTGGCAAGGATTTCACTATTGCCACTCCTCTGTAGATTAAAAAAAAATACTGTACATTGTAGACGTCTGCGATCAATCTGGTTCACAATCCAGACTCGACCCAAAACTCTTTGATTTAAATTAAAGTTCATTTGTGTGGAAGCAGAAAAAATGTGAGAAACAGAATGGCAAAAGTTTGAAATAAATAGATAAGAGAGTTGAGATTGAAATACATGTTTGAGATCACTAATTTTATATGCAAATCTCAATGTGGCAGTCTGGTCAGTCAATTACGAGTTTTTGACGGTTGTGACCTACTACATTTTGGAAACGTAATCACAGAGAACTCTCCCATATTAGGCATACTAAAATTTCCAGTTATCTCCTAAATGCCTTTTCCCCCAGGATACTACGCAAAACAAATTTTGGTTGGCAATGTTGTAAGTAGTCCTCCTCCGAGAATACCTTAGGCCTACTGAGTCAAACATTTGAAGAAAAGCATTACAAAATTAAAGCGGAGCCAATCCATGAAATTTTGAGGAAAATCCAATGAAGATTAAGAAAGTTAAGAATTTTCTCCAGTTGTAATTAATTGATTGAGCGCTACATGTGTACAGGTACATGTACATGTTACTGGCAACTTTGTGATTTTTAAAGTAAAAGTAATGATGGCAAGTACTGTAAATCTCTGTGTATAAGATGCACCTGTGTATAAGACGCACCCCTACATGTATTTTGGGGGCCAAGAAAAAAGAAACAAAAATTAAAAATTACCAACAAGTCCAGGTTAAAAAACCCACGTGGGAAGGTGTAGTTGAAGGCCCCGATTTGTGCTTGTCAACTTGTCACAAAAAATAGTAACAATGTCGTTTTAGAAGAATGTGTAAGATCATTAATGTAAATTAAAAACGAGAGTTCCTAGGATAGAACCTTGAGGTACGCCACGTGTAATAGCAGAAAAATTGGAGGAATTATTATGATAAATAAACTACATATTGAGATCTGTTAAAAGGATTACTTTCAAACAAAGATGACAGACAAATTTGAGTGTTGTTCTAGTTTCCGAGTGGTGAGTCAACACACCGATTACTGAGCTGGGAGACATTGCCAGGCATAGTGCCAGATGGAGGGGCATAAATTGAAACTTTTTTTTTTGTACCTGTGTACATGTACAGTATATAAGACGCAACCCCGTCTTTCAATTTTTTTCGGCGGCAAAAAAGTGTGTCTTATACACAGAGATTTACGGTATACCTCTCTCCAGGGACCTGTTTCATAAAACTTTTTATCTATAACAAATGCTAAATTTCTATGACAAATTTGCTCTCAGCCAATCAGATGCCTTGATTTCAGTAGCTTATAACAGTAGCTTGTAACTTGTTATTGATATCAAGTTTTATGAAACAGGGCCCAGATAAATTTTCAAATTTCCTGGTAAAAATATTTAATTCTGGGCCTTTAGACCACTTTAAAGATAGCACATGTACAAATGACCCCTCAATATTCCCAAATCTTTTAAACACGGAGAAGTTCCACCATATTTAGGGACACTCATTTTCTGCTATCACGGAAAACGAACGAAATTCACGAAAATCATGGTTAATAACTCCAAATATTTAGCGAAATTTGTAAGATTCTTAGGAGACAGGGGGCTGCCATTTTGTTTCGCTGGACCAATAGAGATCATGACACAAAACACGGTACAAATAGCAGCGAATCGTTCCTATTATGCCAGCTAGGCGCCTAGTATTACATAGACATAATACTAGGCACACATGCCAGCAGCGGGCACTAAGTGCGGTGAGATTGTACACACGCTGTTGTACATGTACATGCATACCTACATTACAATCCAAGATGGCGGCCCGCATGTTTTGCCTCTGCTCTTAGACCAATATTATTAATTTCAAAGTCATGAAAAGGCACTAAATATCAACAAACATGGTCTACAACAACTCCAAATAACAAAATAATCCCAGCCATGAATTTTTTTGAGCATTTGATAGCCAAAACTTGAAAATTTTTGTCATTAAAAAAAAAAAAAAAAAAAAATCAGCTGATTTTTGGGGTCGATCTTCCGATCCGATACCGATCAAAGGTGCAAGGGTGTCGTTCCGAACTTCCGATCCGATCAGAGCCCCAACTTACAGGGTTACTTTAAAGATAAACTTGAATTCTGGTAAAAAAAGAAAATGAATTCTCACAGAATCTAATGAAACTTACACTGAATGTTCAAGATTACAAATAAATTTCATGTGCCAAACAATTTTGGAAGAAAATGTATACTGGCTGAGTAATGAGCATAGAAAGATAAGGAAATCAGGGTAAAACTACTAGCCCGGACACCATGTGTGTTGTCCCATATACATCTTTCTGTGTGAGTGATTGTTACTTTACCAAGACTCTGCCAAATTTATGATGATTTTTATGACTCCAGAACCTTGCATTACACACCATTACTTACATGCTATATCTGCCTATAGGCTATATGTAGGGAGGCCAATGCCCAAATCTAACTTTTTAATTACTAATTTGTTTATACTAAAACTAAGATTAAAAGAAAGCATTTACTTTCACTAAGAAAATCCACCCATCTGCCGACTCCAGAAGTTCCATCAAATAGGAGATATCCAGCTAGTTCCTATGAGCTTCCTTCTACGCCTTTCCGTACGTAAGAGCCTTGAAACAATTATATTTCATGTCGCAGAGTTACGTTCATAATTAGACAGGCCCGAGGGACAAAGTTCATGATGAAGTTTAAAACTTCGCGCGAAAGTGCAATCACTCAACAGCGGCTAGCCTTGAATCGGTCGCACACGTACCTTCTTCTTCTTAGTTGATCCCTCCACCGACACAGGCAAGCCCCGATGCAGGCTGAAGTCCAGCCATCAATGTGCGAACGATTACATCTTCTACTACTACGAGCCGAAGACGATGGTTCAAAAATGATGAATAGATTTCAAAATTGGCAGGAAAGAAATATTTATAATTCATTGATATTTACCTTAGATGTGTATTCCAATAATTTGATTTCCTCATGAGTATTCCTTATTATCAACGATCGAGAAGTTACGAGGTCCAATTAACATCCATCTTGCAGCGAACACAATCATAGCGCACATCCATGCATGCAACGTACGTGTACTAATATTTCTCTCACTCTCTCTCTCTCTCTCTCTCCCTTTCGCTATACGTAACATACACACTCACTAACCATGTATCATACAACACACACCTTCAAATCATGGCTTTCATTTCAATTCTCAATTGGAGTATAGACTGCTTACGTAGACTTTTTTTTTACTGAAATATCTTTTTTAACACTTCTCATACATTACTGCACGACACTCGTATCTAGTGCTGTGAGAATAAGGTACTAGGGTCTATAAATAAGACTACGCTTTGTGCACGATCTGACCGGAGCTCAGATTATGTCGCAATACCCATTATTTTTGGCGCGAACAATGACGTCACTGTTCATTGTTTTCCTTCTCATTTTGAGATGGATGTACCTATAGGGCTCAAACCAACGCAAGATTGACAGAAACATCGTACTCTATCTACTTTCGAATGTTCAGTTTGTAAAAATCTGTATTTAAAAAGATATAATCTTTTTTCTTTATATTTTCTAGTTGTTAGAAGTGGCAATTGTGAACATCTGAAATGTTGATCTCTATCAAAAGTTCTTTACTCAAAACGGATCCCATATTTTTAGGGTCTACCTTCTGCCAATGAGAAGGTTTTTAGTGAGCAAACCTCTACGCCCTCTAGGATTTTCTTAGTCGGTGGTGCGAGTGCGTCAAGGTCGTCTGCAACCACAATTATTGGATTAAAAAACGTCAAAATCTGCAAGATTGTCAACAAATGGTGAAAGACTGTTACAGATCCGTGATTATAGGTATGTTGTGAAATGTATAATTGTATTTTCTTTTCTTATTTTCTTCACTTTTATTTTTACATCATTTTTTTCCCTTTGCTAATTTTTTGAAGTGGGCGACGAGCGCACAAATCGTAGGTGTAGAAGCCTTACGCCCGGGCATTGGCCTCCCTACTATATGATCAACTTTTCTGATCCATTCCACACCTTTTCTTTCACAATGCAATCGCATTACCAGAACTCAAGTTTATCTTTAAGACTAGGCCTAGTAAGAATCACTTTAATTACTTCAAAAATGCACCCTTATTCATAGAAAATGCATACCGGTAGGCCTATCATTAAAAGTCTTTATCCGATATTTCTTTTCATCTTCGTCATCAATGTACATACTACACAAGTTGATACTACATGTAGTCTTTTTCTTTTTCTTTGTTCTGATTTGTCCTTCTTCATCTTTTCATGTCTTCTTCTTTTTTTTCTTAATCATCTCCTTCTCCTCCTCCTCCCCTCCCCACCCTCCTCCTCTTCTTCCTAATCCAATTCTTCTTCTTCTTTGACTTTTGTTATTGTTGATCTTCTTCCTTTTGTTCTTCTGTCTCTTTCTTCATTCTATTTCCCTAAATTCCCTTTCATATCAATGACATTCTACTAGAGTTTCATCTCAAGAGTCGCTAGTCAAGACTACATTTAAAAATTATTAAGGAAAAAAACTGAAGACAAAGCCTCACAATTGAATTGACATGACACATTCACAACACATGGACAAAGCTACTTCAGTTGAAATTGACAAAGGTCATAAATTCGGTCGACAGACTCTCGCTCAACCTCCTGTAAGTCTCACCAATGAGTTATTCTCACTCTCAACTCTCACTCAAAACTCGGGTCTAGGCCTACGTCTCATTCTCAAGAGTCAGACTCGGTCTCCTTCCACACGCAGCCGTACCGACGGTCATTCAATACAGCTACGCCAGACTTCCGGGGGACTGTTAACCCACAGGGCCGTACATCAATAAAAGTACCACAAAGCAAGTGCCTCCTACCGTCAGAAATTTCAGCAAGAAATACACCATAACAAGCATGAAAAGAAAGCAAGGAACACCATACTTACTTCAACTGTTGCCTCCTCCATTACAAATTTGGAATTTCTACCCTGTGTAGTTCAAATTTATCGTCAAATTATAAGCATATTATTATTATCAACAACACGAAGATACAGTGTTCGTCGGTGTTTACCACTCGTATTCAAGAGCCCGGATTGGTCAATATCCATCACATGACTTCGACAATCGGGATATGATCTGCTCATGATTAATTTTTGGGGGGTCAATTTATTGTTTATATTCCAATTTCTATTTTTTGTTAAATTTTATTGGGAGGCCCGTTCCCAAAGACTGTATTCCATCAAAAATATAAGTTGGTAGGGTTTAGTCGTCGAGTGAAGGCCCGTAATAAGTCATTTATTATCTTCTTTTTTTAATCATTATTATTCTTACTTTTATTATACATTAGGTTATTGGTAGTCGTAGGCCTACTTACTTTTTTTAAACAATAATCATGATTATCATCATTAGTAATATTAGTAGTAGTAGTAGTAGTAGTAGTAGTAGTAGTAGTAGTAGTAGTAGTAGTAGTAGTAGTAGTAGTAGTAGTAGTAGTAGTAGTAGTAGTTTTATCATTATTATTATCTTTGTTATAATTATCATGTAATCATGATTCACCATTATAAAAGGTAATACTAAGTTTTGGTATGGGGTCATGAATTTGGTTCAAATGAACATATTGGAAGCATATGCGATCCTACAAAACTCAGTGATCGTTGTCGCGGTTGAAATCGAGTCTAAAGTTATGAAGTTGTAAATAATACACTCTTTATGTAGTATATAGCTCCCTCTCAAGGTCAAGATATTAATTAAGCTATAAAACAATGTTTCTTGACTAAAATCGACCGGTTAGCTATTCCCGTTTGGAAACTATATATCACAACTACATATTCTGAGATTGTTGTACGGCCGTAGGCGCTATTTGAAATTTTATCACAATTTACCGGGAGCAATTTTTCTCGATAGCAGAACTGTTTTAGGGACTAAATTTTCTAGTGCTTATAATACATCTACAGGGGCATCCAAATATATCAAAATAGTAAAGAATCACACTCTTATTTCCACGGAGTCAAATTTCACTCTAAATGGCGTCAGCTGGGAGTCAACTCTATTCCTAGTTAAAGTGACACGGATTCCGAATCAATTTGACTCGGATTGTGTGGCATCAGCTGAGAATTGACTCAATTCAGAGTCAAGATGACTCCTTTTCCGTGTCACTTTAACTATAGGAATAGAGTTGACTCCCAGCTGACGCCATTCAGAGTGAAATTTGACTCCGTGGAAATAAGAGTGCACTGTCCACCCAATTTTTTACATTTCCCAAAACTTTGTTGTTGTCGTCAGCTCTATATCATACTTACTTCATTTAACAGCAGTCGAAAGAGGAGACATGTTTTAATGATATAAATCTCCTCTGAAATTAGTCATGTGGAACCATGAACTTTTAATCACTAATTAATATTTTTCCCAATTTCCAAATAAACTCTTTAGTAATTCTAAACGTACAAATGATAGGTTTTTACCATCTAAATATATATTTACTAATTTACTACACCTTCAAGTTGAACCCTATGTTTTCATATTACATTAAGTTTCAATCAAAAATACATAATATAAATAGAAGTGAACCATCACTCTCAAGTTAGCCTGGAACCAAGAACTTATCACTAACTAATATTTTGCCTAATTTAAAATAAACTCGGGCTCTTGTACAACCTATACTTACAAAGGATAGGTTTTGACCATAGAAATATATATTTACTACACTGTGGTTTTGACTCTCAATTAGCTCAACCCTATGTTTTCATATTACATTAAGTTTCAATCAACAATACACAATATAAATAGGAGTGAACCAGGGGAGGGTGGGGGGGGGGGGTGTTAATTCGGCGCTTAATATTTTCTTACGAATTTGGAAGAAACAAAAATTAGTGCTCCTTACCCTCCCCCCCCCCCCCCCCCCCCCCCCCCATGCAAACCCCGCTTATTCGCGGCTGGATGAAATGGAGTAACTCCATTTCATCCAGCCGGCGAATAAGCGCCAGCAGTTCGCGCCAGCGAAGATTTTTGGAATTGGTTATATCACTTATATTTTCCTATTTTCATTTGTCTTAATTTTTCAGGGCCGTATGCGGAATATTTTTCTGGTGGGGGAGGGGGAAAGATGCGTTAAAGTTTTCGAAGAATCTCAAAAGCAAAAGGAGTGAAGGGAGTTCGAGCGACCGAACTGGTCATTTGCATTTTCAAAAGTAGAATTGAAGGATTTGGTATAGGCTTACACTACATTTTCAGGAAAAAAAAATTGCCCGCCCCCCACTTTTTTTTGTATTGGAGGGCAAGTGCAAGTGCCCCCCCCCCCTGCCACCCAAATCCCGGCGCCTATGTATATACATACAGTAGTTACACCATAATCTTATAGGATCCCTTTCAGGCTTACACCTATTTGAATTTTCCTTTAAATTTCGACTGAACTTATGATATGCTTATTCATGTATATTTTGCATCCTAAAATGCTTTGATTACTTTATCAACATCATTTTGCATTACATAATTACAAATTAGTTTCATTTTGTATGCGATATTGCAAATGTCATTAGATATTCATATATTTGTTCATGTTTTGATTGAGTTATTGAAGTAAAATTATTTGAATTCAGTAGAATTATTCGAAAATTGAATTAAGTTGAATGAATCGAAAATTGAATTAATTACTACCGGTACTCAATTTCAAGACAAATATATAACAGCATAAGCAAACATGTATGATGGTGTTGAAACACATTTTTTCTAAATATATGTGTTAATTGTATGTTAAAATTAGTCATTTAGATTGCAAATCAAAGCAGTGGAGATATTTGTATAGATTTTTTTATGAAGGTTCTTTATGACCTTTATCATTCATATCAAGCGACTATTTAACCAGCAAAGAAATCTAATTTTAAGTTCTCTTTGAATTTGTAATTTAAAAATATCATTACAATTAGAAGCAGAGAGAAGTAGGATAAAAAGAGGAAGAAGGACTTATTTTTTCAATGTTTTCTTTTTCTTTTCTCTTTTTTTTCTGTTTTCCTTCCACCTTTCTTTTGTCCACTTTTTTTCTTTTATAACACTGTTTTGTATTTTATTCTGAATTTGATTCCTCTCGGATACCATACAAAATATGTAACCTTCAAAAATTTTAACAAACCGGATCGCGGAACGCAGCTCAGAACGAAAAAGCCCGACGAGTTTTATTCACATTTGTTAGAAAGTCAAGGTATGAAAGTTATTTTTCTTAGATGCATAATGAATATCATGTAGATTCAAAGCTTTAACATGCTCTATGAGATTTATGTTCCTTCCACTATGGCTGTGGGAGTACATTTGTTGTGTCAATTTTCATTTGTTCTGACTTCCATTCTGCAGCAGTGCACTTTTCGTTGTTGGGAATCGAGCGACGCCGCCGCACCATCGTACGCGGCTACGGCCACGGGAGGTGCCAGGCCAGGCCGCGCCGGGAGGCGGAGGCCGGGGGGGGGGGGGGGGGGGGGGGGTTGTATCATAAAACCATTCAAACGGTCAAACCAACTCCATCATGTCCATGATAGTAAGCAAATATAAATATCTGATTCTGCAGATAGTTTAGCTTCTTCAGCTAGATTTTACAAAGTGCAACATGCATATTATACAAATAACGCACGTCCCAGAGTGCAATAGCCAATAGCGGTGAATGCAGTACGCGCGAGGTTTCTTTAGATTGATGCCGCTCTGTGCAACGAGCCGCTTGCGGCGAGTTGACAGTGCGAACCATCTGAAGAAACCGAGCGTACACTGCATTTACGTTTCGCACAATTGGTCAAGTGCGTTAGACCTAGACTATTTGTTTTATAAAATAGCGACACAAATAGCAACAAACGAAACTTTAGATCTTAAGTTAGAGTCTACGAGAGTTCGATCTAGATCTAGTTAGGTTGGTTCTACTCTAGACTAAGACCTTGCAGGCTTACCAAAAAGTCAATGGGATTCATTGCCTTGATTAAAAATAAAATCCACAGAGGTCTACAGTGGGTCTCGAGACGAATCTACATCAGACAGCTGAAATTCCTGGCTTCATTATAAAATCCAAAAGTCAAAACAGGCCTAAATCCAAGGCAAAAGTAAAATAAAAATTTGCTTTTTATGTCTAGTAAGTCTATGCTAGAGCTAAGCTATGCGTACGTTGCGCTGGGGATCATGGTGGAGCGTACAATATTAGCTACGCGTAGCCTACAATAATTGCAATGCACTCGAGGGAGCGCGTACTACACGTACACTGGATCTCCATGGTCACGTGCAATATAACTTTTTGTTGCGCTTTTTCTGCACTCATTTCTGCAAAATCGTGCTTGCATCAAAAATTTGTCAATGTCATGTGACGCGTATTGACCAATCACGATACTTAAAATACTAGAGCCATTTTATAAACCGGTATATCTAGATCTACAGTCTAGACGTAGACCTGGGGGCCGTTTCTCGAAACCGTCATAACTACAAGATCAACGACATCTCGCCACTGTCACGCAACTTGTCAGCTAAGTGTTTCACGAAGCCGTCTTTGCCAAGATGAGCGACAACTTCCGCGACAAGCGAGTTGTCACTGCTCCGAACTTGTCATATTTTTTTAATTGCTGTAAACTAGCGCCATCACAAGTCAGTTTGTTGCCATTCCATGGGTCGCAAAATGGACGATTACTTTCACTATCATTTTGAGAAAAATATAGACGAGTTCGGTATGTAATTCTCTGGGATGCAAATTGCAAATGTACAAAAGTGAGAATACAAATTATACAGAAACTTTAAAAAGCTGAATATAAACATTGAATCACAAATCATTAAACTATAAGAGAGGTAAGAATGTTACACAGCGTTTTCCATAGTCGATCCATAGTCTTTTCTTAGGATACCGTCATACCTTTGGGGCCTATGTGCATTATTATTCCCTCTCTAATTACTTCTTCCAAATTATATTTTCAATATCAAATCAATTATATAACGAGTATTTATGAGACTCTAGAATAAAAACTGGCTGAGAAAAGACATTTTGCCTAAAATTCCTCGTCACAATAAACAAAAAAGTATGTATCTGATAAACTATCACATTACGGTATCCTTCAACTAACTTTTGATTCGACTGTAAAAAAAAAACACTCGCCGGTTTTTCTTCAATTTAAGAATCTTTACAGAAATATGCAAATTGTTTGATGATGTAAATATGATAATGACACTATTTATTATTTATTTTAGGAGAATTTATATGTATATATTTCTTTTTGATATTTCTTCATGACATCTCCGTAGGTCGCCGACAAAGATATGACTGTCAAACAAAGTTATTCTTGATAAATCAAATGGATCATGACAAAGACTATGTTCTTGAGCTGCTAGTAACGCGATATATCGATATCATGTCTGTCATGGCTTTGTGAAACGGTTTATCCGCTTCATGACATCTCCGTAGGTCGCCGACAAAGAAAGATATGACTGTCATGGAGTTGGTTTCGAGAAACGGCCCCCTAGTAGATCCACACATAGGAGCATCACTATCCTGGCTGTGTAGTAAAAGCGGTGCTTTTGATTCTCAACATTTCAAACACCACTGTACAAAACTCAACTGATTTCACCCAAAATCAGTACTTTAGTGACAATTGATGACACCTAAATAGCAGTAAACTACATTTTGTTTAACTTACTGATGTTAAAAAGAATAATTTTAAAATTCAAATTGTAAGTCTAGTGTCAAACTTTGCTTACAGCTGCATCGACATGATTGTGTACAGTCTATGCAAAATTGTGTGGTGTGTATATTTGTGTATAGGTATAATAATACCCGCCTCACAGCAAGCATGCAGTGCTAGAGGTCAACACGCTTTAGCATTGACTCTCTATGCTTTGCTGGAGTGAGTAGATCTAGACTACATGTAATACAGTCGATGCACGCTCATTTGACATTGACATTGACTTTGACATTTCGCGTAACCTACTTTGCTATGCGTATTCAATGGGCAAGGGTGGGCAAGTGGGGTAGCAGCAAAAAATTACTTTACAAAAGTACTATCTCAGGTAGATAGTAGACCTCGTTTAGACCAATCAGATTGCAAGATTCCTAGTATGCGGGATATAATCATAATTATCTTTGTATGCGAATTGCTGTACAAACTACTAAATTCACTGTTTGAAAAAGTAAAGAGAGTGGTAGCTCGAATGTCGAACTGATGCAAAATGCGTCATGCTGTGCGTTGGTCTTAAAAAGAGTGAAGGCCCTCCTGGTGATATGACAGCAACTGTTATTCGGTTAATGCCCGAATGGTGTTGAATTCCCCATGTCCTGAGACTGAGAGCCCACTACTAACTGTTTCTGCAACTCATTTATTGAATGACCAAGAAGAAAATGAAATAGACAATCAAAAAGAAAGTAGATCTACTCTTTGTCAATTTTTGTGTGCAGTTGTACATAGATCCATGTTGATCTTGGAATAGTACTTTCTTGCAGTCACACAAATTCATTTGGGAAAATGAAAACACATTTCAATGGGATGAGCTGTCAAACTTATTTTTATGATGGTCTCATGAAATGACCCTTATATTCTTATGATGGGTCTCATGAAATGACCCTCAAGAGACCAGTTTCACAGAACTATCAGACGGTACATGTACATCTACAGTAAGTTGTAGGACATTCCCAGGAAACAACCATTGAGAAGTAATGCACATGTTTCAATGGGATGTCCACAAACTTTAATAGACTGATGAAAGTTTCAGGAAACTGCCCCAGAAGTATTGTGGAATACTCTTTACTATGTAATTTGTTTCTTTCTTTCTATTCCTTTCCAGTCTATGTACATCGGCAAGCGCAGTCAAAGGTAATTGTGGCAGGTTGACACTATATCAAGAAGTGAATATCTTGTCTGACTTCTAGCCATGATACTAGAATACTGCCTTCTAGGTGCCAGTGCGGCTGCCACTGGACTGTTCTCAATTTTCTGGCACAAGAAGGCAAGGACTCTAGGGGAAGTCAAGGTGAGATAAGATGACATGTCAAGAGATGCTTTCACAATCTTTATTTCTCCCATTTTCTATCTTTTATCTATTTTGACTATGTTGATACATGTACAGGTGTAGCTACCAGTTCATGCTGTCATGCAATGTAATATTTGTGTCCCCTGCCAGAGTAATCATATGTGTAGCAGTCGGGCTCAATCAATTTCTAAGATTAAACAATCTTGAAAAAGAAATATCAAGAATTTTGAAAAAGATTTAGTTAGAACTCGTGCCTTTGTTTATTTAACAAAAAAAGCCTGGATCATAAACTTTGGATCATGTTACTTTGCTTTGCCAATTTGAGATAGAGATCTGTGGTAGTAAGTTTATTACTTTATTTCTCTTCAGTTGGTGGTTCACAATTATTATGATGTAAAGCCCTACTAGCATTAGCAAGATTCCATGCAACGTGTCCTCACTGTCCTGTACTGTATGATTTTTTACTTTAAAAAAAAATTGTTTCTTTATAAAATGTCACGATGATAGAATAGCGTCAGTAATACTACAAAAAAACATTATTCATAGTCCATATCAAGATATTCTCATTTTGAAATAAATAAATAAACAAAAGTCATATGTCTTTACAGCAGGGCTCCACACTTACATCTTTGGAAGGGGGTCTGGATTTCACTTTTCAGAGTCTTTATGCAGGAGCCCTATGTAAACAAACTTGACATTTTAGGGGGCTGGACCTAGATTTTGGGCGCCCATGTGTCTGGGTACCTGTTCGAGCCCTGCTTACAGGACATTGCACAGAATCACACATTTTAAGGCCTATCTGCACTAGTTTAGACAGGAGGGATTAGATCTCCCTGCATGGTCACTGGCAGGTGGTTATCTCATGAAATCAGCTCTCAATTAACAGGAAAAAAAGGGGATTATTGGGGACCGACGGGTACCGCTTAGGCATTGCTGGCTGTATAGAGGGCACAAGTAGATACAGGTGCAGTCCCGCTTTAAGCTGTAATTATACACTGGATCTGGAGGGCCTTGACTCTTATCCATTTTCTTCCTCAATTCTTGTGCAGGATGCCCCAGTGCTGGAGCTCAATGAAGACCTTGTCAATATGCTCAGCACTGCTCCTAATCAGACTCTCCCTTACGCTGTCATAGAGGGCAACATCAAAGCAGTGGAGCAGTCCATCAAGAGCGAGTATGTCGTAGGGGTCGTGGGGGTCATTCAGACGTTGCTCTGTAGAGAGCACAAGACAGAGTGGAGTAAATCAACAAGACTATGGTAAGTGCCATCTACCAGTGGTGTAGCGGGAAGGGTGGGGGACAAACAGAAATAAAAGAAAAGAAAAAATGGGAAACAGAGAGAAAAGGAAAATAAATATATAGAGAGAAAAAGGAACATGAGAAAAGAAGACTTCCAATCTTTCCCTTACTTTTCCCATCATGAGTGGTTGTATTGATTTGCATTTCATCTGCCAAGTAAGACCATTGCCTGCTGTTACACCGTTCTGTGCTTTGGTGTACAAGCACACAGCCAAGATATTTGGAGGCTTTTGCAAAGTAATGTGTCTTCAAGGATTGGGCTATTCTAATGACAAAGGGGAAAGGTATTCCAATAAAACTTGAACTTGAGTCACACAATGTGTGCATATAAATGAGGATGGTGGTGGTTATTTTACCTGACAGCTAAGAAGGCAATAAATGCTTGTTAGTAAGCAACAAGAAGACCGAAGGCTTTAGGTCGTCTCTGAGGGACCTGGTAATGAGGATTAATGCCTTACCAAAGGGCACTAGCGCGTCGCCTTGGTTTCGAACCCGGGTCACCGGATTATGAGACCACTGCGCTACCGACTGAGCTATGGCGCCTCCTCTATAGGACTATGAAAAAATCCAGTGAGATTCATGTGTGTCTGATCAGTTTGAGATAGTAATTGTGTAATGTCCCACTTTCTCTTCATACTTGGCTACAGGTACGACACAACCCGATTGATCAGGGACACCACAAAGCATGTCCCATTCGAGGTGACCCGTGGTAAAGTAGGTTTAGGTGTTGAAGATGCACTTGTGGCCACCGGCCTAGAACTTGAAACCATCCACGACAAGTTCTTTCCCTACAACACTTCGCTAGGAAACAACATCCTCAGTTGGGCCAGTGGGGAGAAGACAAAAGGCTTCCAAGAAATTGAGCGCATGCTTCCAGAGGGTGCTCTATTAACCGGAGTAGGAGAACTAGCCATTGTCAACGGTAAGATGATGTTGAGACCACCAACATCCGGATTAGACTACATACTTTCGTTGTCGGGACAGTCTGGCATTCTACGAGAGCTGCGTTCCAAACTGCGCAGGTGGAAAGTTCTAGTGGCTATTTGCGGATCGACAACGGTTGTCATGCTATGTATCGTCCTGTGGAAGTGGTTTAAGAGGTACCAGGAACAACGCAGCTACGACATGTACGTCCAGCGGGTCATACAGCAGCGGGCGGTGCAGTCGGAAGGCTCCGATGTGGACGATCTTCAGGGCAGATATCAAGACTTGGACTCCTGCGCGATCTGCCTCTCCAGACCCAGGGACTGTGTTCTCCTCAACTGCGGGCATGTATGTGCATGCTCGGAATGTGCAATCGTTCTTCAACCCCCGCAGTGTCCTATATGTAGAGACAGGATAGCTAGGATTGTACCACTTTATCATGCATGATGTCAGTTAATGTTCTAGTAATTGTAATGCTAAGTTTATGTATTCTGGACTCTGGAGCAATTACCTGTATAGACTGGGGCCAAATATGTTAAATCTCAGTCTTCTTTTATTTTGCACTTGTTAAATTTTGACAGGGTGTATTAATCTACATCTAGGGCTTTACTTCAGAATACTCCACCACACATTATAGTTACTTATGTGGCGGAGTATTATATAGTCGTTCCCAATAATCATTCATTAATTTATAAATTTTACCACCATTTATCCATTTTTACATCTCCTTTAAATCTCCTTTTCTGGTTGTCCAATCTCTTACCAAGTAGTGACAACTTAGAATGTCACCCTTTCTGATCCCAGTGTGTATTTATCAACTTTTCCGCAATGGCAGACAAATTATCTTGCCATTGTGTCTCAACTTTTCTTTTGTTGAGTTAAAACTGATCCTTTTGTCAATATCTGGAGTTCTTTCCAACTTGCAGTGCACTATAGGTATACTGTGTATTCATGTACATGTATGTACATGTATCTAAAGAAACCATTCATCTTTTGTCATATTTATTTTATTGGATAAGTATATGTTGTATAAGTACCAAGACGTCACAGAAACGGGCTACCTCATACAAGTAGGTGTTTTAAAAATAGATTTGAACAGAAAATATATATCTAGTCATGCTCACATTTTCTACTGTCTATTTGGATACATGTAGTAGTAGCATTTTAATGAAATTATTAACATTCATGCATATAACAAAGTGTTTAGTGTCACAGAGGTGTCGTGGACGAGTGGATATGTCACCGGACTGTGGATCACAAAGTCCGCGGTTCAAGTCCCACTGCGGCACTAATGTCCTTTGGCAAGACATTGATCTACATTTGCCACTCTCCAGTCTCCACCCAGGTGTTAAATGGGTACCCGGTAGGATGTGAAAGCTAATGTGCTTAGAGTAGCAAGTGTGCGCTTGTAAAAATGATGCCTGGCTGGTATGCTCCCCAGGGAGTGGAGAATGTGCGTACAGTTTGTGCAGGTAAGCCTGAATCTGATGACCGGGGTAATAATATATATCTGTACAGGTGTAAAGCGCTTTGAGAGGGCCTTCGATCCTGAAAAGCGCTATATAAGAAAAAGCTATTATTATTATTATTATGATTTATTGCTTCTCTGCCAGTAGGATACTCTGACAAATACCCTATCATATATTATGTATTTTATGAACTATGAAGTGGGTCCAAGTGGGTCCAGTCTGTAGATTAGGCTTGGACTGGGAATGAGACTAGGGCCCTGTTTCATCAAACTTGTTTTCAATCACAAATGATCAAATTCTATGACAAATTTGCTCTTAGCCAATCAGATGCCATGATTTCAGTAGCTTATAACAGTTATTATAACTTGTTATTGGTAACAAGTTTAATGAAACAGGGTCTTGGTCAATGGCTACTGATGTGCATGAGTGCAAAGAGCAAAGTCCCTTCCAGCCATGGTTCAGGGCTTGCATAAGGGGCCATGCAAATCTGAGGTTCTGCATACTCTCCAATCTCTGGTACAATCAAAGCCCTATTTGAACTTTTTATGATGACTTTTCTGACCAAGATAACATACAGAATCAAGAAATTTGTTATTATAAGCAAAAATCCAAGTTCCCTGGGCAAGTTTATCTGTGGGTGAGTAGCCGTAAGTGTAAGAAAAGGCTCAGAGGTGCAAATTTCATGCAATAGGTTTGTGATCATGTCCTGCAAAGAGGATTTTTAGCTGAGAAAAATGCCTTGGGAAATTGAATTTTTTGCTTTAAATTTCTTGATTCTGTATGATATAGACCAGGGCCTCATTTTTTAAAGAGTTGCGATTGATCCAAATCAATCACAAGTTTGCAGTCTCCTATCTCTGAAAATGTACATACCTAGTTGCGATTGATATCATTCGCTTAAAAGTTGCGATTAATCACAACTTTTTATAAGACGGGGCCCTTTTTATCCCATAGTAAAATAATACAGTGTAAATGGCTTTAGTAATTTCCTTTGATGCAAATATAGAGTAAATGAATATAAATTTTAGTCCTTTTCTTTGGTGTTTGGGGATGCAAGATTTCAGTATTTAATTAGGCCCTGGCAACTCCCCATTTCATGCTTTTTTGATGATTTGTACTGTGCCTTGTGTATACTTAGGGCTCACACATGTCTAGGTGTCTTTTCAGACTCATTGGATAAAAGCATTTAAACATATTAAAACTTGTATCCTTGTTGCAAATTAATATCGGTATGTAGCGAAGTCATGTACAATTGATTTCCTAATTTGCATCAATACTTTACATTTTGTTTAGTAAAAATTTGATCCCATGCACAGTAATAATGGCAATGATAATAATGATAATATGTCTTATTTACACAGGGTTGCCTCATCTTTAGTATTATGGTTCTCCCCGGGGGTCCTGCAATCGTATCATTAGTACCCCAGGCCCTGGCTTTGGCTGAGTTACCACGATAAGGTGCTCAAGCGGTCAAGGAATTTCTTTCTACCGGGTACCCACTGACTACACCTGGGTGGAGAGTTGCAAATGTAGATTAATAATTAAAAAAATGCTTTAATTCTACTAGTTTGCTCTCAAAATTCAGTGATTGTAACTTGTCCGGGGTGATGTTTTATGAAACCTAGAAATTTAACAAAACCTAGATTACATTGCCTAATAACCAAAGAAGAATTACAAAGTCTAGGAAACTCTTTTTATTCAAGAGTTTGAATTCAGTAATCTCTAATTTTGGAGATTGATTTGTAACCATGTTGTGTATAGATGTTTGTACATCATTTTCACCGATATTGAACATGTAACAGTCTAACGAAAGTGAAACAAATATGGATGTACATCTTTGAACTTTAAAAATGCATTATTTGTATTGTTGGGTCAGTTAGAAATTAAATAACAAGTGCCCTTTTATTCAGGTACTACTGTATTACAACATTGAAATTGAGAAAAAAAGAGTTGATAGGATGAGCACCGAGTACATTAACAGATAAAGTGTAATTAGTGAGGGTACAATAGAGAGATGGAGAGAGAGAGAGAGAGAGATCTGGAGTGACAAAAGAAAGAATGATAGAGTATTTGTGAGAGAAAGAAGAGAGAGAGAGAGAGAGAGAGAGAGAGAGAGAGAGTGTGAAGGAAAGAAAGAGATGGAGAGAGTGTACTGTGAAGATGCACATGTATATCAACAAAGAAAGGAAGAGTTGATAGGACGAATACCGGTACATTAAAAGATAAAGTGTGATTAGTGAGGGTACAATAGAGAGATGGAGAGAAAGAGAGAGAGAAAGAAAGAGAGAAAGAAAGAGAGGGAGTGTGAAGGAAAGAAAGAGATGGAGAGAGATTAAAACATAAGAGCTGATAGTTTGAGACAGAGCAGGAAATGATAAGATACATAATTATGTTGTAGAATGATGGTATATTTGGTAGTTCCAAAGAACTTAATATTATTGTACTTTCTAATCAAAGGTAACCTTTATGTTATTTAGCTTATGGACAAATTAGCTGTCAAAAATAATGAAAATATAAAAGCAGATTTACTTTTCAAAAATAACACAATGAGACCAAATATAAGAGGGCATAGGTAAAAATATAAAGAAATGTCCAGCTTTTATATACTATTTCTCACAAACTATACGGTAATTCATTTGAACTTGATGGCTATTTACAACTTAAAAATGAGACTTTTAGCAGCATTTGGTCTTTATAAAAAATTTATTCCACATATTGCATATAGGTTTTCAACACTTCATAGGCCTACATCCCAAAATGTTAACATATGTATATTCCATTCACAGCAATTACATCATAGGAAGAAATATTGATTGCATTGTTTCATAAGCCTTAACAATATAATCATTTTCTATTATCAAAATAACTGTATTTTCACAGCACTAGAATTCACCTTTATTATCTCTTAAAACCTGAATAATCAGCACCTTCATTATAAATATCAATTAACGAAATGCATGTAAATATACATGAAGCTGCTACATGACATGGAATCTACATTGTCTAAAAAAACACCAGAATCATTTAGAAATCTGATTTGAATCTATTGAATGGAGATGATACTGTTCTAAACAAAGAAGCAGAATTATCTGCTCAATTCAGTGCATATCAAAAAATGTAAAAGCTTCAAAGAAATGCTCCAGAGTTATAATTTCACTACGGTTCGCACTTTCAATAATTGCCTGATTTGCACTTTGATCCAATCCAAGACATCAACATTTTTTCAAAATATTTCCAAATTAGCCAATGCTCACTCAAACATGAAAATATTGTCAATATGTTTAGTTTCATCCATTTGGATAGACCCTCACCCATAATATCATGAAGAAAGATAATGCAGATATCTTGAACATACAATTTTTGAAGATGATTTCAAAGTGTGTACTTTTTATACACAGTATATTGGCCCCCACCACCACCCTGTACTTCTTTCTAGGCACCTTCAAAGCTTGAACAATAGGAGATCGAATCAAATCAAAACGCATTATGCTTTTCCCTTTATCATCTGAATTCCACAAAACATTGGAATTGGAATTGCAAACACATTGCAGCATCACATAGTACGATAGATATGATTTCACATCTTCTTAAATTTTGATTGGCATTACTCTAGTGATAAATAATGCATATTGTACCTGATCGGGATCACACAAAAATAAGTCAAACCAACATATGTGACATCATGAGCATGCTCTCTTCACAATAATTTTCTTGACTTTTACTACCATATATCGGGCATGAAACATTATTTAAAATGTGGAGTCAATTCACAGACAATTTATAATCGATGGCACAAAGAAGTAAACACAGTACACCCGAGTTGTAATGCTCACCTAATAATCACATCAATATGTTATCATCTAGGTGCACTCACAAAGCATCATGTGCTTTTCTTATACAAAATTACAATTACCCAACAATCTTTAAAAGTTGCAATAAATAAATGAAAAAGATGATATGAGGCTGTTTATAAATTGAGCTACACTAATAAGTGGAGCTCAGGTGAGGTAAAACATTTCCTTTAAAACAAAATAAGAGCATCTATGCCTTTTAAAATATTTTAAAACTATAAAAGTCGTACAAAGATCATAATTTTAACTCACATTGTAAACTAATGTCAATCAAGGTTAACTTCATGAAAGACTCGCAACTTCAATTTCACAAGGACACATTTCAGTTTTGAACTGTGTTGCCTCTTCCCATGTCATCATCACCATGCATCATCATCATCACCGTCATCATCATCATCATCATCATCATCATCATCATCATCACCACCACCACCACCACCACCATCATCATCATCATCATCATCATCATCATCATCATCATCATCATCATCATCATCATCATCATCATCATCATCATCATCATCACCATCATTCACCATCATCATCAGGCCTAAAAGAAAAGATGTTGTATTGCCCTTTAGGTGCCAAAACATGGGTCTGTCGGTCGGAAATCTTTTCTTTTTCTAAAACTTGTTTTCTTTTTTTACTCCCTCTTAGGGCTGATATTTTTCAGTTTTGAATGCTTTAATACATTTTTTCTCTAAAAAAAATGTTTAAAAAAAAAAAACCCCGTAAATTTCAAGATTTTTGGTTTGGTCGCAAAGGGCAATACAACTTTTTTTTTTTAGGCCTCATCATTATTATCTTAATCATCATCATCCTTATCAATTCACTATTAAATACTCCTGTATCCTGAATTCCATGACCCATATGCTAACACTACAAAACATTCTTATAACTAAAACCACAGTGATTTTGATACACACTGTGGAAACCATTGTGATTTTTCTCAATATCTTAAGGTTCATGGGATGAAAATCCACCCCACATGCATGATTTTCCTTGTCTCTGTGATTCTTAACTGAAGCTCAAAGTTCATGATTGCTGGGGCCCCGTTTCACAAAACTCAGTGACAAATCTGCTGATAACCAATCAGAAGCAAGGATTTCAGCAGCCTATAACAAAAACTGTCATTTGTCACTGATGACAAGTTTTGTGAAATGCCCCCCAGGTCTTAGCAACTAATGTACCATCGGCATTCATCAGTGCGGAGGGGGTTGCTTCTCAGATTCAGTTCCTATGACGACCCTCTCGACCTCATCTATATCGATGCCTTTTTCCAGGATGGCTTCCTGTAATACGAAATCAGAAGAGAGATGTTAAAAAATCAGGTTAGCATTGGAGGTAGACTTTGCTCTCTATAACAGGAATCTACAGTATAGATACAACAAATTTGCTCAAAGGCATTGTTTAACAATGTTTAACAATGTTAAATCTAAGATGCACAACCCTACGTGTTATCAGTGTCTGTGATATGGTATAATATTGAAGCCCTAAAAGAATTTTGCTTCAAATTATCAAGAAGTGCCTCAAAAAAGTAAAAAAAATCTCTGAGTAATCGGTTGTACCATTCTCATTTTCCCCAATAGACTGTAGTGTTATGAAAACCGTTAGCAAAACGCAAAATTTGGTTTCGATTTCCAATTATAAATATCTTGATAATCAGACAGGCGATTAGCTTGTAAAAGTCATGGGGTTCCTGACTGAGCTAAAGGATTATAATTATCATTGCAGCATGAGCTAAATCCAGGATTTTGTTTCAGAATCTGAGACAAAGTTACCGGATCCCTTTGATAATAATAATAATATCAGTGGATTCTTAGTGACATGTCTGTTACACTTGACGCTTCTGTTACTCTACTGTTAAATGGAATCATAGCTTCACAAAATACCCTGTCTTTTTCGCCGCCTCTGTGCGATTGGTTTGGGTTTATTGCCCCCCCCCCCGCCCACACACACCACACATACACACTGCTAAAGTATTGGGGGGGGGGGGTACATTCAATATGAATGAATTAGATGATGTTTTAAATATAAAATTCTAATAATAGAACAAGCAAAAAGTTCTAAATGAAATACGGTACACTTGCTGGCCGTGTTGAAAAGTAGAGACCATGTCAAAACAAGAATAAAGCCCTAGAAACGATCGGATGATTCAAAATAATTGTCAAAACTAGTGAGCCAACCTTGACACACTCCTGGTATTTCTTGAAGAGATCCCCACAAGCGTCTGTTGAGTCTCCTTTCAGGAACTTTTCACTGAACCATGAATTAAAGCATGCATCGTACGCTTGCTTCAGTCCTGTACAGTCTGGACTCAGGCTGTTCATTCTGAGGATTGTCTAGGAAAAAGATAAATTCCATTTGAAATAAATTACAATAAAGTAATAACAATAGATTGATGTTAAAACTATGAGTAGACTATACTTCAAGGGCTGTACACACCCAACATATTTTTGCCATAAATTTGGGAAATAGATCAGGTTTTTATAATTTGTTTAAATGTTGTTTCTTCAAATGAAAAAAGGCCAGAAACATCAAAACCCAGGATGGTCCACAAGGAATTGAAAATGACAGGTATAAAAATCGGCAGCTGGTTATTCCCGACATATTATTTATAAAGTTTGTTTGAAATACTTCAAAATAACAAAATAAAAACACACAACCTAAAGCCCTTAACCAAACCCTGGACCCCAATTGAAAGGAATTTTGTGGTTTGTAAATCTTGCATATACAATTTTACACTAACTTGCAATTTTACATGTTTGAATTTTTGTTTGTGGACCACTGTGATTTTTTAAATATTTTGTCTACTGACTATAGATCTAGAGGTCATGATGAACTTCTCATCATATATCACCTAAAATAAAGAGTATGGTAGAATACATAATCTTATAGATGTATTGAGTAAAGACTGACTCTAAAAATGTGTAAGAGAAGCTGATCTGAAGATGTTTTAGCGAATCCAGGAGGGGTGTGCACGCATCCCTCCTCTTTTCTTTAATTCATTGTCTTTACATTTCCTTTTTTGTTGTTGGTATATATAATTGGAGAGTCATTAAAGATCAAGAGAAACTTACTACATAATATAAGACAAATAAATATCAGAACATCAATCGTAACATACAATTTTTAAAAAGATGTAGGCCTAGCAGTAATGCAGGCAGCCAAAGAATCTACATCTATATAGTATATTCATCGACAATGCATTGGCAGTTGTGATCCGACTCATTGTCATAACCATACATCATTACATGATTGATTATAGCTTCCAAGGAGCTAAATTGGGAAAACTGTAACAAGTAACAAGTTATCTTTTTTCCTAATGCACCGTTAGCTTCTGGTGGACGATATATATTTCGACCAACATCAACATGCCATGGCGAAATCCATTTTCACTAAATGCATGCAAATGCAAGGACACAAAAGTTAACGAATGGGACTGTACTGAAATAAATAGGGGGAAATACAGGAGACATGGCATTGGTAACTGTAATTTAAGTGAATTGATACTATATATGCTCATATGACTTACCTATAATCAGGACTAGATTCTAATGACTTTTAAAAAGCACAGGGTTCAGATTTACTAGTTTTAGAAGTTCACTCTTTGATGTGCAGTCAACCCACAATGGTTAAGGTACATTCAATGAAGTAAATGAAAAGGGAAAAAATAGTTCACATTGTTTTCATGCAGACTAATTATGGTTGACTTGGTGTGATGAAGTCATTGAATTAGTTTCAACCTGTTAAAGAAAATCATAATAATTTCCTTGGGTTAACAGCCTGAGATGTATGATAGTATAAAAAGTGAGCAACTATAGAAGGAATATCTGCACCTGCAGAAATACCAAACTTGGACAAATCGAATCAAATCAAAATTGTTCGCTTGCTAGCTTAGTTTGCAATATTTTGAATAAATGTTTTATTAATGTTCTTCGTTTTGATCTCTTTGATTTAATAATTTCCCTCATTTTTATCTCTTTGATTTATTTGTCTGACAGATTGCTTTACAGTAGTGCCTTGTATATTTTGAACACATGATATGTTTTTCGTTCAACTACATTTTTGAAAATATATATTTGTTTGAAGTTTTTATCCCGGGGCTTTAAAATCATTTCCCCCAATAGATTACTCTTAAAATGGAATTACCCTTCAGAGAAAATAAGTACATTATTTGGATGTTTATTTGGAACATGGGACAGATATAGGAACGATATAGCTTTCAACACAAAGCATAACCATGGGACTATACACTGTAAAAAAGAATTTGTTCATTGGTAATTTTTACGTATTTTTTCTATGTAGAATTTACTTGAAAACATTAGTTTTGCCACTCACGCACTAAATTTAAGTCTTGCTAACTCAAACTTTCAATTTAGTAGAACATACGTGGAATATTTAAGTAAAATCAAATACATAAGAACTTTAAGTAATTTCAGCTTGTATTAATTTAGTAATTTTAACTCAAAATCAGAAATTATACGTATATGCAATTTATGTTGATTATTCTTATCTTTTTAAAGTAAGGACCGATGCAGTGCGTAATAGAAATATTTACATAATTTATGAATATTCATTAAGACCAAATTAAACTCATTTTTAAATAAAACAATTCTTTTTTGTGGTTGAATGAAAATTTAAGGACTTTAAAACATTTACTAATTCATTTAACATGGCTAAGCAAAGACAAGACAATTTTTAATTGTTACCCAGTTCAAAACAAATCAAAACTTGATATTTCAGGACATTGTCAACCAATTTTCCTTTTAAGATGCTACGATCAAGTATATATAAAATTTGGAGCCTTTCAATATGTGTCGAATTGAAGCGTATGTAATAGTTTGTGATGGTGGTAGATATATATATATATATATATATATACGGTTAAACCTTAAATAGAAGTAGTGAATGATTAGTGGATGTTACTTTTTAGATTAGATGGGCACCAAATCGTGCAATATGTAATCCTATCATAGCTTTTTTTTAATTATCTAAAATGATTACAATACTTAAATTATTTACGTTAATGTAACTCGATTTAACTGAGTAAAAATTTATTCAGCAAAATAAGTAAATTCTATTTAAGATGCCGCAAGTAATATTTACTTAATGAAAATAAGGCAATTCTTTTCCTCAATTTTATTGAGTTATTTCGACTATTATTTTTTTACAGTGTACCGTGTGAGTCAAAAAAAAGTTTACACCTAGAAAATTGCTAATTATTTTAAAAATCATTCATGAACAGTAAATTATTATACATCTTATGAAAGAGTGTTTTATCCAAATCATTTGGTATCATTTTTGTGTGGTATGTGTTCACGCTTGGATGGACATGAGGCATTGTTTGCGAGAGTGCAAAATTCGACTTGAGCCAAAGTGATGCCTACAGCATGTATTATGTTGGGATTAGCGGAGTGATAGAATGAATTTAATGTATCAAATGAAATGCAATTGCATATGCTTTTTGCAGAAGCAAAGTCACACATACACACACACACACACACACGCGCGCGCACAAAATGTTCGTTGATATTTGATATTCGATATTTAGAATGTGTAGCATGATTATTTTGTTAGGGAGGTTATTTGGATCTGCAAAGACCAAATTAATACCCAAATCCCAATTGTTTTATTCAAACATCACACAAGCAATTTTGGCGCAAATCGACTTTTGCACTCTCGAAAACAATGCCTATTGTTCATCCAAGCGTGAACACATACCACACGAAAATGATACCAAATGATTTGGGATAAAAAAACTCTTTCATAAGATGTATAATAATTTACTGTTCAAAGATGAATTTTTGACTCACACTGTATGATTGTGTTATAAACGTGATATTTTCCATATCAACAGTAAGAGCAACTTTTAAAACAACTTTTCCATTCTTGATCCGATTTTTTTTTCAACCAACTTTAACTGATATGCTTTTACATAAGTTAATTCAATTCAATTCAATTTCGATTTTATTGGCAAAATAGCACATAGCAAAGGCCAGAAAACCAATGCTACATATATTTAGCAATAAAAGATTACTATTCGCATATAATTTACTGCATTGCATAATTATGGATTTACCATTCTGAGCATTAATTGGATATTGGTAAACATGACAATAAAATAGAAAAGAACATCTAGACCTAATATTAGATTGAGAAGCGCTCACTTGTTTTTATTGTTCTCTGGCAAACGCGTTTCGTTTGCATTTAACTATAGACCTATTTCCTCACCATTTATACAGATATAAGTCATCATAATTATTGTTAATTTTAAAACTCAGCTTTCTTTGATTAAAAAGTGCATACATAACTGAAATTACAGCTTCGGTGCCACTTTCCCTTTTACGATTTTTTTTTGGTATTCAGCCAAAGAAGAATATATCGGAAAGCCCGACACTCCATCCCAACCCTCCCCGCTCTCCATCCCAGCCCCCCCCCCCCCCACTCAGTGTTAATTAGGGTACACGTATGCAGGGGCGTACGCAGGATTTTTTCAAGGGGGGGGGGGTTTAAAATATTTTGCTCCCGAAAATTTGAAAATTGCGCCGGCCGAAAAGTCGCTCAGTGGGGGGGGGGGGGGGGGGGGGGGGGGGGGGGGGGGGGGGGGGGGGGGGGGGGTAAGCGGACACATTTTTTTTTTTTGGTCTCGAAATTTCATAATTTGACATTTTTTGTCGTCGGGGGGGGGGGGGTAAGGTCACCTTATTTAGGTTAGCCGTGGGTATAATTATTATTATTATTTTTTTTTTTTTTTTTAAATAATAAAAAAAACAAAAAAAAACAAAGGGGGGGTTTTAGGTTTTTTTAGGGGGGTTTACATACATAAAAATACCAAAGGGGGGGGGGGGTTTGAACCCCCAAACCCCCCCCCCCCTGCGTACGCCCCTGCACGTATGCATGTTCCCTCCCTTTGAAAGCACCCCCTACGCCCGGTGTGTGAAGTCAATACGAGCCGGGGGGGGGGGGGGGGGGGGGGGGGGGGGTAAGCGGACACACTTTTTTTTTTTGGTCTCGAAATTTCATAATTTGACATTTTTTGTCGTTGGGGGGGGGGGGGGTAAGGTCACCTTATTTAGGTTAGCCGTGGGTATAATTATTATTATTATTATTATTTTTTTTTTTTAAATAATAAAAAAAAACAAAAAAACAAAGGGGGGGTTTTAGGTTTTTTTTAGGGGGGTTTACATACACAAAAATACCAAAGGGGGGGGGGGGTTTGAACCCCCAAAACCCCCCCCCCCCCCCCCCCCCCCCCCCCCCCCCTGCGTACGCCCCTGCACGTATGCATGTTCCCTCCCTTTGAAAGCACCCCCTACGCCCGGTGTGTGAAGTCAATACGAGCCGGATTTTTGTGTACTACGAGCCGGACTTTGGTGCATGAAAAGTACCCCTTTACCGGACATTTTGGGAACACGAATGCGGTCCCTCCGACCCCGGAGAGGGCGGGGATGGGGGTCTTCACTGGCCCACGCCGGCCCCCTCCCCCATCACTACGTGCACACCCTACACCAATCCATGATGTGCACTAAGTGCGAGAATATACAGAAGACCAATTACACAACAAAAATATGTGCCTTGGAAAGACTAATACAAATCCGGTTTTAGTTTCAGTAAATAAATATTCGATATTACCTCGCTTCCCTAAAAACCCTTTCATTTGAAACTAAAAATACCCCATTTATTCAGGGGAAGTGATAGGCTGATAGGGTCGTAGAATGATGGCGCCAGGAGCGATAAATTTGAGCCAGTCCCCCCCCCCCCGATTCCCAAGCCTGCATGTCCAAACTGCAGGCTTACAAGCGAGTGACAGATCCTGTTCTCCAGAAATAACTCTTCTTTCGGTTTAAAAAAAAGGGGGAAAGGGAAAAGTTGCAATGCGGAACTTAAAGCTGTACTTCAGTTATACACTACATAAGCAGGGTAGATACGGCACTCCAAAAATAAAAATGCTACAAATATTAGGCTCAATATCTTTCGATACCAAACTGTAATTGAGGGTAGGCGGAGCGATTTAAAAACAAAAACGGGGGGCACTGACAAAAAGGGCAATTTTGGGAGGCGCGCCGCCTCTGTGCGATTGGTTTGGGTTTATTGCCCCCCCCCCCCCCGCCCACACACACCACACATCCACACTGCTGAAGTATTGGGGGGCAATACGCATTTAACCGAAACCGAGAAGTGCTTTTGACGGAAATCTGGTTTCCTAATAGGTCGCAGCCATTTTCAAGAAGCCCACATTATAAACGCAATAATAATTTCATGCGACAAAGGATAAATCCGGAAGTTGACTGTAAAAAAAAAAAAAGAAAAAAAGAAAGAAATGATTCCCGCAGTTTCCTTAGGCCTATACTGCATACATCCCATTGTTCACATAATAATAATCTATGATTTTTATCAATAAATTCCTAGATGTGTTATTAGCCGCTGTGGCGAGTGGAAGGGGAGGGGGGGGGGCATGCACTACTACAAAATGGCGAAAAATATTTTCTAAAATGAAGATATCTTTTTTTAAAGAAGAAAAAAAGAGATTGAAGAGGAAGAGAGAAAGGAATCACATGTGCAAAATACGCAACGGCCTCTACCTACACAATTCTTGATAATAATAATAGGGCCTATAATATATATATATACAGTATATATACTGGCCATCTTACTTCGCATTTAATCGACAGTACAAGTAAGACCAGTTCCTCCTCCCCTCCCCTCCCCCCCCCCCCCCCCCCGCATCAATGAATTTACCCAGGCTACGTACGCCACAATATTACTTGTTAATCACTGTTATCATAATAATGCATTTTGACCAGGAAATGGAATTGAGAACAGTTTTTAAAAAAATGATCCATTTGCAATATCTATTATATACTCAAATTTTGACCAGGAAATGGAATTGAGAACAGTTTTAAAAAAAATGATCCATTTGCAATATCTATTATATACTCGAATGCCTGATTGGCGTGGTCTCTGTTGACTGACCTATTGACACATAATCGTGTTTTCAGATTTCGGCTGAAGAAAGAAAAAAATTCCCCTTTTGGGGAAGTGCACTGAGGTGACACACGCTTCGTATAATTGCACTGCAAATACAGTATTTGGGTTTCACTCGTACTTCTCCTTGCATGACACCAGTATCGGGATTTTGCCATAGCTGCGATATAAAAACGGTCGACTGTCCATACAAAAAAAAAGAGTATTATCATTTGTATGCACATGGAGGTGTTCCGGTAGCTTGTTGATTGTACCACTACAGACTACAGTGTGGACGTCAACCTCGAAATCAATATTAGTTTATAGGCCTTGTAATAGTTATTCGACTTTTCCACATGATCTTCTCAAACGGATATTAATGTGCCTAATATTTGTTTGTGTCTAGACATGAAATGAGGGTATTTTCGTTCGTGGTATCAACGCCTTTGGAAAAATTTACATGCAACGAGTCATGGGAATGCATGTAGCTACAATATCAAAAGACATTGCTGAGATCCATGTTCTTCATCAGTTAGCATTTGGAAATCAGTTGAAAGTATAATGGGAGAGTAAAAATGAAGTCAGTATAAGGATTACAAGACGTGTTACCTTCAGGTACCATGGGGGCCTCTTGGCATAAAGAGAAAAACAGGCAAACTGACATAATTCTTAGGAAATTAAGCCCGAGGCGCAGACAGAATTATGATAGGTACACCAAAGACGAAAGTGGCAAACCCGTGGTCATTGAACTCAACGAGGAGGAAGAAAGAGAACGAATGAAGAGTATCGTCGTTCCTGACGGCGATTTCCTCCTCTACTGGCTGACGGTGGTCAGCGTCGCTGTGGTGTATAACCTCTGGGCGTTGATCGCCCGCGAGGCCTGGCCTGCGCTTCAAGAGAAAAGCCGTGTCGGCTGGTTCCTTGCGGATTACTTCTGTGACTTCATCTACATTCTGGACATGGCGGTCCAGGGCCGTACGGCGTACTTGAAACACGGTCTCCATGTCCTAGACGGACAGAAACTCTTGAGACATTATGTCAGATCATGGCAGGGCGTGGTTGATCTCCTCTCCCTCCTCCCCACCGATCTCTTCTACCTCCTTGATACCAAACGTCTGCATCCGATCGTGAGATGTCCGAGGTTACTTCGGGTCTACAGGTTCCATCTCTGGTATGTGAAAGTAGAGAGCAGGATCCAGTTCCCGAATGTCTTCCGAGTCTTCAATCATATTCACGTGCTGTTGTTGGGCCTCCATTGGACGGGTGCAGTTTATTATCTCATCAGTAAAGCTATTGCGGGGACTTCACCCACATTTAATGATTGGGTATACTCAGAACCCTTCGGGAGGAATGCCTCATTAGCTCATAAATACCTTGCTTCATTCTACTGGTCAACGTTAACATTGACCACGATCGGTGACCTCCCGCCTCCTGAAAACGAAATTGAGTGAGTAAAAGTCCCAGCTAGTTTAATAGTTATCAGCTAGTCTAACTCCTTTTCTTCTTTTTTTCTTCAACTTTTGTATATTCTTCCACAAATAACGGAAAATAGATGAAAAATTAACCTGAAATTGAAAGAATGATATTGAATTAAATTGTGACCGCCATATAAATAATAAAAAAATATTTGTTCGCACATGTAGAAAATAAAGAATTCTTCTGCAACAACTTCTGTTCGGAGCCAACATTTAAACAATCACAAGAACATTGATTGAAAAAATGAAACGAAAAATCTCTCAAATTATCATTATAACCATTAACTAATGATAGTGTGACATATTCATAAATAAACAAATGAAAATAAATAAATTCAAAAAAGCATGTAAATTCTTCTCAGTCTGAACTTTGTTTATCTGAACTGGCTGGTATAGGAAATTGATCATACATGGAATTCTTTTAAATTTGGTACATACGTTACCCACTCTCGGTGTATATACTCGACTTTCCTCTTCTTTTAAACTTTGCAACGTTTAACATGAAATTATGAACAGATTTATCAATGTATCACGAATCCTTGCTATATTCCTGCATATCTTTTGTCACTCCTGTACATTTTGTTTTCATCTCATTTTATGTTGTTATAAATCCATTCCTTCGCAAAGAAACATGCAATAACCAAATGTATGTGCTCGTTTTTATTCATATTATCATATATATATCAATATCTATATGTTATTTGTCTGTTGGTGTTCGTTATTTCAGGTATTTCGTGCAAATTGTTGGTTATCTGGTCGGCATATTCATTTTCGCTACCGTTGTCGGTAAGATCTTATATTTGCTAACTAGTTTCAGTTTTCTCCCCATTTTTACTTTGATTACAAGTTTTCCCGTGCATATAGTCATGCCATGATAGAGCGTCAGGAAAGGGAGAGGGACAAGGGCAATCTCCTCCCTAAAAAATGAATTTAGTTTTATTCAGCACAGCCGTTCAAGCTGCCCTGCCTATAGGGACTGATCCGGGAATTATAAAGGGTGGGGGCGCAAATCAGAAAAATTACACATTGAGGAGGCATTTTTATTGTTGTTGTTGTTGTGTACTTAAGGTATAATAATTGTGTTTGAAAGGAGGGATAGGCGGGTTTGTTTGCCCCACAGATTCACCACTTGATATCTAAACATGTGTTACATATACTAATACTGACAAATGGACTTTCTGATAGAGAGGCAACCTAGTAAATAAAATCAACTCAAATAGAGTTTGGTCTGTTTTTTAATTTTTTTTATTACCTGACTGCTAATAAAGTATGTGTATGCTCCTAAGTAAGCAACCATGGGTCCTACGGCTTTAAGTCCTCTCTGAGGGACTTGGTAATAAGAATAAACATGCCTTACCAAAAAGCTATAGTGCACCGATTTGTTTTCTAACCCGGGATTTTCTGGTTGTGAGATCACTACTCTACCACTGAACCATCTCACATCCTGTATATCAAATCACAATCGAAGTCATTAGTATACATCAATCATACTCGTATTATTGATCCAAAATAACAGGGCAAGTTGGTGCAGTCATCGCGAATCGAAATGCTACGCGGATGGACTTCGAGCGGCAAGTTGTAAGTCAACATTTGTTAGCTTTTTGTTTCGTTTTTTCCACTTAGTTTTGGTCATGCTAAAGCACGGGTGGCCAACCCGCGGCCCGCGGAGCAGTGAAAAAATACTTATAAAAAACATCATAAAAGTAATGCAGCCGCATATAGCAGCGATGAAATAGGGTAAAAAATGTACACGCAGCTATCTCTAATATTTCCATAATTTGTTTTCATCATTCACAACATATTGACTCGATACCTGGTGGTACACGGACTCCTCAAATTTCCTCTCATTACAATATATTAGCGACATTAATACCCGCATTAATATCACTCGCCGTGTAAATTTCAGTTTGTAATTTCCGCACGCAGTAACAACTGTTGCGAATCGAGAAATAATGTTTGAAATGCCATACTTTTCTTCAAGTTCAGACTTACAACTCTTTTCTCCCGCCGTAGAATTTTATCATGAATCTTAATCGTAAACTAAATAATCAGTCCCCTCCCCTCTACACCGCGGCCGTTCAATTAGATGTACATACAAGTAATACTTTTAGGATCATATTCTTTCTGCTGTGTCCTTGATTTGATTGAAATAACAACCAACATGGCAACGACTTCGAGACCTGCGAAGAAAAGGAGAGTTTCTGATGAAGGCATAAACTTTAAATCAGATTGGTCTCTGAAGTATTTCTTCATAGACGAGAAAGGTGAACCACTTTGCCCCATTTTTCACCAGAGTATGTAATGGAGGTTAACAACATAGTAGAAAAGCGCAAGCCACAGAAATCACACTAAAAATAAGCCTGATTTGTTTTTCTCACTGATTATGTTGTTTGCTTGTTTGTTTTTGCAAAATTTCAGGTGTGTACACGTATTGCATGAGTGTGTGTGTGTGTGTGGGGGGGGGGGGGGGGAGACTATCTATGGCCTGCCAAGTTATGCCAATCGTTAGCTGTGGCCCGCGAGCTTTACAAGGTTGGCCATCCGTGTGCTAAAGTAAGAAAGTTTCTCGCAATAGTCATCTAATGAAATAATGACTAAACTTTTTTTTAGACAGGGGTCGTAAACAATTGTATGTGTTTTTAAAAGACTACTACAGTTCCGATAAGACAGTATGTATATTTTTAGACAACCAATTTCATTGACACCTCATTTTGTGTTCTTATTACCATTGTAAAGAGCAGTGTTTTTTTTCCTTTTGGATGATTCTTGTCAACAATTTGTGAATAATTACGTTACATTCTTGTACAAATTTTGTTTTGTACTTTAAAGGATAGAAAAGGGCAAACGTGGAATGTGGAAAATAAAAATGAACTGAACTGAAATTTGTTACTTTGGCCATTGGTTTGTTTGTACGTATGTTTGTTTGTGTTTTTTTGCTTGTCCGCTTGTTTGATTTCTTTCGAGTAATCGTGTAATAATGGTTTTAAATGTTCATTATTGACCCCTGCCAGGATCATGCTAAGCGGTACATGCGAAGAAACAATGTTCCAAGGCCACTGCAGTTACGGGTTCTGCGGTGGTATGACTATACGTGGGCACGGTAAGTTATATTGCATGGCGGAAGGAGGAAGAGGAATACAAATAGCAACAATAAGTATTTCTTGTAAAGCGCTTTTTATTCCCAGTTACAACGTATAACCGATCACACCGCTTACAGTTGTATTACCCCGGTCACTTGATTCTGTTCCGATTCTGCACTGAAAAGTTTGAATGTGACCAAAAGTTTTAATGGATGATCATCAGCCCATGTATAATAATCATAATAGTAATAATAATAAACATAACATTAATAATAATAATCATTACTGTGAGGTGGTCGAGAACTCAAAATCAATGACAGACAGATCCTGTGAGAGGGCCAAGCAAAGAGTCTTTATTAGTAGTAACCAGTAACAGACACATTACATATCACTAATGCCGATAATCATGGAGATCATGCATTCCCCAAAACAAGTCATGTTATCAAATATTAAACGAGTAAATTTGCCCTTTAAAAACCAATTGCCACAGTACAATGTAGCTGAAACTCTCAACATTAACACAGGTAAATACCTGACCCAAATACTTAAACAACTGGAAGTAACAGTCAATATAAACCTCATATAAAGCAATACATTCACATATTTGGATAAACCAACACACCAAGCTAGGTTTAATAACCTTATCATGTGACCTCAATATCACTACTTAATTCTTGTTCAATAAACTATACCTTTAACTTGTACATTGTAATATTAAGACAATGCACATCGTCGTCGCTCTATCACTCATTGCTAAATTATGTTCAATGTGTCCAGGCTAACTATTATCGTTCCACGACTATTATTCAGTGAACAGCACACCTTCTAAAGCTATACAAGTTCTTGACGTACAGATCTACTTGAAGCAATGTTCTGTCATCACCTTGTTATGCACATCGTCGTCGCTCTATCACTCATTGCTAAATTATGTTCAATGTGTCCAGGCTAACTATTATCGTTCCACGACTATTATTCAGTGAACAGCACACCTTCTAAAGCTATACAATTAAGTTCTTGACGTACAGATCTACTTGAAGCAATGTTCTGTCATCACCTTGTCATGCACATCGTCGTCGCTCTATCACTCATTGCTAAATTATGTTCAATGTGTCCAGGCTAACTATTATCGTTCCACGACTATTATTCAATGAACAGCACTCCTTCTAAAACTATACGAGTTCTTGACGTACATATCTACTTGACTCTTTGCGAGGTCTTCCGGACATGCACCCTCGTCGATGATGTTGCTGTTGCACACGCCGCCGTCCACTTGGGTTCGAATCCCATCCTTCGGTCGCCAGTTGTGAGGTGGTCGAGAACTCAAAATCAATGACAGACAGATCCTGTGAGAGGGCCAAGCAAAGAGTCTTTATTAGTAGTAACCAGTAACAGACACATTACATATCACTAATGCCGATAATCATGGAGATCATGCATTCCCCAAAACAAGTCATGTTATCAAATATTAAACGAGTAAATTTGCCCTTTAAAAACCAATTGCCACAGTACAATGTAGCTGAAACTCTCAACATTAACACAGGTAAATACCTGACCCAAATACTTAAACAACTGGAAGTAACAGTCAATATAAACCTCATATAAAGCAATACATTCACATATTTGGATAAACCAACACACCAAGCTAGGTTTAATAACCTTATCATGTGACCTCAATATCACTACTTAATTCTTGTTCAATAAACTATACCTTTAACTTGTACATTGTAATATTAAGACAATGCAAATATCCTAATAACATAAACTTAAATAGGGCTATCCTGGTTCCCCCTTTTCACAGTAAGCACATATTAAAGAATGAATAATGAAACTAACAATATATCATAATAATGGAACAAAGACAAAATATCTCTGCTTTTAAATATCACAAGAATATCCCAAGTCCTGAAACATTGATAAATCCTGGAAACTATAAATCTCCTTATATCTGCATCAAATACAACTTTCATCAACCAATCCAATTCAAATATTTATCTTCCATACTTTTCTTGCTTCCAAACAAACTCCAACAATCTCCTGGTCTAACCCTAAACATTGCTCTTACTCCTATTATTCCATCTCAATTTATAACAATATTCTTTTATAGCAATCTGCAAAATGAGAAATAAGGTTTACAATGATAGAGGGCGCTAGAAACCCTAAAATACATAGTCAGACAAAGTTCGATCTTCACTGTTTGAAGTGCCATAATTAATATCCCCTAGCTTAGCAACCAAAATACAAACAACATGCAATACTTTTAAACACTCAACTTCTATTATAAGCACTTCTTTTCTATGCTCCCTACCGTTCTTACTGACCTCATTCCTAAACCAAGACTTATACTCATCACATCAATTAGAGCGTACCCTGGTCCTGGTCCTGGCTCTGGGACTAGGCACAACATTAGCGCGCACGCACTACACCCAATTTTGGTACCGCGCGTTCAACTTATTAGTGTACATAACCATGTACTACAATGTAAATGCATATAACAAATCAAAGCGCTAAGCATCACACAGTTTAACATTAAATCCTCGTCTCCAATATAATCATATCAACCCACATGATACATCAAAATAACTACTGAAATCGTTCTGACACAATACACATATATGTACATAACAAATCTCTAGCATAACAATATTAATATTTACTAAACATAACAGTGGTTCAAGTTTGGTCAACTCACCTGTGAGAGGGCCAAGCAAAGAGTGCCGGCTTGTCTCAGCACTCCGCCCTCTACAGGTCACATGGTAATTTCCTAACCCCTTACATCCTTCCCCACTTAAAACGTCATCGCCCTCGATGACCGAAGGAACAATATTTAAACCATCAACTACCAACAAACGTATAACACATAATAACCTTGCCACTAAGGTAGCACGTGGCGACATAACATGCACCTATATTAAACTGCATCATTACCTGTATCTTTCCACTACATAGCGGTCCCTTTAAGTGTCATTGTGCAAGCTCGCAAAAACACAGTATACACTATAAATACATATATACAAAAATCGTATGCAATATCTTATCGCATATCTTTCTTCTTTGTAAATATCAAAAACCAAAAATAAAATTTGTTGCTAAAAGTCACATCCCGTCTCTAAACAAAAACACAATCCTCTATAACGCTATCAATCAAAACTATAAGACCAAAATATAGCAAAATGACTAAAATTCAATCAGGGGCCCTTGCTATCGGCCTAGCAGTTCGTAGTTCTGACTGATGTTGCTGGACATACGACTTGACGTTTCTCTGACGCCCTGGTTGTCCTTCCCCACTTAGGACCAGACCATGGGGAAGCCTTCCATTTCTCCCGGACATCAAGTAGAAGGGTTCAACACCAGTACTCGCATGGACAGTGCTGTTGTAACGATTCCAGCGTCGCTTCTTGCTCTCAGGCAGAGATCCCAGCATGTTGTACAGAGTGTGGTTCAGGCGCTCATACTGACCACGAGCTGAAAACACTTCGCGATGTTTCTCCGGAAGACCCTCTAGATCTGTGCGTTCTCCAAGATACGAACTCGTCCAGTCCACATCAACCGGATTCTCATGATTCTCGACCGACAGTTCATCTTGCTCCATCTCTCGCACGACTGACGCTTTGCCGCAAAGGGCACCCAGTTGGACAGCCTTTGGGATCACAATCTCATCTTCCTTATCGCGAATTACGATGGGGGATGCCTCCTGATCTATCTGAACGAAACATGGCTGGATATCTAGTCCTACCGGCAAGGCGCCACATTCTCTCGGCTCCAGAAGCACTTCAAATGGTCCCTCACTCGCTCCAGCTGCACCTCGTGCCTCAAGCACCACTGCCTGACGTGCAGATATCGCAACACTTCCCTCCCGTCTGAGACGGGCCGTTTCGTTTCGTGGCGTCTGTTCCACAGGGATCGAAGATGGGGCAATTGGTGGTCCTTCTGGTGGCGGCATCCATACCCCCGGGTTGGGCAAAGGTACTGGTAAGGGTCCGGTCTGCTGTACCCAGCCGCCAGGTGGTTGCCCATAAGGTTGCCCAGGATGAGATGCCCACCCATCGGGATGGGGAAACGGTGGCGGTGCAGATGGCCCCCCTCTCGGTGCCCAACGTCTATATTGCTCTGTATACTGGGGGCCCTGTTCCCTGTCTTGACGAGCCCTGGTATATTGAAGTCCTTGTCTCTTATGTGGACATTCCCGAGCATAATGTCCCCAACCGCTACAATTGAAGCATTGTACATTCTCTGCATTGCGAGTCAAGGGTGGTTTCAGCGATGTTGCTAGGTCGCTAACTGCTCCGACGACTCGATCGGCCAGTTCCTTTACTGCCCGCATCATCTCTACTACATCTGGCCGGTTCGTCTGTGTTTGTAGCTGTGACTGGAGGGCCGTCTGGTGCACTGTTCCTGTGGAACTCTTGAAACGGGCCTCCTCCCGCTGCTCCCTCCTAATGGCAACCTCCCTGAGTTCCCGGAATTGAACTGATGTTCCCCCCTCATACCTATCTTGGAGGGTGTTCCTAAGGTATCGGTCGCCGATTCCCTCGATAAACTGCTCAGCTAGGGTGGCTTCTGGTTCCGAATATAGTCGGCCTCTCCAGCTCGTGAGGCGGAGAAAACGGTTTTCAAGGTCCAACGCGAAATCTCTGACGCTTTCTCCTTTTTGCTGCTTCCTCTCCAGGAATAGTCGTTGGAGCTCCCCCACCGGAACATGGTCCGCATACGAGTCCTGAATGTACGAGAGGATATCTGCGATGCCTTTCCCCTCTCTAATTAGCGACTTCACCTCCATCTTCGGTCCATCTTTGAGATAATCTAGGATGAATGCCCCTTGTTGTTGGTCGGGAATGGCGTACTTGGTGAAAGCACTCCTCATGGAGTTGACAAAATCTGCAACCTCTCCTGGCCGGCCTCCAAATGTGGGTAGCTTTCTTTCAGGTGCCATAATAATCTGGGGTGGGGGGCGGGACAGCAACTTTTCCAGCTGTTCTTGGACACTATCCCTGTTGTCCTCTTTAGGTTGGAGAAGTGGCCG